CTTGAGACGCCGAGTTGAGTTCGGTATGATTCTCGCGACCAGCTTTCAGAGCTGCTTCAGGCTTTAGAGTAGAATAGCCAGCATCGCCAGCTCCCCGCATAGGCAGGATCTCGACGACGTCGCCAACTTGCACTTCAGTTTCGCCGAAAGCCGATGGATTCAACAAAATCTCTTCACGCGAGAACGTCTCATCGTGCACCCAAAGCGCACATTGGTGCCGCGTCCAGCTTGCCGAGGACAGCCTGACAGTCCGATCATCTGTGGCTTGGTCGTGATCGTGGTCACGGTTCGAAGTCGCTAGGGAGTGGGTGGAGCTGCTCTCCAAGCTCGCCGCACTGACTTGCCTCAGGTGCGACCGCCGCATGGGCCCGCGCAAAGACATTTCTGTGTACCTTTATGCTTGCATTTCACTTCAATTAGTTAATTCAAATATCAGAATGCGTCCATGAGGTCTTGCAAGAGATAGCCTTTGCAAAGGGGAGATATAACGGTCACGTGAATTATTACGATCACATGATATTAATGCCTGAGGCAAAATATACACTATAAATGTCGTATCATACAATAGCAGTGATTGATTTCCAGGTATCATACGAATTGAATTAATTGAGTCAACAGCCAATAAATTATTGTGCTATACCAAGAGTCCATGTAGAAAATGACGAAGATGGTTGAATTCTGGGGGGAAACAAGCATTTAACTGCTAATTCCGAGCACTCCTAAATCACAGGGTTCTAGTACCAGCCCCGCACGCAAAGTAAACAAGGGTGGATGTATGACCTGTTCTAGTTGGTGTGCTCTTTTTTTTTGGACGCTGTAGGCATGAAGCATTAAAGCACGAGGCTGTAGCTTCTGCTAGGACAAGGAGATTGTCTCTCGGGTGGACTGCATTCAGAACAATGGTTAGTTGTAGAATTAAATAATCCATCAAGATTAATGGGCAACCAAGAGAAGATTTTATACCTGTGATCTTAGGCATTCTTTCTACTTCCTTTTGTACTCTGATGGCTTTTACCTTGGGGGATTTGAGTAACTGCACACGGTATAGATTGTGAGTGTAATTCCTGTTAGACGAGGGCTAAAATAAATGATCACAGGGTTCCATGCCCTGATAGTCTTTTTGGATAGACTTTTATATAAATCACAAATCAAGCCATTGATGTTGGAGCCTCTCACACACACATACAGACATACAAACCCCTATAGCGGTGGCGGAATACCTAACTCGACGCGAGCTTGAAGGACCAAATCTAAGCCCCCAATAGTTATGAGTTTCGTCTTTAGGCATAGTAGGTATCCATTGGTGTCAAAAAGGAAGGGAAAGCGATTGTCTTGTGAGTATGGGTGTACTTGATCGTAATCCCCTTGGGTAGGTCAAAGACGTAAGTAGTTGTATTTCTTCAACAAGTTTTTCTGGCACTATTGACCGGCTTATATCGAAAATTAGAATTTTGCCCAAACAGGGCGGAGAAATATTAGTCTCCAGGGCTCTTCCATAGGACCCGTTGACACCACTTAATTGGCTCCATTCCCATGCGGGAAAGACGTAAAACCCAAATACTGTAACACTACTATGATATTACCGTATCAGCCTTCAATACCGTAGCCACTTGCTACTCACTTATTACAGTAGTTTTCAGCAATACAGTATCGTCAACATTGCGGTATCAGGCCTTTGCTACGTAGCGCTACGCTATCAAGGTCTACCGCTACGTAGCAGCTACGGTAGCTGTGGCAAAAACGTGACTTAAAAACATAGCAATTCGTAATCATGTGACTTGATTGCCTGCTTACTAAGCAACACGGGGGTTTCAGTAGTTACTAACTAACGTATTTCACCACCGAGTGGTCCACCACAAAACACATAGTAAATACGATAAATTACAACATCATATCTCAACAACAGTAGTCTATGTAGCAATTTACTTATAGCTTTATGCTTTTGAAGTAATATATTGTCTCTTTACGGAGTTTTAGGAATCTATATAACTTGTTGATTGAGGTATATATATTTTGAGCTTTTTGCAACGTAATTATCGGTAAATTTTGAAATGATAGGTACATAACTTTCCACTTTCTTTAAAATTGATATAAAATACTAATAAGTCTTATCAATGACTATCGACAAACAAAGAGCCAAAATACAAACATGGTTGTTGAGATATAAATGTTGAATATGTTGTATTTACTATGTGTTCTGCGATGGACCACTCGGGGGTGTGGACCACTCGGTGGTGAAGTACGTTAACGTATTTCACTACCGAGCCCCACACCACCGAGCCGGCCACCCCAAAACACCATAGTAAATGCGATAAATTACAACTTGATCTCTCAATAACCGTGGTCTATAGGGCCTTTTCCTGATAGCGTAGTGCTTTACAGGTGATATCTAGCATTTTTAGGTAGTTTGGGGGAATTTCGTATCTTTATAACTGCGATATATATATTTCTAGCTTTTAGGAACGTAATTTTCGGTAATTTTCGAAATGATAGTAAGATAGTATTCTACTCTCTTTGAAATTAATATATAGTGCTAATAAGTCTTATCAATAACTATCGACAAACGGGGAGATAGAATAAACATATGGTTGTTGAGATAAATGTGGAATATATCGCATTTACTATGGTGTTTTGGGGTGGCCGGCTCGGTGGTATGGCCGGCTCGGTAGTGAAATACGTCAACTAGTAATTTACTACGGTACATATTTTTACTATATAATTACTAGTTATTTTAAAGTACTACTTTTTTTTTTTTGACAAGTATTGGGGTTACCCGCGTGTTGCAGAACTACTATGTAGTCTATATACCAACTGAGCTATTTGCTATATAATTGGTAAAAGGCTGTGCTATTTGAAGTTGTGTAGGCCTCTGGGGGAAGGAGCTCTCCCTACTGTCAGGTGGGCGGGATACCTGAATAGTATCAATACGCCTTGCTACGGTATCGCTACGTATCACCAATTTGACTACCGTAGCGCTACGTAGCAGTGCTTCCCTACGTATTTTCCTCGATACTATAATTTCCAAGCTACGTATCACTTCCGGCTACAAGATTAGAGGCTTAGCTACTATATCAATATAGCTACGGTGCTTCTACCAGATTATTACCATTGCTTACTATGCTACCCACTTCCTACCGTAATGCTGCGGTATCAAGTGTCGATACCGTAATATAATAGTAGCACCACCGTATTCTGGTTTTATGTCTTTCCCGCATACGGGTTGATTTCCGGGGGCCCCTAACTCTTGTCCATCGTCTCCCAAACCCAATCTGAACAACACCTCTTCATTACCCTCAACACAGACCTTGATTTGTTCCAATTCATCTCCAATTGTTCCCAAGAAGAACGAGCACTGAATTACGGTGGATTTTCACGTGTTGCACTAACAGAAAAAGAAAGAGCAACGGGCGCATTGCCCCGGAGTCCATCAGGCATCCTAAAGCCTTGAAGATTCCGGTATTATAACTGCTAGTATGAACTGAAAATGTCTCGAGGATTTTCGCGCTCGATGGACAAAATTGGTCTTCGGTTAGATTCATGCACTGGTGCATTGTCACGGGAGCTGTTTTCCTGCTTAGTGCACCCAAGTCCCCTCGAGTGATATAACAGGGTGGCACACCCACGGGTTAACATTCGTCCAGCAAGATCGCAGATTCTTCCATGCTTCCAATGTGTCCCCGAGGGCTTAAGGCACTCCCATAGCCTGGAAATACTGTGTGGCTCAGTCAATCCATCAGTTTTGAGCACAGCTTGCAGTGAGGTGTGAACACCACGGCTTCATAACACGGCACTTCTCCTCAGACTTACAGTATTGATATCAGACAGACGCTTAGAATCACGATTGTGTCGTCCGTGTTGCCTGGCTTAAATGCTAAATGCAGACTTTTGGTTCTCACAATGCCTTGCAGATCGCAGGCCGTGCTAGCAATGCTGCAGACATCCAGCTGCCCGACTGTCCACCGCAGCTGATTAACTAAAGCACGAACCGTCGACCCGTTGATACAAGATATCCAGAAATCCAAAAAAAAGTCAGTTCTATCAATTGGGTCGTGATGATTTGTTGTCTTGCTTGGGTATGGGTGATTGTGCCGGCATCAGTGGGTCTTCCATTTTATGGCGAGTCGACCCACCCAGAGGCAAGTTGGAAAGACAAGAAGACAATGTGATTGAAAGAAAAGCATTGAATATCTGACACAGAAAGGTCCTATCAGAAGCTTCGGTGTTTCCGGGGTCTGAAAGCACAGCAACGACCCTTGTTCAAAACTTTGCAAAGGCCTTGAAGGGAGAGGAAACCCGCAGGCCAATCCTACTGGGTGCAGTATCCGGTTCTTCTCGCCAAAAAAACAATATTGCTTCATGAAAATCAATTCATGTATCCTGCTGGGCCCTCGAACAAGGATAACTTGAATGCCACCAAGTTTTGGAATACCGGTGATTCTCGGATCGAAATGAGGGCGATATGATTTGGAATGCCCAGCGCCACGACGGAATTGTCTCTAGTACAGGGACACCATCAGTCCCACGCGGCCTATCAGAGAGCAGGTCTCGTATAACTATAGGTATGGAAATCCTGGATGCTGCCGACCCAAGGAAAAACCTGAATGGCTCGTACAGAAAACATATACCATTGCTCATGATAAAATCCATCACAATACGGAAGAGTTTACAATATCCATGATGTGTCAAAAATACAATCCAAAATGCAAAGCCAAGCGTTTATTCGCGTTAGTGGCGAACCGGCAAAGACCTCCAGCATACCAGAAGTCGCCATTTCGGTTGAAATCCACTTGTGAATACCCACAGAAGGGGTATCCTCTACTTTGTATTTTTTGTATTTTGGCTTTTTTTTTTTATTCTTGTGCAAGGGGTCGGTTCTTTTTCCGTGGTCTTCTAGTGTGGCCTATGAGTTGGAAGTTCCGCTAGCGTTTAGCGTGTCGCGCCTGAGGAAAAATCATTCTTATCAAACATTGGAACCCTTTTGGCTTATATCTGGCAACGATATGAGTGAGAACTTTGTCCCGTATTCCGAATATTCGAATTTGGAAAATGAATTCAATTACGATTGGGCCGTGCCTGAATACCCGCAACCTTCTCCCGTTCAGTTTACCGAAACTATCCCTACCCGTGATATCCGTGATCATTTATCCATCAGCGACCGCGTGAATCCTAAGGTGGCTATCCCTCGGACCTCACAGCCCAGTAGTTGGACTACCAGTGGTCGGGTTAGTCGGGCTTGTGAAAATTGTCGCGAACAAAAGGCCAAATGTAGTGGCCATCGTCCAGCCTGTCATCGGTGTCTGGATGCCAGTGTTCAGTGCTCGTATGGCGATCGGAAAAGGGAAAGGATGGTGAAGTACGTAATGTTTTCATCTTCAATACTTTTCTCTCTAACAGGCGATAGGCAGCTGAATGATCTAACTACACGGGTTGAAATATTTGATGCTTTGATCCGCGATATTTATCCTAAGCTCGATGTCTTGTCGGCCGAACAGGTGGATCAAACACTGAGGGAGCTAAACGCGCGCACTCCGCTCACCCAAGCTATTCCCCTTACCCCTACCCCTACCTTATCCACAAATCCATCAAGCCATATCAACGAAGTGCTTTTTCCCCATACAGGTGCTGGTATATCTATTCCCTCGGGGGCTGTAGACTACACTGAAGAGGACTTCAACCGTGATGAGAAAGTACAGGCGACGGGATTTGTGGGCGAACATTCGGAGATGGCATGGTTGTACAGACTCAAACGCGATCTTGATCATAAAAGTTTGAAAACAACAGAGACCTCTGAACGCCCTTCGATCTCTTCCGTGAATTACTTCCAAGATAAGTCGGAAATTTTGGTTGTCGAAGATATCGACCTCGCACGCCGGCCACCACAACAAATTGCTAACAGGCTCGTTGACACCTACTTCAACATCGTTCATCCTTCCTTTCCGGTTATTGGAAAGGCAATCTTCCTAAATCAATATCGATCCTTCTATACGAATCCGAATGTGCGACCTGGGAAACGATGGATTATAGTGCTAAACCTCGTCTTTGCCATTGCGACCAGACATTTCTTTCTTGTCAATCAGCCCCAACCAAACTGCGATGACCATCAGACTTATTTTGCACGGGCGTGGAGGCTGAATGTAGGTAACGTGTTGCTAAACCATCCCGACTTGCAACAGGCACAGGTGGAGGGCCTGGCTGCTTTTTACCTCATATCGGTGGGACAAGTTAACAGGTTGGTCTTTCCCGCCACTCCCCTTCCTCAATTTCTGAGTGATCTATATCTGATCTATGGGACTCATTTAGGTCATGGAGACTCATTGGCATTGCGATTCGATCGGCGGTGACCATGGGTCTAAACATTCGAAGCGAGGGCGAGAGCACCACACACTGCTCGAAGGAACTTCGATGTCGGGTTTGGTGGGCGCTGTTTATGTTGGATGTTGTGCTATGCGAGATGACCGGCCGTCCACCTAGCACAGGGGATATTTTTTGCTCCACGCCCCTGCCTCTCCCCTTCGCCGAGGAGGAGTTTGGAGATCAACGTTTTGTGCAACTTATTGTCAACCAAAGGGCTCGAAGTGCCTTTTTCGCCTCTTTAATTTCCGATGCCACAATGAATCCACCAAGGGAGAGTATGGCTCCAAACACCCCGGGACAGCAAGTGCCCGCCAATAGAAAACAAGAAGAAAAGGCGAATCAGATTGGGACAGAGAATTTGGCACCCAAATCTCCTCTATACTTTCTGTACGCAGTGGACCTAGCTCATCTCTTACGGGAGGCTATTAATATCCTGTATGCTCCTAGAGCAATGCGACAGTCATGGCATGAGATTGAAATTGCTATTTCCAAGCTAAACAACCAAGCTGACAACTGGCTGTCTCGTCTCCCGACGGAGTTCGATTTCACAGCGCTAGACACAAAAAATCAAGTTCTACAACTGCGTACTTGTCTTGCTTTCCGATTCTACGCCACCAAACTGCTAATCTTGCAGCCTTGTATCCGCCGTTTATTTCAACAATCATCTGAAGCAAACTCCCCAGGAATGGCGTGTGACCAGATGGCAGCCTTGTGTGTTCAAATGGCAGGTCAAATGCTCGAACTGCTGCCCGAGGAGCCTGAAACAACCTGGCTGTATGGCGTTGCCCCATGGTGGTGCATCATGCACAACATCATGCAATCGACTACCATCCTCCTCACTGAACTATTCACGCGCACTCATATAGGCACCATCAAGGCTGTTGATATCACTAAGAAGATCAAAAAAGCGACTCGCTGGTTGAAAGTGATGTCGGCCAAAGACCTTTCTTCGCACCGAGCCTGGCTTGTCTGCATGGACCTTCTTTCACGCCATGGCTCGAGGTTTGGATTCGGTGTGGACACCGAACTATAGGCACACGCATTCTTCAACGTACCTCATGTAATTGTGCGAGTTTATTTATATCCTAGCTTGATTGGTGGGGGGATGTGACGTTAAGCGATGCATCTGCTTCTTGCCTCCTAGTTTTCACAATATATACCATGTAACTTGTTTTATCCACCACGCATCCCTCGCAAAGCTGGAAATGCTTGTTCATCGGATGTCTTGATCATATTTCCGTTTATCCTCATCAATGCTTTTTGCGAGTTTATTGCGTCTTATTCTAACGGTTTTCTGTCTTGTCATAAAGAACTGTTCTGTTGCATTTGCCTACAACAATCTTTCGGTGTACACACGATAGTATTTTTGCATGAATACCACATTCAAGCATTAGTGTCACATCACTTGTCTTGTCAGGTCAGGTTAACTCAGACTAGAACAACCAAGTCTATAACGTGCATATCATTATCAATATCTCATTTGGCCTTGCCAGCCAAACCCGATCAAAACCCATGACATGTATATAAATTCTCCGCCTCGCTAAAGAAGGCATCGACGGGATGTAACAGCCCAAGATCAATATCTGACTGTGCTAGAAAGTCTTGCATGGTCGGCTCTAGAAACGCCATTTCGGTCGTGTACCCGCTGACGGTATCCCTCAAGGGATAGGCATATGCATTGATGCCATGGCTGTGAACAGGCTGGGTTGTGGCAGAAGCAAGCATATCGTGTGTTGTGGGCATCAAAGATGCTGGAGGTATAGATGTCGATGTGGATGTCGACGTTAGTGGCAAGGTGTCCAAAAAGGGGGTAGTAGCTGTTGCTAAATCCGATGAAGACCCAGACAAAGCTAGTGCACCAGTGCCAGAGGGGGCATTACCACTAGCACTAGTGTTGGTATTAGAAGTCAATTCTCCACCAGCAGCCATTTCAGCACTCCCCTCGCCCCGCCATACTCCCGGATACCCAGCCAAACAAATCTTCACCTGCTTGAGGTTATGATAGAATTCTGCCGCCGCTAAATTCCCGTTCTCGGCCATGGAGCGCAGTAGGTCCAGCGCGGAGTCGAACCCCGTCATATCAGTCGGATTACCGATCGGAACAAAGCTGGACATTGCCAAGATCAACGCCGAGGAGAAGAGGTAGTGGGCGTGGAAATAGCCGAAGGTTGGCATAGATCCGTTGATCCACCGTGTCAGGATCATAGAATGGGAGTGTCGCGCTGCGTGGATACATGCCTCGCTTAGGGTAAGGACGGGCCGGGAAACGGATACCTCTTCGCTCTCGCTTTCGGTCCCCATCCCACTGGTATTATTGACGGTATTAGAGTGGGGCTTCCCTTTTTTGCTTAGTGTCATCAGGAGGTGCAGTAGCGTTGGGCGTGTAGTTAGGATCACGCATTGGTTGAAGGCCATGTGGAGGGAGACGATGGGTTTCTTGCTTGATTCTAGGTCTTCCATGTTCAGTCTGAGGGATTCGGGGAGTGTTTCTACCCAGTGTTTCAGGGCTTTGAGGAGTTTCTGAACGCGCTGGAGGAAGGTCTCTTGGTACTTTCTCCGACTGTACAATCGGGTGATTGCCTCGCCGACTATACGTGCCAACTTGATGTTGGCGGTCATATATTCTGAGTCGGAGAGTTCTTCCTCATGGCGCCAACGGGGGAGATGGTTGACGGCATGTCGACATGGATATCTTCATCAAGGATTTGCATTGGGAGACCCATTTTCGATCCCCACATCCGGTCGAAGATATAGATTGTCCACCATATTTGGATGCGATGTTGGCGCTCCACTGGGTCGATGAGCTGTGATTCTGGGATATTGTGGTTCAAGCCGATGGTCAAGCCCATCCGCATGGCGTTTCCGATCAGGATGTACGCCGAATGACGCCGGTTGAGATAATATGAAAAAAGAGACTTAAAATTCCGTAAGTACTCTGATGTCAAACAATAGTAATATATGCTGCGCCACATACCAACAATAGCAGGGTTTCCAAGTGTGTAACGCTGGTTCTCTCCGGCAGGATCTGGACCAACCCCATTGCTCGAGAAAAGTATGATGTGCCTGGTACCCTGGAGCCAGAATTGGGCTCAGATCGGATTGAATACGCTTGGCCAAAGGCGAACAGGGCGAAGAATTTACACTTATTCGCCGTACAGTCAAAGTCTTGCGTCTGATAGATCTCTTCCAGTTTGTCTAAAGTGGCCTTACGCATCATGAGGTGGTAAATATGCCCGATCTGGTGGATTGCTATCCGGACTAACAACCGAGCATGGTGAAGACTCGGCCACTGGACATCGCCTTCATTCGCTGCGGCGATTGTCTCTTCGCGCTCATACTGTGTTCGAGGAATATGTGGCATTGAAATATTACCCGACAAGAAACGCCGAAACCGTGTTGCAAATGCTGAACATGCAGCCTCGCCGATGTAAATGGGTGGCGAAGAAGGGTCATACCGGTGGAACCAGGCTCGATCTCCAATCAATGGATTCTGAATTCCTGTTCGATCAGGGACATCTGCTGTCCTGGAAGGACCTCTGTTGTATATCTCAGTATGCTGCGGGTAATTTTCTTTTGGAAAATCAAGGGATGCCTACCTCTGCGATGGGTCGTTGGTCTCGGTGACTTGAGCCGAGGCGATCGACCGTTCCTTGAGCAGCTGGTTCTCTGCAAGGATCTGATCCAGATAGCTATTGGAAAATAGAGTTTTAGCTTCTGTCTAACATGTATAAAAGACAAGCTTTTTAAAGCTTGGTCCAATATTACCCTGTGGCTGGTTTACATACTTCTCACTAACTTTCACCTGACGATCACGAGTAGCGTACGCACATTCATCAGCGAGTCCTACCGTGCGGCATTTGCTACATGGCTGATCTCCGGAACACTTGATTTTATGCGAGTGGCATCTTTGACAGCTGTTGATACCGTGTGTCAGTGCTCGGTGGCTTCGGCGTAAGGTATATGGAATACGCACGCGACAAATTTCTTTCTTTGGAAGTCGCGACCTTCCTGTTCCTGGTCTTGTGTTAAAGCACGTCGTTTTCGTGCCATATTGCCAAATCCCCTTATTTTTTCGGGCTTTTCAAATTGGGGGAAAAAAGAATCGCCCGCATGCGGTCGGGGTTTTGGAAGGTCTTTCCCGAAAGTTCGGCGGTTTTAGGCTTTGGCCGAGTTGGAACTGACTAATCGATTTGCTGCCCAAGGTTAGAACTTCTAGGCCCGTGTGAGTATAATAAATTGTATGCACAAGTAGGAACGAATAATTTTCCTTTAAACGGTTTGAGATTTCCCCTTGAAGTCCCTGTATTGTGTATCATATTTCACGGGTCATGTCTGTCTATCGTGTTCTATAAGCTTACTCTATCATGCAGGCATTTCATATCGCCTAGGATGCTGGAATGACATAAATATAGATGCAAGTGGGGGAAAAAATTACATGTCCTTGTGGTCAAGACTTTGCATCGAGGTTGAACTTCTTTTCAGACCATCGCTGCATATCAATGCCCCATTTAGTGATAGCGAGCACAAGGAAACCACTTGTTATAGCGAAAAATACACCTGAAAAGACTGTTAAATATGTCTCAATCATAATCTCATTGAGAAAACTCACAGATTGTAAATGTCCACCCTACCCCGATAGCACCAATTACTGGCTCGACAACCGCCGTCGCCGCAGCAGCAAAGATATACTGCACCACGTACTTTGCGCTTATGACTTCCGAGCGAACATGTGGCATAACCTCTGTGAAATAGAGGGTTAGTTGAAAACTAGGACAATCATTCAAATGGATATCGCTCACCAGCCGAATAAGTATTCAGTCCATTGAAAGCACCCAGAAGCCCTACGCCCGCAAAGAAAGCGGCGATAATTGGCACAATCATACCACCTACTTCTTCCTGTAAAGTCCAACAGTATATCAAGGTTGCAACTGGGAGGACTCCAAAGAGAGTAGCAAGGCCACTGTTCAGTCGGTCCTGAGGCAGGCGCACTCCATTTCGTTTAAGAATCCATTTCTTCACGGCATGGTCTGACAGCCTGCCGCCCACGATGCTACCGACTAGAAAGCCTATTCCTGGGGAGAGATAGAATAGGCCGCTGACGAGGGGAGATGTCAGGTTAAAACGTGGGTTGAAAATTGATCGGGCTGATGTGAGAAGTGCGTATTGGAATGTAGAAAGAAGGCCACAGGTGAGGCACTATTTTTTGTTAGTCAGTCACTATACAAGGTAAAATTTCAGTGTTGGCAGGTAATGCTTACTGCAAGAAAAATATTGGGATACATGAATTGACGAAATATGCGCAGGGGATTGAATATGCTTATAACAGTACAAAGCTTCCAAGGCTTTTTGGGGTCTATGACTCGGTTCTTTTCTTGGATACTTGGCACAAAAAGAAGTGACAGGACAAGGCCGAGCAAAGTCATCGCGAATTGCAGCCAATAAATAATGCGCCATTGAGCAAATGTGACAATGATGCCGCCGATACAGGGTCCTAGTTAAGCAATTAGCCACATATAAACAACGACACGCATACAGGTAGTGATATCATTCAAACTTACCAATTGCAGGCCCACTAACAGATCCAACCATAAAGCAGCCAACAGCGGTTCCACGTACGGTCTATAGACTCCCGTCAGTAACCCGAAGACAATCGGAATAAAACTAACATACCGGTTCAAATATATCCGCAAGAATAGTCTGCCCAGCAACCATGAAAAAGGTACCAGTGAAGCCTCCCAAAATGCGCATTGCTATAAACATGTGCAAATTGATCGCCGCGGCCATACCGGCTGAACATGCACAAAGTACAAGGATAGCTGCATTATAGGCATTGCGACGCCCGAATAGGTTGGTGATAGGACCCCAAAGAAAAGACGAGAAGCCCATGGCAATCAGCACACCGGCATTAGTGACATTGAGAATCTCCGATGTAGTAGAAAACTCGGTAGCGATCTCCGGGATTGCGGGCAATAGGGAAGTACTGGAGAATGTGACAGCTAGGGTCATCCAGCTAACGATAAAGAGTATGAGGCATTTGCGCCATGTTGGGATGCCATAGGCGTTTGAGGGCTGGGGTTTCAGGACTAGATCGTCTTCTAACCCTGAGTCGTGAGGAAAATCAACCTGTGGGGTTGGCTTTTGGGATTCGAGATCTGGTCTGGATTCCATGACTGGGATTAAATGGTATATAATCGAGGTAAAAGGTTGATTGATGATTTTTGCATGCCTAAAGTAGTAAAATGATGCACACAAAAAAAAAGTCCAACGGGATGCATTTTGTATGCAAGACCTCTCGGCGTGTTGAAGCTGTCGCCGAAGCCTGGTTTTTTTCTCGCGTGGAGCATCTTTCTCCGATGTGGATCAGGCAGGGCGATCGGCGTGGATGCCCGACTGCTTCATTTTGCATTTGAAGATATTAGTGTTGTCAAAAAATAATTAGGGATAACAGGAGTAATTCCAATAATAGTGATCGTGGGAGGTGGAAGTTCATTTGCCATTTCTGGGTCTATATGCCTGAACTATTAAGCCTTCGTTTAGTATCCGTCCACCTCAGCACCGAGTTGAACAACGCACAAATTCTGGATAGTCTTTTCTGAGGGATTGTCTACGGGATGTTGGAGGTGCAGAAAATGTCAGGAATGATTCTCGTATTTTAGATGAAATGCTTCTATGCCACACACCAAACACTCTACAACTGACCCCAGAGCCAAGATGACGCGTCTCCACGCAAGTTTCCCCTTGCCCATACAAAGTACAAAGAGATCGGCAAAAGAGCTTGGCGAAATTAAAGCTTGCGATCTAGCCCACGCCAAGATACTTTGTGCTCCGTGGCTGGAAAAATGGGAGATGTCAACGCAAGGGATAGTGAAAGACACACCTCAGTTCTACGGAGAGGTACCTGATTACTTATAGGATTTGATGAGGCTCTCTGAGGCAACTATGGGCTACAAAGATGCACAGGATGTCAAAACATCTCCTTCCTTTTTACCCCCTGTTGAAAAACTCCATATAGCTCACCTTGTGCTGGTCCCCAAACCTAGTACCCACCCCCGGGATCCTCTGGTACGGCAGAAGACCTTCGAACATCATTGCCCCTAGAAATTAACTGATGGGATCCTCCCAGAACTGGCATCCTAACCGCAAATATGTAATACTGGCCGTGTTATGCCTCGCGTCTTTCTCCGGTGCCATTGCGCCTTTATCGGGACAGCTCAATTTGGCTGACCAGGAGAGACTGTACAGCAAGACAAAGCTGGAGGAGTCATATGCGGTAAGCCTATAACTACACCTCAACCGAACCTGCAAACTCTACGCGGTTATCAAATTATGTATCACCCATCTAACATCCCCTCCAGAATTCAGCCGCCCTAGCCGGCATGGCGGCAGGCCCGTTCTTCTTCGCCCCGATATCTCACATGCTCGGTCGCAGCTCTGTGATCTTCTGGTGTGTGCTATTCACGTTAGTATGTCAGATATGGGGTGCCGTCATGACTGATCCTGGTAACTATATCGCATACGTGATCTCCCGGATCTTTGCCGGCTTCTTTGGTGCCGTGCCTACAGTACTTGGCCCTCGCATTGTGACCGACCTGTTCTTCTTACATCAGCGTGGCCGCGCTTTTACTGCTCTGCATATGGCTTTCTTGTTTGGAACAATTGCTGGTCCAACATTCTCGGGTTTTGTTTCTGCGCACTCGTTTTTCCCTGTTGAGTTCTGGTGGACGGTCGGTCTGCTTGGGTTCACGCTTATCTGTTGTTTCTGTTTTCTTGAGGAGACTGGATTCGATCGTGAATGCTTTGAAAGAAACCCAAATATCCCAGGTGAAATCTTGGCTAATAGATTCGCTACTTTCTTCTTCGGCCAGAGGGTTGTCTTGCCGACTACCTGGAAAGAAACGGTATGCACAGGGAAATCCCGAGCCAGCCTCCGCGCCATACCTAAGAATTAAATTCGATCTAACATTAATCGAACAGATCAAAGTGGGAGTCGTCCCCTTCTTAATCGGAATGTGTCCTGTGACAGTAATCATGGGAGTATTCACACTGATCTCTTTTGGATTCTACGTGGGTGTCAACGCACTCACACCGGTATGGCTCCAAAAGCCCATTTCGGAAGGTGGATACGGGTTCTCACTAGAACAAAACGCGGCATTTACATTCTGCCATTGGATTGGCATCATCTTTGTCCAATTCTACGGTCACTATCTGAACGACCGACTGCCACTCGCACTGGCACGACGATACAACAGCGGCATCTGGAAGCCCGAGTATCGACTGCATGTCCTGTGGCTTCCTAGTCTTGTGATCAACCCAATTGGTCTGGGTGTTTTTGGTGTCGCTTTGCAGTATCATCTGCACTATATGGTGCTTGCACTGGCTGTTTTCCTTGTGACTATTGGGTCGCTGGGTAGTGTTCCTGTCACGGTGAATTATGTTGTCGAATGCTTTACGCAGTATCCGGCTGGGGCTGGTATTGTTATCGGTGCCTATCGCATTGTCTATGGATTGACAATTAGCTTCTATGTCAACCCTTGGGTTCAGGCTGTTGGTGTTGGTTGGGTTTATGGTATGATGGCTTTCTTTGCGGTATTCTCCTTCATGTTTGTTATGCTGCTCATGTGGAAGGGACATGCTATTCGCGGATTACAATTTTCGAGCCTTGGATCTAGCGAGGAGGGCGAACGGTTGGTAGGTAGATAACTGAATATTCTATCAGAGAAGACTCGGCAATGGGTCATTGTGCTTCAGTTGGTGACGCGATGATTGGTACCCCCTGTCACAGATAATCAAAATTTTGTACGCAAATTCAGAGGGTCGCAAAGATGCTATGGCATTTTTCCAGGATTCATGATTTTTTTAAAAAAAAAAATAGTGTTCCTGCCTGCTGTGGCACTCTGTACTGCATTTTCAACGGCCGAAATCCCGTTAGGGTCGAGCCGTAAATGTCGCCAGACTCCATAATTCACAATACTGTCCCACGTATTCAAAAGAAAGCATTAGGCCTCATCATAAACTCAAAGAGTGGACATAATATGAGCAACCGTCTGCGCATTCACCCTCGCTTTTGCTTCAATCATGGTTTCTCTCTCGGAAAGCTCGAGGTTGTCAAGGTCCGGGTTATCCTCGGTATCACTTATCTTGATAGATTGACAGGCGAGTGTTGTGAAATGCTAGGCGTTTCGATATAGGAAACACTCCGAATCTGTGAGAGAGAAGTCATTCTGCTGAGGGGGGCGATTAGGGTTGAAAAAGACAAGGCAACAAAATTATTTATGGGGTGCTATGATCGTCTTGTGGTCGGCTAAAAATAAATAAGCGCCTGGTGGGGGTGGGGACTTTATATGTTTGCCACTGGAATGATGAGTAGTCTACTCCGTAGCTATAGTTGATATCTAGTAACTCATTTGAGAAATCCTGCTCCTCTGGTTCTATTTATTCGAGTATAGATGAGTGAAAATATAACACCTAGCAATTTTGCAATTCCATTCTAATGTAACCCGCAAGGTTCCACGATATTATTCACTTATGAAACGCTCGATCAGACCGTCAGTGACATCTTGGATCTTGGGGAGTGCTTCCTCCAAGTTTGAACTGATGGTCCTCGATTGCAACGATATGCGGTGCGACTGTGCCAGTAAGATTGCTAGGTTCAGCCATATATTCGAGATTGATAATGTTTTCGTTTAGATCTCTTCTATGATATGATTGGCAGTCAAACCGATAAGAGCCACGGGAGTTTCGATTGCCTAGACAAAGACTCAGGCGATTCCTGCCCTTTTTTTTTCTTTTTCTTATTATGCCACAGGTACGACTGCCTCTGCTTGCATAGATATCACTAGTTACTGTAATAGGCAAGCCCAAAAACAATCTAGATGAGTGGACACTATTGTGGTTAACATCACAGCAATCTCTAGTGGAGAAGTTCGGGTACTGTGCAAAACTGCCTTTACACGTACCAGTGCGGTAATTGCAGATGGTCACAACAAAGGCTGAAGAGCAAATTGCAGCAACAAAAGCTATGGAACTGGCGAGGAACCTCATATTGTGAAATACCCTTTTGTAAAAGTATGCCAAAAGTCCAATAATCTGATCTCAACCTCACGGCCTAAAAACCTCTTTCGAGACAGTCCGATGTCTCAAAAACAAATTCATAGAATTCTTTTTTTTTTCCAAATGTTTCTTTCGTTTATATTCCAACTCCAACTCCGATATCTCATCCTTTTGATTGGTCACATAAATTTGATGACAGGTCGTGCCCATGTGATCCCTGCACCTGTAGGCGATTCTTGCCGACGGAGCGGCTGGGCCCCTCCACACGAAGCCCTCTTTTCGAATTTAGCATTCACTACTCCGTACTCTGTATCTCCTTGGTCTTTCTCACTCTACTCGCTATGCAAAATTTCAAGTTGTTTCATCTGCCTTAACAAGATGGCGACCCCTAGCGGTGCCGAGAGGGTGCCGTACTTCCCGAAAGCTAATGCGCTGATCTTGTTGTCGAAGCATGGACCTTTGCCGCTTCGGCCAAAAACCGTTGGGCCTATCTACGATCCACAAAATTTCGATCGCCCGATTGAGTCGTGGTCTGAAGAAACGGAAGCCTCTTGCTACCCACTGAAAGAGGAACACTTTGCACCCTCAGAAATTCCACCCAGGCCTGTGTCTCACTCCAACAAATATCTTCGGCCATATCTAGCCAAGAACGAAAGACTCAGATTATCGCTGCTCTGGTACCACACACGCGATACCCTGAATGATAGCGAGTTTCTATCTGGGCTCCAAGAGAAGGCATGTTTTGCACAAGAATCTACGGGCTGGGAATTTGCTGTCATCGGAATCCAAGATCTCAATTACTATATCCGCTTGGCTACAGTTGGGCTTCAACTTGGGATTCTTCCACGTGGTGAAACTATATGCGCGCATACCGTCACTCAGGCTCCCAGTGTAAGTCGACCGTCTTTTGCCTATCCTTGCAAATTTTCTGACACCCATCACTAGAGTGTGTTTCTCTTGCCGGACCTTGTGGAAGACTGGAGATTTCAAAATTCACCGTATCTCGAACATGGTGGGCTTCGGGGCTACGCTGGAGTGCCGCTTCGCTTGCAACACGAATCGGGCGAGTGTGTGAGTCTTGGCTCACTTTGTGTAGCATCTAGTAAGGGTGAAGAGCCTTTGACGAAATCGCAACAAATGACACTTGTTCGCCTGGCTGACTGGATTGTTTCCGACATCGTCAAATGTGCAAGTGCAGTTCGACAACGAGAGCGGCAGCGGATGAATGACCTCATCGCCATGATTCAAGATGAATCAGATGATCTCGTCCCTGAAAAGCCTGTGCTCAAAATCCTAAGGATCATGTACCCTGATGCCGATATAAGCCTGCAGTCTTCCAAGACCACCCACATTGAAATAGGAGGACGGGACCCGATACCAGTGTCTGAAATCAAAAATGGCCTATGGGAAGACACGGAATACATTGACGACTTCATTGCAAATTCAAACAACCAAGAGTTTCCATCCACCCGAGTAGTCCGTGCCTCTACTGCTCAATGCGAGAATATATCGGGTCCATCTTTTCTTGTCGTGGGGTCCAAAAGCTTTCAGCTGGTATTCGACGATATCGATTCTTGGTTTATCCAGTCTTGTGCGGATATTATATCCAAGATGTGGCACAAGCACATCTTGGCAGAAGTTGTGGAAACAAAAGAAAAATTCCTCCGGGGATTCTCCCACCAGCTACGAACTCCTCTTCATGGGATCATTGGTTCCGTCGAATTGCTGGCTGAAGAGTTAGGCTTAAATGCCTCGAACTCAAGTACATATCCATCCTCAAGTTTACTGGGAATGAACTCAGGACTCAACCCTCGAGGGCCCTTTGCTCACCTCGACATCATCAAAACTGCCGGTCAAGACTTAGTCTCCATAGTAAACAGCATGATCACCCTAAACAGATGGGCTGACATTGCGATGAGAGACCGGCACCACTCCACACATACAATACTTGAACTCGAAAGTGATCTAGCAAATCAAATACTCAAGCTTTTCTCTGCAGACCTACGCTATACCGCCTCAATATTTTTCAACCATGATCTACCCTCAAATTGCGACACGATTCAAATCGATCTTGAGTTACTTCGAGATAGTTTAATGCCGCTCATTATCAACGCCATTCAAAACACACCGGGAGGAATCGTAACGGTAACTATATCGATACTCCTGGAATACAAACAACTTGTCATCGATGTTGTCGACACTGGCTGTGGCATTCACCCTGAGCATCAAGAGCGCATATTCGAGCCATATGAGAAAGTTAGTGCGCACTCGACAGGCGCTGGGTTGGGCCTGACCCTATCATCCAAATTCGCAAGACTTCTTCATGGGTCTGTCAACTTAGTCTATTCTGATCTCAACAATGGTTCGCATTTCAGAGCCACCTTCCGCGAAGTTGAACACTTTCTCTCAACTCTCTCGTCACAACCACTGGCAGTAAACCTCCATAATTTACCGCCAAAATTCTACAATATGACATTCGACTGGGACAATCCATCTTTGTCTAACATTTTTTCTGAATATCTGACCCACAACAACTTTATCTGCTCGAACAATATGGAAGATTGCTTCGCGATTCTCGATTTTGTGCCTGATGTCGAAAAACACCGCGTTTCTTTGTCGCAATTTCCCACAAATCAGGTCATCATCTGTCTTGTCCCAGCCTCAGAGAATCATACATGCTCCGACAGCACTCTCAATAACGTGGTTTACGTCAAAGGTCCCTTCTTAACTTCAACAATGACTTCGGCACTTGAAGAAGCGGATAGACTTCTTCCATCTCTCAAATCCCCTCAAGAGAGTCTTGTGCAGACTTTTAGGCACTCGCTTATACTAGATCAAATAAACAAAGATCCGAATTTAGATCAAGGAACAGTATCTACGACTAGTTCACCTTCTCCGAAAGGATGGTCGTCTCAGCCACCCACAAACAACTCCGTCGCTTCAATCTCAGATGCCTCATTATCATCCATGCACCGAGCTGAGCGAAGTGATTCTATAGTCTCGAAACCCATAACCCAACCCTCATCGCCTTTGACAGCCCCACATCAGCCAACAGCACTACTCGTCGATGACAACGCGATCAACCTCCGTATTCTGCAAATGTACTGCAAGAAACGAGGGCTACCATACTACTGTGCAACTGATGGACTCCAAGCCGTGAACACATTTTCCCAGCATCAGTCTTCACCTGTCGCCGTCGGACGAGCCGCTATCGAACTGATCATCATGGACCTCCAAATGCCAGTGTGTGGTGGCATTGAGGCTACACAGCAGATCCGATTGCTCGAAAAACAGAATAATTGGAGGGAATGTGTTTTATTCATTGTCACAGGTCAAGATAGCCCGGCAGACAGAATAGCTGCTGAAGCCGTTGGCGCTGATGAATACTTTGTCAAGCCTGTTAGCATCAAGCTCTTGGATCGTAGTATCAAGAAATATTTTGATAGTTTTGAGGTCCGCTAGCTAGATTTTGTCCAGATATTCCCAGGATCCTTTCTTTAATTTGATATTTCTCTTATCATCCATATATATATACGAATGGAAGACATATTTTGTAAACGGACACAACTTCACCTCCAGAATCGCCCTATAGAGCTTGTAGGTAAAGCTATTATAGTGTCGGATATTGCGAATAACATATAGCCGAGAGCTGGTGAGTATCAAAAGAGGCAGTAGAAGCAGTCTTTCCGGGTTTGATGCGCTCAAGATGAAATAACCGATGCCTCACCACATCAAGTCGGTCTCCGCACTCTCTCTTTTCCCTTGATAGCTAGTGCTTGAGCCTCATTCAAGGATCTCTGTATCTATAGATATGTCCGTCGAAAATTTCTCGCGTCTCCCATTTCACGGGTGCAACTTCTTGGAGAGTCTGCCTTCATCCATCCCAAGATATCAATATGTGGGAATACAGCAGTTCCACAACATTATCAATATTGAATTCGATCGTCTAATCGATGATATCGCTATTAGCTCTCAAGAATTTAATCAACAGAAAAAGGGAAAGAACGATCAACAACTTGACAACAATATCCTACAACACACGGACCATACTCTGAATACTCAGAAACATGGCAGCAGCAGAAAACCCAAAAATCACCAACCTGCAGACGAGTTTGTGCTATTCACAATTGACAGCGATTCTCTTAAGAGAGATTTCCTTGATTCACATACACTGAATTCATATATCGACTCTTTCGACATCAAAAATGAACTACTTTTAGTCAAAATGGCTTCGACTATTCACTCCAATGCCATCGGAGAGATAAGCAGAGCTATCGATAAGGCCCTGGAACATATAGGCCTTGCTGATCAGGTCAAGCGTTTTGAAGGTGCCGTGATCCGCGGTGCAGATGAAAACGGTCAAGGCAAAGGCAAAGTTGGAGACCATGGGTGGGGTCTCCAAACCCCACCGGCAGGCTTCCCCGACAAGCCAACTGTCACCCTAACGGTAGCTTACTCTGAGTCGGAGAAGAAGCTGAGATCCGACGTGGAGTTTTGGCTAAATCCAGACCAAGGGTGCGCTAATACGACTCTAACACTTCGGATCGACAAAACAAGTCCTTTTCTCATCTTCAGCAACTGGCAGAAGGCCAAACTCGTGACCAGACATTCTACACACTGGAAAGGCATTGAAAAGGTCCAGACAATTATCATCACAATGGGCGATGACGGAGAGGTCACAGTCAGCGGTCACCCTTTAGTGATCCCATTCGAATTGTTTTTCCGATGAATGCCGATTGGCAACCAGGAGAAAGATCTTGAAATCACAAAGGAGCGCCTTATCATTATGGCGCAGAATATATGGCTGTCTCAAGGGCTTTGAGATTGAATCCATGCTTTTGTCCTTTTTATCTTTTTTTGCTGTGCTAAGCCTGGTATTGTCAAGTAGACTATAGGTGAGGGTTTTTGCCGGACAATCTTACATCCAGGGCTATTGGTGGTATAGCCTGAGAAACACCCAGCATGATTCCTTTGTATCGTATCTTTACTTCTTCCTCTCCGTAGAGATTTCTTCAGGTTTCTTTAAAATATTTATCTTTCTATTAGCATGGGCCATTTATTGGATTTGTGCTCAATGATATACTGAACTCTGGACAAGAGCCGCTATGCAGCGTGAAGGTTTTAAGGCCAAGAGCGAGAAAGCTTCCAACTGCCCTGAGTTAGGTCTTAAGAGCGCAAGTTGAAACTAAATCCATGGATTAATTTCAGTAGGACGTGACAGATCCGAATGAATCATCGGGGCTCTGAACGTGGGAAAGCTCCTTTTCATTGCTTCTTCGAACTACATCTTGAATCCAAAGTAGGACTCGTCCGCCTTTTTAATTGGTTCGTATCGGCTCTCTGCAATCGGATGATTCTCTCCCAGCCCCTCACCCTGTCTATAGCGCACTCACCCCTCTCACCACCAATCGCGCGACCCCAAGGCGGCGCGCACCTATTTCTTACACTGGCAGCACCCACCCGACTACTAACCGTACTTAACCCATATATCGGAGAGTTAGTAGTTGTGTGACGACCAGCTCCGCACTATTGTATATTTCTATTTTTATGTTTTTATTTTTCGGTTGATGTTGGATGGCGTAAGATCAGTCGGCTAGCTACGGAGTACTTATGTCCCTGCATAACGATGTATAACCTTAATATCAAGGGTCCGAACTATAATGGCAAATAGTGCACAACCGGAAATACCCTCGGTTAGTTATATTGACTAAACAGCCAAGAGAAAAACATTTAGCCGCCAACCGAGGCCCGGCATACAATCTATACAACATCAACCGGGACTATTTATGGAGTTACTCCGTATTATTGTCCGTATTCGGCTCTACTTCGAAAAGAACCCGAAGGAAGAATTAAAAAACAGCCATCAAGGCAGATAGATTGACTCAAGAGAACTGCAGTTTCCAAGACAGACAAGTGCAACGCCTAGGCTATTTTGGACGCATCTCCAAAAAAAAATAAACACCTCAACCTTTTCAAAGATCGCGAGACGATAGATCAAACCATGAAAATCGAGAGAGAAAAATAATCAAAGTCGAAAAAACCCGGCCACGCTGCCGAGCTTCCGTGCCATCCCAAATTTCGCTCGAAACAAACTGACCAAAGACCAATGGATAAAAGAAAAACATTGACGATAAATGAATAATCGACTCGTGTTTCGGCTGGATACCACGAGGAACGCCTTGCGTGCATGCTCAACAGCATAACCCAAACCAAACCAAAAGAAGAACACGTAGCAAGTAAACAATAGCAAGGACAATAACAAAGAAAGACGAGGTCGCGCACACTGGGTATAGGTGATAATCAATCTTCGTGATCCCGTTTTCAATCCCTGGTCTGGGCCCAGACATGGGGTGGCCAGAGCAGGAAAGGAAATGATTGGATTTGGAGTTCAATTCGCCTGCCTTCGGCGCTCGGGGGATTTTTTTCCCGCAGGCTTGAATGTCCCATTTTTTTGAGTCGCCGGCGATCATAGATAGAAAACTGAGATAAAAGGAAATGGTCGTACAGTACGTAAGACGTAACGGACGAGGGAAGTCGTAAATAGTAATAATACAATGAAGCGATGCGGTTGGGGCCACTGCTTCGATGGGCACCAGTTGGAGAGCTGGGATAGGGAGTCGCTATCCCTTTTTGGGACTCTAGCGGCTGAATTGGGACCACACTGTGCTCAGCCAACCGGCGGGAATACCGATCTCAGAAGGCGCAAGCATGGATAGCTGACCCCATTCGCACCCATCCAGGAAGGCGAGGACGTCGTCTCCGCCGAGACTTGTTGATAGTAGGGTTGAGTCTGGGCATTCGGTTGAGGTCAGAGGCGGGGAGGGGGCCAGTTGAGTGACAGATCCCGGTGGGGGAAGGACGGGGATAGTGTGTGAGGTGGCTGCGTTGATGGGAGGGAGGGATTGGGAGTATGGCGGGGGAGGAGCCTGCGGGCGGGCAGGAAGCCAGGAGTTGATGGGATTCAGGCGGTTGCTTGTCGCTGCCAAGTACTGGGATGGGGGTTGTGAAGTTGCGGATAGAGAGGGGAAGCTGGGAGACGAGGTGGCGTAGATAGGGCCGTCTGGGTGATGTTGTTGAAGGGATGGGAGGGAGTAGGGGGATCCAGATGGCATTGGGCGATGGTTGGGAAGTGGTAGGCTGGGACGGCGATCGCCATCGTGTGCAGGTAGCGATAGACCTGGACTGTTGACCGGGACCCACGACTCCCGACGACCACCGGCACCGTCGAGCATCTGGTCACCAGGATCACCAGTTTCGCTCCTGACGGCGTTGCTTCCAGCATCACTCATGTTCCGCTCGTAGACGGACTCGTTTGCTGCGGGCACTGCGATACTGTCATCATCCATCCCAGGCTCTATCAACTGATCCTCGATGCTTCCAAAGTCAAGGAAAAGCTTTTCGAGCATCTTGAATTCCTCAAGGCCGCCACCGGGGCCACCCTCACGAAGGAGGCGAATCCCGTTGAGGCCGTGGTCAGAGGCATCTGACATGCTATCTAGGCGATTCCGTGAAAGCCGGCGGAAATCGCGCTTGACTTTGGAGAAGTAGCTGTGAAGGCGGTTCAGGGTACGGAACCAGCCCATTGCCATCTTCAGACGAGGCCGCATCTCTCGGATGATGTCCAAAGCCTTGCGTGCTTGTACGACACCAAGCTGGTGGCTATCATGGCTCGCAGGTGGCGGCTTAGCTCCCATCAATCCATCCGGATCCATGTGTGGGAAATGTGTTCCATAAACACCGACGAAAGCGGCATTGTAGATAGCAAATCCAACCAAAGGGTTCTCAACAAGAGCACCGCGGGCTTGGCAGGTGGCCACAAGGTCGACCATCTGCCGCGCTGCCTTGAAGAGCTCACGAGCACTGTCCCGCCAGAAACCGTCGGGTGGGCCATTGACCTTGTCGACAGCGAACAACGGCTCATCCAGGGGGCCAGAAGGTTCAGTGCAGCGGATAGGCAGGAATGGAATATAGGCGCGGTGAAGGACAATTACCGACAGGAAGTAGACAACATGCATCACGGTATATGAAGCCAGAGTGGTCTTATACATGATATGTGTGTCAGTATTTCGCAGAGAATATTGTAGGTTGCGAGAAAGACTATCCTGGAACTCGTTCAACTGCATACGGAGCGAAGCGAAGCGAGATTCAGGATGCCAGGGAGGATATTGCTCTGTGCGTCGACCGCCAGCGCAAGACCATTTGGCGATGCTTCCCCAAATACGAATTATCCGAATAACTCGGCTAAGCACCGACTCCTCGGCGCCAACCTCCCATCGATCAACCTCCTCCTCGCTCGAGTCCTTGCGGCGAGAGATAGGTGACCAAGGCTTGCCATCTGGTGTCCCATTGGGTCCTTGGAGTTTTTCATCACTAAAGCCTCCTATACTTTGACGGATGCTGGGTATTTGCATGCTCTGGGAACCGAAGCTCTGGGTGCGTCGAACGGTCGGTTCATTGAGTCGGGCCGTTCGAACCCGCTCGCCGAAAGCAAAAGCGTTGTCACTCGGAAGCTGGATTCCGAGTTCCTTAACCCGGACCATCCGAGGCCGGTATTTCCCGCTGCTGAGACATCGATCGAGGATAAAACAGGCCCAAAATGTTCGGCGTTTGGTCTCTTGCGCAATGATATCGTCAGAGGTCGGTTCTCTGGGTTCTACACGCCGTGGCAGACCAAAATGATCTGCCTCGGTTTTCAAGCCGGGGGACGTACGCGAAAGATCTCGCGCTGGGAATTCATTTTCAAGTTCAAACGGCAGACCCATAGCCTGTGCAAGCCGGATGGCCATGCCTACATAGACCCACGCACTTTTACCTCGGCACATCCCCCACTCGTGCAAGGCTAACATCAATAGCGCCTGTACGCGTACAAGATCAGGCTGGGCAAGGCAAGCGCCATCCAAGCCGGCCAGCCGGCTGCGGAGAGCTGCCGCATAGTATTCCGATGCGGCAAGCGGATTCGAAGAATGATTAGGCGATGCTGGTGAGTGAGCCGCAGCCAGTGGAGGGTGAAAGCGAGCAGTCAGAGCCAGTACACCCAGCGGAATCAGTGACGAAGACGGGTCCACCTTATACACGGGATTCCGGGGGTCTTGTCCATCGAGAGTCGCGGGAGGAGCAGCGGGAGACGAAAGCTGTCGAATCTGGCCGAGAAAGGTCGCAGGATGTAGGAAGGGTAGAAGGGTCGCAAAATGTGATTGGAAGAGATCGAAGACGGCTTCCCAAACTTTTGTTGTAAGTATCGAGGAATCAAGCGCATCCATCCCGAGCTTGGAACCAGCCGATGAACCAGAAATGCCTACCACCTTGCGCGAGCGATGTCGTTTCGGGCCATCCCAATCACCATTTCGATCATCGCCTTCTGCCAGGGTAGCCAAATCTCGTTTGGCGCCGCTTACTCCGATTGCTGGGGTTGGGTAGACACATTCGCGCCCGGATGACTCGCACGCGCGGCATGTTGTATCGATACCGGCATTGACACACTTGATTTTACTGCGCCGGCATCGGGCGCAAGCGATGCTAGACCGCATGGTGTATTGTAAATATCCGGGGTATGCGGATATGTGGCGGCTCGATTTGTATCAATCGCAATTCTCCCATTTACCATCAATATCAGGGTTGAAGATCGTTTTTTTTTTTTGCGGGGGAATAATCTCGGGGGGATCAAAGCAACGTTTGGCTTCTAGATAGTTAGCATTGTATATGCAGGACTGTTGCAACACTTACTAAACCTGAAGAAAGGAAAGAGAAAGAGGGAAAAAGCCAAGGGAGAGGAAGAAGAACGGAATTGGCGGAGTGTGGGGGAAACTCAAAAGTATCGGGGCACCGGACCGGGAGAAACACAAGTCGGGAGGGAACGGGGAATGTCTCGACCGGGGAAAAAATGCTAGGATAATTTAAATAAAAAAAAGAAGTCAAGAAAATAGGGAAAAAAAAAAAAAAAAAAAAAAAGAAAATGGAGCCGAAAGTCAGAGCCGCTGAAATTGCGGAGGACCAAAACTATGCAAGGACGCGCTTTTTCCTGGAGGTGGAGCACCCCCAGTTTCCGGGCTGCCGAGTTACGTAGTTCCTATTACTTGTATTCTATGCATATAGCATAGTATAGTATATAGTATACATATAAAAATATTTATAAAGACATATATTCATATATATATATATATGAGATATGAGATATGATAAATGTATTTATATTCTATAAATACAAGTAACATATCTCATGTAACAATTCCTCATTTATCCAATATATACCCTCTCGGCACGGGAAATACCCTGCGGTCTGAGCGTCCTAAATAGGGAATATCCCCAACTCTTACCTCTGATCTCATGATCGTCATCTCGCATGTCTACCCGACTCGGGCTCAACTCACGGTCCGAAAATATGAAAGAGAAATAAAAATAAAACACTCTGGTCTGTCAGGTCTGTCAAGTCTTGTCAAAGTAGGACATTGTCTTTTCTACCAGACCAAATTCAGATCCATAGTACCCGGACTGGCTGGAATAACAATACCCGTCCACTCGCCGGCCGATTGTCCTCCGGCCACCTTCCGGCATTTTTCCTTCCCTATGGGGCCGTGAGGATAAAGTGCCCAAAATCTGGGGGATCGGTGGATTTGGGGGAGACATCATACATACAACGTTGTACATCCTGGTTCCATGACCGCCTAGACCTCTCTATACCTAGGGTACAAAGATACCATTTAACTTCAACCTAGGTAATTGACCAGGTTTACCCCCGTGGCAGCTGATGTCCGATCGGCATTTGTCTGGGCGGGAAATCCATACACCGTCTCTTCCCGCGTCGGAAACACCAGAATAGGCAAGCGGCAAGTAAAAAGAGTGTTGTACCCAGATGGCGGGGTGGGCATTCTCGGAGAGTACAAACGAGTATCCATTGCGAGTCATGAAAAAGAACGGGAAAAAAAAACAAAAGGCGACTCCACAAAATGCAAACCCAGTGGATCGGACCATAAGGCTTTTTCCCACATGGTTTTTTTTTTTTCATTTCTCAAGAGGGGTATCTCGGGCCATTTGGATCCCTCGGGTATAGTCTCGTCCCCAGAACACGGATGCACCTGCCATCCACGCAGCCTATGGGAGGATCAATCTGGGGAGAAGGGAATATAGCATCCAATCAACGATCTCCCAAGACCAACCCTGGTCGGAGCTCCCCGCAAAGAAGCGAGATCCTAGATCCTCACGGGAGTTACATTGAAAGTTACCCTTTCAGTGATTGGCGACTGTGACCTTTCACCTCTCACCCCGTATTTGATGGCGGTCTCCGTGTGACGTTCCTACAATGTGGCCTGTTGGTGTTTCCTTTTTATCCCCCCTAGCTTGCCACCCGTCACAGGTGGAAGAATCACGGAAGGGATCAATAGAGAGACAAACGAGGTCCCCTCAGAGGCGTCTATTTCACGGGATGGGGAATTGGACTGGATATATCCTTACTTCTACTGTCATCCCTAGTTTAGTATATCCATGTAAAAGTGCAAACAGACCGAGTCCAACTGCAGAGAATTGCTTTTTGTGTCATCCCTTACAGAGTCCAAAATTGTGCAGTTCCGAGGTTATACACATGCTCTGGAATGTCACACATCGGAAAAGTCATACACCGAGTTTTTCCCCCGGTCACATTTCGGCCCCATCCGATTCAACGATTGGACCGCAACGTCCGAGGCGCGAGCGATTGGACCCCGGATAACCCCGCATTTCCTTTATATTAGGTAAGTCGGACTTTTGCAGTTCTGTTCGTCTTGTGTATATAGAGTAGTATTTTGATATAGTATGTCTAGGTAGTAATGAAGAATTCGAGGACTCAGGGCACCGATAGTCATGTGCCGACTTCTATAGTAAAATCTCCGATAGCCTTTTTTTTTATATAAGGTGGATTAACAGTGGGGAAGCTTAAAAGGGCAATTCCAGGGTTGAACGGCTTCAGTTTTACATAAACTTGAACATTGCATATCCCGATGCTACTGCGACATTGTCCTTCCACATTCTTAGCTCTCTACAGGGGCTCGGGCTCCCCAAAATTAATAAAAGGAAACTCTCATCTGTTTTCTTCTCATCCGCTTTAACCCCCCAATTTTGATTTTCCGAAATCTGATATTATCCGAGGCATCCCGCACCGAATTCCCGTTCAATTTAGAAATTCAATACCATTGATGATAAGCCTCCCCAGAGTGGCTTTGGAATTTATGATTTCCAACGAGAACCAACGGTCGGCATCAAACCCTCGTCCTCCTCTTCCGTGTCCTTTCTCGGCGCGGAGCAGTTGCCGACTCCAAGATAATCTATCGGCACGTGGTACTAGTTATTCCAGATCATATCATGATGTTTTTACTCCGTGATCCACGAAGTACGGAGTTACTCTAGGATAATAGCCAAATGTCTTAGTTTCTTACAGGCTAAACGCTTCAAAGAAAAAAGAGTAATCAAAACCCCCGGGAGGGTGCCGGATTCCACTACTCCGTACGGAGTACTCCGCAATGAAAATGTCAAGGATTCAAAGAACAGGCCAGGAACAATCCCAGCCTCCCCACATCGGCTCGGTTATAACGTCGGTGGCATACCGAGTCTCCCGAAGTCTGGATTTGGACATCGAGCCTCCCGTGCATGATTAATTTTTAGCCCGATAATTTTCCGGTGGCTAAAATATGGAGTGCGTCTTAATAATGTGATATTAGCATAATCTTCTCCTTTATTTGTGCGCATCTGCTGACTCGCTGAATTCGGGAAATCTGTCCCGAGCCCTCAAGGGCTTGCCCAATCCCCACTCCCCGGTGGCCCCGGGGAGGAGTTACACCGAGTTAGTCAGCTTGGCTTTTTAGCCTGATCTGTCAGGTTATGTGGACTTGTCCCGGCTATTTAGATTTGCTGTTTTTAATTGGATTATTGAATAGAATCAGTCATTTTTCTCTATAGGGAAATAAAAATGCGTCGGACAAGGAACCGCCAAGATGGATATATTATGAGCGATCATAATAGAATCCGACAAAAAAAATTTAATAAAAAATTCAAAGCAAACATGGTACAGAGAAGAAAAGTAACTAAAAGAAATCCCCCAGGATTGGGATAGTAAATTAGAAGATATCGTATCGTCAACGGGGACCCAGCCCGATGACTATAATGAAAGTAAAGGTTTAATCGAAGAACCTAGATATACAGTCAGTAATGGAGACTTGTCAACCATCTGTAACAACCACATACCAAGCGGCAAGAGCGATAATCAGATACATCATCATCAACAAGACACCCTCGAGCCAGTGGGACTTGCCATCACCAATGAGGTAGTTCACCTATGAAACAACAACGGTTAATACGAATGATATATGGATTTCTCCCTGTACGCCGAATCCACTTACCAAAAGAACAGACATGAACAGTACAATCACCTGGAATCCGTCGAAGTTGAGAGTCTGTCGCAGTTAGTACTAGCCCTAAATTCAAATTAACCTTTTGCGTAGGGCTCATCCATACCATATCCTCAACACCAATGATCCACCCAAGAACAATAATCAGCGGCAGCACAAGCAACGCAATCTGCATGCTCGATCCAACAGCAACACCAATCGCAAGATCCATCTTATCCTTGCACGCCACAGTCACCGCGGTAGCGTGCTCAGCCGCATTACCAACGATAGGCAGAAGGATTAACCCGACGAATGTCTCACCAATGTTACCGGTAGCTGTTAAAGCGTCGATGGATTCAACCTGTATAGATACATGAGCTTACTGCAATTATGCAAAAGAGAAAAGACCTGAAACAGATCAAGGAGGGAGGTGTATGTACATACCATGAACTCAGCACACGTAGCAACAAACGCAGTCGAGATAATCAGCGTGAGAATGGCAACCATAACGGACAACTGCGGCTTCTCGGTATCATCATCGGGATCCTCCATCTGCATATGGTCGGCATTCTGTCCGACCATGGGCGTGGCGGTCATTTTGCCGATCTGTGCGATGCCACGACTGGCATCGCCTTCGCTGACCTTCATGTGCCGCCGTTCAACCTTCTCGCTAGGTCGGTTGTACATGTCGGCGTGTGACTTTAGCTGGAAGAATAGGTAGCAGCCGTACACGATTAGAAGGAGTACGCTAGTGCCTGTAGTGCAGTGTGAGTAAAAAAAAAAGGTAAAGCGATGGACCGGGCTGAAGATTCTCGGCGAGTAGCTTACCTCTAGAGAGAGCGGCAGTTCCGTCGCCGTTGTTAACTATAATCAATGTGTTAGCTCTCGTGTCGATTTGCGAGTCCTGAGATACAGTCATAACTAACGGTTGGACCACTGATGGTAGGCAGTGGGGATGATCAAACTGCTAACAGCTAATGCAAGCATACTAGCGGCTGTCTGAGCAACTGTCACGTTGAAATTTTGCTCTATGCGGGGGATACCACCGAAGAAGAAGCACATGCCCAGTACCAAGAGTAGGTTGGACAGCATGCTTCCGATGAGCGAAGTCTGCACAATGAGGGTTTTGCCTTTGACCAGCGCGATAATTGCAACGATCAGCTCCACGGCATTGCTAGATAGGTTAGAGATGGTGCTGCAGAAGGAGATAGTGGGTGGTATAAAACATACCCGAATGAGGCGTTCAACAAGCCACCGATGGTTTCGCCCGTGCTGGAGGAAATGTAAGTTTAGCTGAAATAGACCCAGAGATATTGGAGCATACCGAAGGGCAATCTCTTCGGTTGCGAAGCTGAGCATGGCAGCAAGAGGACTAGTGAATGTCTGTTAGCCATAAGATCCTCGAAAAAAAAAAGCTGGCGGTATAGATCGCTCACATGATAGCAATGAAGTTAACCACGAATACCGAAATTGGATTTGCTTTGATGGCAAAAAGTATGACTGTGCACAAATATAGATTTAGCACATGCACTTCATAGATAAACAGCCAACAGGGAGAGCAAGACATACTTCCAACAGGCGCAGCAATCAAAAGGACATTGACCCACGAGTTCAAGAGAGTAGCCCTTATCTGCGTGGCGAAAGTGAAGGTCTGATTATCCGAAAGCGACTTCTTATCCTCCCATTCATCGCTATCATGGCGACGCTTAAACCTGCCCAAGATGCCGCCCTTTCGCTGACGCGCTTGCGTGGATCCAAGAGTCTCAGTATCAGCCCTGCGCACCGATGAGACATTGATCGGGTCCTGGCTAGCCATAGACGGTTCAGGCCGAGACTTGTGTCCTTCGTGGTCGCTGCCAGCTGACTCTAGTGGAAACGTGTTTGAGTACTCCGGGACGCTAATACCGTCGGTCATTTCGTCTCGGCGGTGCTGGTCTCCTGCAAGATCACTCAAGCTCCGGGTTTGAGCTAGTCCACTCTCAAGCTGTATAGAGTTCGATCGGTTGTGTGTTTTTTTGCTGCTCCGTGCTGCTACATGCGCCGCCCTGCGAATTTTTTCTAGTTTTGTTCTTAGTATAACTTAACAGTTGAGAGGTTGAGTATCGATAGATTTTTTACTTACGCATGATGGCGGTGGATTGGTATGAGCCTGTTATGGAGAAATGAGATTGTAAGTATAGTCTTGCGAAATATACCTCAAGGGGAAATAAGGACAAAGCAACAACGGTTGGGAAGTAAAAGGGCAGCAGTGATGTTCAATTTGGGCCAATTATACGCGCCACAGCGTGGCTTGGGCTTGCGACGCCTGCGACAGTTGCCTATGAGAAGGGGCTAGGGAACACGTACTTGTTGACAGTTTCGATATGTGGGTACCTCAGCAGGTTGACAGGCTGAAGCGATTACGGATGCCTAAGCGCTGGATGGAAATGAGCCTCAGGATACAGCCACAGCAGAATGATGGATGACGGATCCGCGATGTTGAAAGGGGATCCAAGTAATGGGCACGCGCACAGGGAACAGCGAGAATCGTGCCCAAGCAAGGGGTAAGCGGGAAATCAACAAAGACTAAACGAGTGACAATTATGAAACGAGGAGTGTGAGAAAAAGAGCCAAAGGAGTGACTTGGAAATGAAGGGATAAATTTGTCTGCTAACAATTTTCTTTAGAGAACACAAACCTCAAGAAGTGTGAAAAACTCAGCCACACTCTAGCCCGGGGTGATTGTGATGGTGTGTATTGTGGTGGAATAGTGGAGCAAATATGAGCTTAGCGCCTATATATGTAGAAAAAGCAAATTCGGATCGCGAGACTGGTTGATACAAAATAGTTGATAGTTGGCAAAGGACTGGTCAGGCTGGGTATTTGTTTCCAGCCCAGTTCTATAAATTCTTGTTGTGCAAACTGAACTGCGTCAGATATCGTGTTGATGCGCTGGCTGGGATCCACGAAACACCGCCACTCAAAACCTTGGAACCGAAAGCTTTTCCATTGGAAGCTTTGTTGCTTTATGCTTGGGGTACTTGGCATAAACTTGTTTCTTACAGATCACCGACAATCTGCAGTCTTCAAATAGCATAGTCACACCACATCTGATGGATTTTCTCCGGTATTCCTGCAGATGTTAATATACGATGTACGGAGTACAATCGTGGCACAAAGAGAGGCAGGGGCCACAAATATGGGCCTTCCTTCATTGGGAGCAAATTTCCTCGAACACAAATTGCGTAGGGGGTTTTGACCCGCTCTTGGCATTGTTTTTTGGTCAATCAAGTATCGAGTATTGATTTTCACAGCACGATTGAACGCCACAACCCCTTTTCTTTTATGTCATAGTGTTGATTGCTTTCCTAGGTCAAATCAGACACATAATAAAGCAATCACGTGTTGGTTTCCAACGTTGTTGGTTGGTACTCATGTACGGAGTAAGCGCTGGGCAGCGCCCGTAGTCACATCTAAACAGGGTAGCCCCGGGGGAGCCTTGGAGGTGCTCTGGGATGGGCATGCTCCCCCAACAAGGGAGGAGGGATCGTAATCCTTTCATTAGGCAGGCCTGTGTCTGTATTGTCACTTGTTATAAACAGGCTCTTGTAATGAAGTGGTGATCAACCAGGCCTCGGGCAGGTACTGCAGACGTCGGTGGCTTGGGCTCGCTCTCCGAACCTAAGAGGTAAATGGCGTGGGTCATCCCGAGAAAATATATATCCACGAACACTAAGTTCCCTCAGCTGAATTGCCGACGTAGTTGGTTGTTGAGTTCCAGTTCTGTTTCGTTAGTTGCGTTGGTTGGTGTCTGTGCTGTAAGGTCTGCGTTCGGTTGCTGATGCGAAGTGAGACAGAGTCAGTCAGAGTGAGGCAAAGCGAAAGATAAGTTAAGAGACTTAAGTTGAAGGGCAAATATTTTGCAAATTCATAGTAAAGGAAAAATTTCAGCCCTATGGATTTCCGGGCCATCTTAAGGAATGGCCTTAAAATAGTTGCTGCCTACGGGTTTCGCGCTAGCCCACTTTGAGCCAGGGCTTTCAGTTCCTCTTCAGCCCTGCAAATTTATGCCTAATACTCATTTCATTTTGTTTACTCCGTACATTCTCTGGGCTTGAAAAATTAGGGATGAATCTCCCAAGATTGGCCAAATTTCCATTATTGGCCCGATGACCGACGGCGATATCATTCCCGTACATTCAAAGCTCAAGGCTTTGACTGATAACGCCGAGATGCAAGTGATGTTTCCAGTCATCAAGCATTGCAGGATAATCCTGGCAGATGATTACCAAAGGAAACAAAGAGGTTTTGTGAATCCCAAATGTCTGATACACTGTCCAGATTTGGGTGTTGATTATCACATGCCTCTTGCCTCCCTTCTGATAGCACGAGCAGGCATACTGTACAAGGCGCTCATAAAATGTCTATCCACCATCTCTAGCGGTGAGGATTCGAGCCTTGCACACAGTATTGCCAGGGCATATTGTTAATCTAGATCCTGGTTCCGACGACACCGAGTCAAATAAACTATTCTGAACTTCGGGAACGACGTCTGTTTTGTTGTGGGGAATCCTTTACAAGGGCGTGGAGCACGTCGTCAGTGCCCAAGATAGAAGCATTTCTATACGTATTGATATGTTCAACGTGTATCCACTATAAACAATAAAGGCGGGTTAATCTCTGTTATCTCGTACATTGTAGAGCAAAAATAAACATGTCTCGTAGCAAGCTAATACTTGAGAGTTTGATCTCACCCCAATGTCCAGAAAATGGCTCATGCATACTGACAATGATGCAAAGAATCCACCCGACTCCATGCCAAGCGGGTTATTAGGCCGCCACAAAAGCTTGGTAAATCAAAATAGATATTTATTCACATACCATGAGGCCCCGAACAGAAGGGGACTAGCTGTCTCGTACTCCGAAATCCGTCTAATATGTATATCTTGTGCTGGTATCCGCTCTTGACGTGATCGATGATATTCAGGGGTTCAGCCAACCCCTGAGCTGCACTGCCTGGCCTCGGATGGTAGTATGGTCTGCATTGGACTGTAGGTAGACTGCCTTTTTAAAAAGTCCTCGATTGCACAATCATCCCCAAGGAAAAGAGGGCTGTGTTAATATAACGTGAAATATCGTTGCCTGCTGTGCCGTCTGATCACCCGTGCTAATTCGAAGATGTTATGGCTATTGATAATTATTGTCCCAAATTAATAGGAAATGTATAGAAGGTTGCGGCTAATTTTACAAAATACTGCAATGGTCAATTTTAGTATTATCGGACCTACTTTGTAATAATATCTATCATAAATCATAGATGCTCCATAACCGAAATGCCCACTGCGTACTCCGTACTCCGTACAACACACGGGTACTCTTTGGAGCACAGACTCCACCGGTCTATGAGCTCAGACCATGATTTGAGACTGGCATTGCAGTTTATTAGATCTTATATTGTACTCTACATACTTATATTTCCATTTGAAGTGCTCTTGCAATTTACAAGCCTTGGCCAAGAATGCCCAGAAATTTCATCCCGAACGACGTCATCCGATTGATCGCCCTTGGCAACGAACAAGCTTTGTTTGCTTGAATTAAATCAAGAACATGATGATATCTGCCATATGTATATACTTTGTAAAATCTCGTGCGATAAACCTGTACACTTTGTGAGCCGTATCTGAATGGGTTATTCTGTATAAGTACAAGGTACTGACTTTCCAATAGATTAATACCAGAAAATCAAGAATAGGACTCCACAACATCCTCCAGTCAGGATCTTTCAGGGTCTTCCGAGCATTATCAGCCGTCCGCGGGCTTGCTAGTGCATCTACTTGTTTCAGGGGCAGTGGCAAATAAGCAAAGATACAAACGGAAAAGGTTTGACAGAGGAAAATAGTGGAGAGAGGTGTGGAGTATAAGGGCCAATGACGTGGGATATCAACTTCGTCCACTTCTTGTCCCATCTGGATTGCCAATCATATCTTTCAACTGATTTACTAAAAACAAATATAGAAAAGAATAATGTATGATAATCCATTGATATGCGATGGTTTATCCACATGAATGCGCGTACGTACCCCCTTGGGTCATCCACTTCCCCCTTCCAGAGAGACACTTTTCTTCTCATCCCTTCCGACATTGTTGCCTTCTTCTTTCTTTTATTTACATTCGATATTTGCTATAATTAAAGACGGTGGTGTGTCCGTCAGACATTCCTTAGGATTTCAGTTTCTTTGCACAATGAAGGCCTCTATCATCGCTGGCCTGTCCCTTCTGGGAGCGGCCATGGCTGCCGACGTTCCCTCCATTGAGATCAAGGGCAAGAAGTTCTTCTACTCCAACAACGGAACCGAGTTCTTCATCCGTGGTGTCGCCTACCAGCCTAACTACACGGGTCGCAACGGTGCTTCTGGCAAGGACTCATACACCGACCCGCTGGCCATCGACAGCTGCAAGCGTGATATTCCATACCTGACCCAATTGCGCACCAATGTTGTCCGTACATACGCCGTCGACCCTAAGAAGAACCACGATGAGTGTATGAATGCCCTCGCTGATGCCGGTATCTACTTGATCACCGATCTGTCTTCGCCTAGCGAATCTATTGTGTCCGATGACCCTACCTGGAACTCGGATCTCTTCACTCGCTACTCCCAGGTCGTCGATGCCTTCGCCAAGTACCCCAACGTTATCGGCTTCTTTGCCGGAAACGAAGTCGCCAACAAGGTCAACAACACCAACTCCATGGCATATGTCAAGGCAGCCGTCCGCGATATGAAGTCCTACATCAAGCAGAAGGACTACCGCAGCTCCCTCGCCGTTGGCTACGCCACCGACGATGACGCCACCGTCCGTGAAGCCGTCTCCAACTACCTAATCTGCGACGAAGCCGCCGATTCAATCGATTTCTTCGGTTACAACATCTACGAGTGGTGCGGCGACTCCAGCTTCCAGGAATCCGGTTACGCCGAACGCACCAAAGAATTCGCAGACTACCCCGTGCCCGCCTTCTTCTCTGAGTACGGCTGCAACGAAGTCCGCCCCCGCAAGTTCACCGACGTCCCCGTCCTGTACAGCGACAAGATGACTGACGTCTGGTCCGGCGGCATTGTCTACATGTACTACGAAGAAGCCAACAAATATGGCCTCGTCTCCGCCGATGGCGACAACGTAAAAACCCTCCCAGACTTCAGCAATCTCTCCAAGCAAATGGCCTCTGCAACCCCAACTGGCGTGAAATCAGACAAATACTCCGTCTCCACCACAGTCGGCCGCAGCTGTCCCACCGTCGGCTCGGACTGGAACGCCGCGAGCAAGCTGCCCCCTTCGCCCAACGCAGATCTCTGCGAGTGCATGTACAACTCACTCGAGTGTGTCCCTAACTCCGATATCACCGACAAGCAGGTCGGATCCACTTTCGGCTATCTCGGCGGCGAGAAGGGCATCATGGACGGAGTGGAGTCGAACGGTACTACTGGCAAGTATGGCGCTTACTCCATGTGCTCGGCTAAGCAGCGTCTGGCCTGGGCTATGAATGTCTACTACCAGAAGAACAAGGGAAGCGCTGGCAGTGAGGCTTGTGGCTTTAATGGTGTCGCTAAGACCAAGAAGTCTACCTCTGCCTCTGGTTCCTGTGCTACTCAGATGAGTGCTGCTGGCTCTGCTGGCACTGGTGCTGTCGATGGTGGTCTTGCTGCTAGCACCGGTGCTGGTGCTTCTGGCTCGGGCGGTGGTGCTACCTCATCTGGTATTGCTGCTGGTACTGTTCCCCAGTTTGTGCACATTGGTGCTTGGCAGGCTGGTGCCTATGCAGTCGTTGCTGTTGCCTCTGGCGTCTTCATGGTCATGCTGTAAACTTGTATTCATGATTTAGACTGTCTTTTGTTTTATTTGCTGTTTTTTATGACCCCTCCAACCAGTTGGATTTGTGGGTGTGGCTTTTTTTTTGTAACATTGTTCATACATACTCCTATTTTGAAACTGCTAGCAGGTGTTCTATTATCGATACTACTTGAAAATCTACTGTTGATGTTATATTTCAATAAATAACCATTCTCTTGCTTGTGTTTGGTAGTTTCAGGTGTGTATGGATCTCGTTAGAATGCAATTCCAATAGCTGCCGATTTTTTTATTGACTATGCATTTCATTTTGTCATTGAGCCATATTGATAGCTTACGGGACACGACTATTGGTTTGAGCCTGATATTCTCCAATTTTACCACGCCCTCACTTTCCCTTTTAAGTGCTCATCTCTCTTTTCAATGTAAAACTGAGCACGCTCATCATGAGAAGGTGACCCCGAGAGTGCGCTAACTGTCTACTCCACTTATAAGGCTTGGAAAGTTGCTCCCGAGGTCAAAATCTTATATCGAATGTAATTTAGATTCGCATTGCTCTACCTGAACATCATAGATCTCCATGGTTACCCACAAATTTTGCAACTCGTTCTCCCAAGATAAACACACCCAGAAAACACCTCGTCCAAATCAAACCAAGCCTGTTAGGTCTCTCCCAAGAACGAGAACCATTCCAATATACAAGTACATAGTTAGGTAAATTTTATCTACCGTCTATCTGTCGTATTTTCCTCCCAGATATATTCACTCTCTCGTGACGTATGCAAAGAAAATAAAAAACAACGCTCGCAGACTCAAGTATAACTTTTTCACCAGGGATTAACAGCGATTAGTCAACGTCCTCTCCGTTCTCCTTTCGGTCGGGGAAGTAAATTTTGAGTGTTTCCAAGACGCCCTTTTCGGCAATATCTTTCATGGCCTTTTTCATCTCAGTTATGAACCTCTCATCGCTGCGCAAGTCGTCACCGAAGAGGTTCTTAATTTGGAGCAGTCCTTCGGGGCCGCCACGGTCAGCCTCGGCCGCAGCCCGGAGCTCGTTAAGCATGGGGTCAACGACATCGAACTTCTTGTTCTGTTCATCGACACCATTGATATAATGGAACCAAGCAGCCGCAACGAAACACAGGCGGCGGAACGGATATTCGATGCCATCCTTCCTAGACTTCATGATCACCTCGGCAATCGACGGCATGATAAACTGCGGGATCTTGCCGGAAGCATTGAGACAGATGCGGGGCAGCTGATCCTGGATTGTTGAGTTGGAGAAGCGCTTCACGAGTGTTTTGCAATACTCATCAATGTCGACGCCTGGAATCTGGGGCAAGAGCGGCTTCACCTCCTCTTGCATCATTTCCCATACCAACTTGCGCAACTGTGGGTTATCCATGACCTCGTGGACGTATTTGAAGCCTGCCAGTTGGCCTGGGTAGCCGATGGCGGAGTGGCTGCCGTTGAGCAGACGGAGCTTGTGCATCTCGAACTGCTCGACGTCGTGGACATTATTAACGACCTGGACACCGACGTTCTCGAATGGTGGGCGGCCGTCAGAGAACTTGTCCTCGATAACCCACTGCATGAAGGGCTCTGTGACGACGGGCCATGCATCCTCAATGAGGAACTCCTTTGCTAGTGCAGCTTTATCGTGCTCTGATGTCTGAGGTGTGATGCGGTCGACCATGGCGTTAGGGAAAGCGCCTTTCTCGGCAATCCAATCCGCTATCTCGGGATTACGCGAGCGAGCAAATGACTCTAGCATGTGGCGTGTGATGGAGCCGTTCTTCTGCATGTTGTCGCACGACATGACGGTGAAAGGATTGAGTCCTAGGTTGTAGCGTCGTGCCAGAGCAGCGTAGAGGAAGCCGAAGGTTGTGCGCGGTGCGTTCTCGTTCTCTGGTTTGAGATCGGACTTGATATCTGGGTGCTCGCTTAACAGCTCGTGTGTATTCTCGTTGTAGTAGTAGCCGCTTTCGGTGATAGTGAGCGACACAATACGGGTATCAGGATGGGCCATCTTGGCGATGACAGCTTCGCGGTTGTCAGGGGCATAGAGGTATGAATTGATGCATCCAACAATGTGGGCGAAATTCCTCTTGTCGGAGCGTTCCATGACGGTGTAGAGGTGGTCCTGATCTCTCAGGACATCGCGCATAGCAGCATCGAAGGGTTGCAAGCCAACGCCGCAAATTGCGTAGTTCCTAATACCATGCTTCTCCATCAATTGGTCGACATAGACGGCGAGATGAGCTCTGTGGAAGCCGCCCACGCCAATGTGGACGATTCCCTCAGTAACAGGTTCCTTGCGGACACGGTAGCTTGGGATTTGGATCTTCCCAAGACTTGCCTGTCCAATTCGTTGCAGGTTCTTGCTGTTGAGCTTGAGAGCTGCCATTGTGGTCAGGGGGGTTGAGGGAGTGAGCTTGAGAAAAGATGAAAGGTTTGCAGCTGAGTCGACCATCGTGCGAGGGCCACCGCTGGTTTTGACTGCAGATCTGAGAGACTGTCTAGGGAGAATATTACATCATGTGGACTCAAACCGCCACCCCTGAAGGTGCCCACCTTCCTGCGACTGCAAAGAGCCATATGGAATAATCCTTTGGCATCTGATTAGTTTGTTGAAAGTGGAGATTAACTCATCCAGTCCGCTCCCAGCCTTGGGAATCTTGGAATTCTGGAAAAGTTGTGCTGTGCTAATAATAAAGGTACACCCTTGCGTCAGAGCTGTCCGCTTCCGATTTCGGGGGCCGAGAACATTCTTTTCCCGATATGCAGCCCCTTTCGGGAATTTTGTTATGGTTTCGGGACTTTTTCAAAGGTCACAAGACATCGTATGGGGTTTCCCCTGTAGAGTTTCAAAGGAATAAAAAAAAGGGTCAGCTGGACTGAAAATTTGAAAATTTTCAATAGTTGATATGTTCAATTTTGTGAGATCATAGCTGAAATTGGAAAGCCCCACCCGAGGAAATCCGGTCTGGAGTTGCCTCTTTTTTTTCTTTGTTTTGTTTTTCATTTGGAATGGAGAAATCAATAACATGTCATTGTTGAAAAGCGTTTTCCATCAAGTGGTAAGATGGCCGAGTTGGTCTAAGGCGCCAGGTTAAGGTATACCTTAACTCTACAACTAGCAATAGTTTCCTGGTCTCGCAAGAGGCGTGGGTTCGAATCCCACTCTTATCATATGTTTTTGATTTTTTTTTGCTTCTTCATTGTTTTCATAATTCTGAAATATTGTTATAGAAGGTATGGAACATGTTCATGAATTCATATATTTTGATTCGTATTCCAATTTTTTACCATATTAGGATACATAATTAAGATCGCCCAGGCTGTTCATGCACGAGGGGAACATTCTTTCCCGCAAGCCACACGGCAATCAGAGGCCCCTGAACAACAAACAACTATCATTGGCATGAAGCACGATGAAATTACAATTAATATAAAAATTTGCCATCCTGTATTTTCGGCTTCTGCGGGGAAAATAAAATTCTATCTACGGAATACGGAGTATAAATTTTCAATATCAGCCCTGGCCAAACGGAGGTGAGGATATATATCGCTTACCCACAAATATAAATCTCACCTGCAGTCTCACCTGGCCACTATATAAAAAAATGGCAATAAATATGGCAAAGGCGGCAGCTAAAAATTTCCCGCAATGAGACAATCATATCACCTGGACACACTATTTCACCGGGTGACGGAAACCGCGCGGGTCCATCGGCAAAGAAAAAAGTGAAACCCCCTGAGCTATCTTCTGGGGCGGAGTATCCCCAGAAGGAAGTCCTCACAAAAGGAGCCAGCTCTGCGGTCTTACTTTAACACGGAGAATGGTCCACGTGAAGACAAGGATTGTATAGTGGCATGTTGGCACCGTCGTATAGGCTGACCCGAAGTTGTCGTCGAATCGATAGCCCTCAAGAGTAGTGCTTGTGCTGGTTTGTAAAGACCAAGCGAGCAAATAAGCCAAAAAAAAATTAGCGCTTTTATAGGGAGCTCATCTTGGCGAAATGGCCTTGGAAAATTTGCTGCAAGACCCCTATTGCGGTGTCCCAGAGTCGGACTGTCCGGTCACCAGAGCCAGAAACTAGTAGACAGCCATGGGGAGAAAATGCCACTGAGCCAATTCAATATAAATGGCCCTCAAGAGGTTGCCGTAGAACCCCTATCGTGGTGTCCCAGAGTCGGACTGTCTGGTCATTAGAGAAGCCAAGGATCGGCCATTAGACGGGAAGGCCATCGAGACAACCTGTGATTCTGTACCTCACGTGTTCTCAACACGTGGAAATCGAGCAATCCGCCGAGGAAGACCTGCTCCAAATTGTTTCTGAGTTATTGTGCTTGAGGGTGCAAATGCAAGCCCCAAGCAGTCAATTTGTAGTGTTGAGTCATCAATCAGAGTATTTTTCAGAACTTGGAAAGTGTTTTGCGTCCTGCAAGGACTCTGACATTATGTCATGCCTACTCTGGGTACCTAATTATGCATATCTACCAGTATATGTTGTTTTATAGAAGTGAGTGAGCAACCCATAGGTAGGCTTGTCTGTAAAAGGTTAATAATGATCCCGACCACTTCTGGTCCGAAACCTAATAGATTGATTGCCTCCATCTGATGTATGAAATGTGTCTGGAGAAACGAGAGAACATCATGCATTATAGCATGCAAGTACATATGTGCATTGCATTAGATGGTATACCTAATATCGAAAGGAATACTGCAATTAAGGGGAAAGATAGTGATCGATAACTATATATGGCACGTAGTGTTCCACCACTTGGTAGTCAACATATATTCTTTTTTAAAAAAAGGTTGACAGACAATAAGGCACTGAGTGGCTAACGTACAGTACACTTTCTTCTCATCTATCTAAAACGGGGGTTTGTCGCGTGTTTCCGGATCAAGAAGATAGTCTCGGAATAAGAGATAGAAGATCCGTATCGGCAAATTCTCATTATCCAGTATGTACAGTACACTCAGAATCAAGTGTGGTGGGTTTAGTCTGAAATCGACACCTCTTTAAGGGAGTTTAATAATGTCCAAAAGTAAGATAACTAAGAGTGGACTCTCTACTCCATACTCCGTAATAGTTATCAGGATTTTGCTGACCACTTACTGAAATTGACGAACCATTTGCTTCTTCTATCCCCCACCTTATTCGCCGAGAAGTCATTTAAGCATATACACGGAGTAGGAAGGTACATTTTATTAAGCTTAGATGTACGGAGTATATAGTTATCATTTCGGCATTTTAGCATCTTATTAAGACCGATATGTGGGTCCTAATAGAGATCTTTAAATAAATGACATGTAAGTAATAGCGCCGAAAATAAACAAGCGCACGGACAATGTCACTAGATATAAATAATTGAGCTTTTTAGGTTCGTTGGTAGGCAAGGAGGGATCTGACTATACATTTGAATGTCGATGTTTTAAGAATAACGATACATCATGCTCTATGCATAGGTTGGGAATTTCATAAAGGATCAGATCTTCGTGTTCATTGTGGTGCTTAAGAATATCGAAAGATTGACCATTCAGGCCTGCTGGCTAAGAAAACACGCGCGCATACAACATACACAGCCTGTAGCTTCTGCAGCTGTGATAGAAATCCGAGTATAAGTCTCCTATCATTATCGGTTGGGACTTTGGTAGAGCACATTCAGCTCCCAGAGAATTCCTTCGAGATCCTTAACCGCTTGCTACAGCTCCAGAACTTTATCTCTTGCATTCTCTCTTCCTGAATGTAGCTGCTGCAAATCTTCATGACGTTCCGGCTAGTTAAATGACCGCGATAACGGTGGTTAGAGATAACAGTCCATCCATCGTGGAAGGTATAATGAGGAAAATATCCCTGTCAAGATCTGGGCTTAATATAGGAGTTTGCAACAGCGTAGAATAAATCTAGGCTGACTTTAGGAGCGGTCACTGTAACTGCTGAGAGTGCGGCCACCTGGGCAAATGACTGTGGTTACATCATAATGCTGTAATATAGGACATATGATCTTAGCTCCTACTAACCGGCCCTTACTTTTTTTTACAAAAATTATAGACCCTCGCTTGCGAGGGTCTGCCACCCATATGGAATATACCACCCATATGACACATTTTTTGACAATTCACAACTTTCTCTTTAACTATCAACCGCTCCACCCACCATGCCTAAAATAAAGTTAAAATACATATAAGCTTATATCAAGAAGATATAGACAAAACATCCGAGTTAAAAAAGTGCGATATCGTGTAAATTCCCGGCTCCTAATCGTCGACTTCGATGATGTTAGAAATATAGAAAATAGAAATTTAGTATTACAATTTTCTTTGAAATCTTATTACAACCTAACATATATAATAACCCTATCCATCAAACTCCGAAATGCAAGTTTTTAGAAAAACTTTTAGGGAGCCCTGTTCTAGTATTACGATTTGAAATTTTAATCAACTATACACCTATATAGTATAAATTTGAAGGCGTCCCTGAAAATTACCCTTAAATTTTATCAAAGCGCTAGGATAGCACTAGAATATTAGCGCTATACTTTAAATGGAATGTGCTAATGTAATATTGTTGAGAAAAAGAAACAATTACATATGTAGAATACAATTTTATGATAGATTTCCATGATAATTAGTGATACAAAGGGTGTAACTAACTAACTAGTTACCTACTACTCCGTACTTAGCACCATGAAGCCTTTATACCTTTTGTATGGTCTGCCTAGTAAAAGGTATAGTGTCATATGGGTGGCGGACCCTCGCTTGCGAGGGTCTGTAATTTTTGTAAAAAAAAAATGTAAGGGCCGGTTAAGATCTATCTGTGCGCAGATGGAGAAATATTTGAGGTAAGATAAACTTTTATCAACATCAAAGGTCTCAGTCACTATTGAAACTGAGTCTGTGCGAATATGTGACGGTTCTACATGATCCCGCCTTCCCGATTTCCGGGCTGTCAAATTTAGAATTGTCAGTTGAATCGTCGGCCCGAGCCGACCGCATCCAGCCATGGAAACCCTCTGGCGTAGACCGCAGCACGAAATGTAAACATTGAGTTTCAATAAGTTCATGTACTTGGAAATAGCCGAGATGACCGGAGGGGTAACGGAGGTGTGATACGTATGCGGAAAGGGAGGTGCACTCGTTTAGGGTGACTGAAGAGTTTCGAAGTTGGTCGAGAAGAAGGTGAGAAATGCAATAAGGTACTCTTGGGTGTCGGCGCATTAGAGATGGAGATTGGTCAGGTGAAGCCAGTGCTAGTTGATGAAAACAGAGGGTTTGACGGATGGAAGGTGATGCGACAGCTAACTAGATGCCGAAATAGAGATAACGGCGGTATGTTAGAAGGTGGAGAAGTTGCGCCTTGAAGGAAAATCGCTTAGAGGACCATAACGAGGAAGTTGAAAGAGCATCCGATAGCTTGTCATCTGTCAAGAGAGGTCTACAGCTAACAATATGTTGCATTGTAATACATAATTTAAAGTACTTGTATGTCACTTTTCTACACCGCGCTATAGAACTGTAGTTTCAATTTGTTCTAGTCTTAAGACCTAGTAAATCAAAGTCTTACCTCATGCACTCTTTCAAGGTGCTCAATCATATCCTCTTCCAGAACAAACATTCTATTACACTCAGAGCAAACGTGGTGCATCAAACCCACCGCTCGCTCCGCAACCGCATAAACAGTAGCCTGAATATTGCCACTAGGCTCAAGCGGGAAAATACTAGCGTCAACGACCCTCAGATTTTTCGTCCCGTAAACCTTCAGGTTAGAGTCAACAACACCCCCATTCTCCCTCGGCAGCATAGCGCACGACCCCGCGGGATGGAAACACGTAAACAAGCGATCTTTAACGACATCCTTCACATGATCCAGGTCACTTAAATCAGTTGCGTTCTCAGGTATGCGTTTCCCGTCCTTGAGAAGAGTGGAGAATGGCGCAGTCTTGGCAATGCGGTCTACAAATTGCAGCTGTCGGGCCATGATCTCTAGATCAAGCGGATGCGACAGCAGATTCGGGTCATAGGTAGGCTTATCTTCAATCTTTCCGGAGGAAATATGGACCGAGCCGCGAGAGAAGGGGTGGTTGTGCAGCGCCATGATGGAGATGTAGTTTTCTGGAAGAGCTTTAGCCAGCACGTCAGTGAGGGTTGTTTTCCCTGGGTTCATGTGCAGCTGGACAGGGAGGAAGAGGTAGTGTGAGGAGGCCTCATCGCTTTGGAGAAGCGTCTTGCGGATGTGAGAATACTGCTCTTGCAGGTTGGGTGGGATGTTATCGTTGTCGAGGTATTTGGAGAGCAGAGTCTCAATTTCTTCTTTTGATACCGCACCAGTTCCATCCATTAGCGGGAGATATGCCATACTAAGGGGCATGCCTGCCAGCGGGCCTCCGCGCGTCTCTTCGTAGAGCTTCATGAGTGCTTGGACGACATTTGGATCGCGTAGGATATCGCCCGAGACCTGGCCATCGGCAATCTCAAAGTTGATGCTCGAGATGGCATGGTCTTGGAGGTTCTCACCCACAGCGGGGTTGTCAATAACTACCGGGATGCCGTGGGCCTGGAGAAGGTCTGCACGACCGATGCCTGAAAGCTCGAGCAGTTGGGGGGAGTTCAGACTGCCTGCGCAGAGAATAACTTCATGCTTTGCGGTAATTTGGTAGGCATCTGGACGACCTTGAGTCTTGACCTGCACACCTGTGGCGATGACATCTCCATCTTCCTGTTTGAAGAGGATTCGCTCGACCATTGTCTCTGTGAGAAGTTGTAGGTTCGGCCGCGCCGCAACCTCGGGTGAGTAGTATGCCGCTGCATACCCTCTTGTCCCCGTCTTGGGATCAACACTCAGTGGGCAAGTAAATGCGCCTAGTTTATGTCCATCGAGGGGATCGGCATCAGTTTCCCAGCCTAATTGCGCAAATGTCTCGTTCCAGGCCTTGTTGAATGGTCCATATACATCAGGTAGAGATACGGGGACAGGGCCATGAGATCCTTGATTATCAACTTTCATGTATCGACTTGTGCCGAGTAGTCCTGCTGTGGCCTCGCTGGGTGCGGAATAGGAATGGAATCCTCGAAGATAGCGGGCCATATTTTCGGCCCCCCAGCCATCGTTTCCCAGCGCTTTCCAAGCATCAAAGTCTGACGCGGCGGGGTAAACAACCGCGGAGAAATTCAATGCAGAAGAGCCGCCGACGACGCGACCGCGGGGCTGGCCGATTTGCCGGTCCTTCGCATGGACCTATTCATTAATTAGCATTGGATATGACAAGGCGATGTTTAGGGTGGGAATACCTGCGGGACACTCATGTAATCCCAGTCAAAGTCCGGGTTTCCATACATTGTGGCCAAAAATCCAGGGGTCTCGATACGAGGATCTCCCATCCGATTGGCGCCAGCTTCAATGAGGAGAACCCTGAGGGGGGCATGTCGGCTTAGGTGATTTGCCAGAACAAGACCACCGATTCCTGCGCCGATGATGATGAAGTCGTAGTCATCCATGTTACAGTTTCGCAAGCTTTGATTAAAGGGGGAAGTGACAATTATAGAAATATTTGGGAAGGATCAAGAGTACATAGTCGACTGACAGTAATCGGCTGATAGCGGAGTACACGGAGGGGTACGGAGTACATCTGGGCAATTCACACTTCCGGACTTTCATATCCACCATATTAGCTTGTTAGCTGATAGCTAATACATAGCTTGTTACTAGTAGCTCCGTAACTCCGTAACTTGCTCGGAAACCGAAGATCGTTAATATCCCTCAAGTCAGGCGGGATGTAACTAGGTTGTGATTTGTTAATAGCTGGAATAATGGAGACAATGGGGGAAATGGTCTTTGCAAGCTCGACTTAGCGCAAACTAGTGTCTTACAGACTTTCCAATGATAATCAATTCCTTCAGCCTTCAAGTCCTGGTAAATTAATCTTTTTGGTTCAAAAAACGGCCCGCACAATGACCCATACCAATTTCAAGGTTATTCCCTGCCGATCCCTTTGTCTGGCCAATTGATAGGCAGTCTGAAACCTAAGTACACCCAAGGTACCTTTTACGGAGCAATAAACGGGAACAATGATCTTATTTTGTGCGCTACAAAGTTTCTTCACCTTTTATACTCTATTTCTATACTGTGTTCACTGAAAAATTAATGGGAAAATGCAATTATACAATGTCTTCGCCTTCCCCATCGTGCGCGACCAGCTTATCGCCAATACAATCCTTGTCGCACTCGCCACCTTTCTGGTAATATTGCGTGGCATTTCCCGACGAATCCGAAAAACCCATGTAGGATGGGATGATGCATGTTGCGTCGCGGGGCTATTTCACACATATGGAATGCTCGCGATGCAATTCCACTATGCTCGTGTCGGGATGCGACACCACATCAAGGCTATCCCCCAGGAGAATGCCGTCATAATCGCTAAGATGCTTATGGTCTACCAAATCGTTTACTACAACGCCATGGTCTTCGCCAAGTTTTCTTATCTCGCCTTCTACCTCCGAATCTTTGTGTCGCGCGAATTCCGCATCCTGACGTGGATCTGTATGGGGTGTGCAGGTGCATACTGGACCGGGAGTATGCTTCAGATTTTCCTGATCTGCACGCCCTTCGAGAAGAACTGGAATCCGACTATGCCCGGTCATTGCGCTAGTCAGAATGTGGCATTTTCGACAATTGGAGCCTTTAACCTTATCACTGATATGATGATCATGGCGTTGCCGATTCGCTTTGTCTGGAAATTGCAGATGTCACTCGCGACTAAGTTGGCGTTGGTTGGAATCTTTGGATTGGGTATCTTGTATTTTTTCCCTTTCCCCGTGTTTCTAAGTTTCCAGTGGCAAAGTTCTCACAAATATCACAGTATTGCCTCCATCACTATCATCCGCATTCATATTCTCACCACGGTCGATTTCACCGATCTATCTTACTCAATGATCTGGGCTGCCTTCTGGAGTGTCACGGAACCTGCTCTTGCCATTTCGAATTCCTGCGCGCCCATGCTCCGACCAATTCTCAAGGCCGCTTTCCCGTCTTTGTTCTCCAGTGTCCGTATTGCATACTCGACGCAGCCGTCGACGGGACCCACCTTGAGTAAGAGTAGTACGGCGAAACGGGGGTATGGCATGGATGAGATGGATAGTGAATTCCCGCTCACTCAACTAGATCAAGTACCAGGATCAGCGGATGGAACGTCGTTGAATGATCAGTCGCAGGATGCTCGCTCACACTATATGCCATATCAAACATCTAGGTCTGTTGTTGGGACTCCTAAAGGGTTGCCATAACATTGCATGTCATCAATTTCACTTCTTTGTACATTGCCTCTCGGTCTCTTGAATGGAAGTGCTCACTTTGCCTAGGAACCTCCTTATATTACCTTAGTCAACAAACTGTGTATCCTCTCTCCCCCAATATAATACGCGCAGTCGTATGTGTGATCTCCAGACTAGACAACTGAGAACTGAGGGTTAATGGTAGATGAGGAGGCTCAACGGGAGATTAAGTCTTTTAGTGTGCGCTATGTGCAAGGTTTGGATCGTATGACCTGTGACATTCGGTGTCGGCACGCCGAAACTCAACTGCTGCGCCGAGAGATTGTTATATTGGAGATGGAGATGCCTATCGGTATTTTGATATTGATTACAGCGATAACTTTGGCACGGTCATATTAACACAGACACGTGAGTCTAATTTAAGCAGTTTGCCTGATTGAACGATCTGTATCATAAGCGAGCTATTACTTTGAATCTTGTTACACGCTGGACCGAGGCTCTTGTTCATGATCTGAATGGCTTGGCATTAGTTACTACTAAGCATAACTAACTAGTTAACTAATTGGGGCCAATTATTAATTCTTAGAAAATTCCAGGGAATACTTGAAGTCCCGACAACAGCCAACTACTCCCCCCTCTTCACATTTCTATTACAGGAAAGATTGCAGCACAAGGATGGAAACCCCTCTGGTAGCTGTAGTTACTGGTGCTGTAAGTCTTCCCCTGTTGCTCTAGGCCACCTCTCACCATTATTACAGAATCGCGGTATCGGACGCGCCATATGTGCTGCGCTGGCTCAGCAGTGTCGAGGTTCCTTGATTCTGTATGCAGCATCGCGTGCTGGGGCATCTCTCGATCTGAACAGCCTGACTATTCCTCCAACCGTGTTAATTCGCCCTGCTCAGCTCTCCATTACGGACCAGGCTAGTATCTCCGCCCTCAGCGCGAGAATCAAAGACGAAAACAATGGCTGTGATGTTCTGATTAACAATGCCGGGCTATATTACTTCCAGGAGAACATCACAGCCGCCCAACGTCAGGAAACTCTCGATGTGAACTATCGTGGCACGCTCAATGTATCTAAATCTACTCATTCCCTCTCCTCTTTTTTTCGACACCCCCCGCTAATTACCGCAGGTTTGTCAAGCCTTCTTACCAATCATGCGTAAGGGTGGCCGCATCGTTAATGTCTCCTCCCAATCCGGCCAGCTTAAATACTTCCATCCTCGCCTGCAAGCACGATTTCTGAATCCTGATCTCAACCTCACTGAGTTGGATAGTCTGATTAAGGAATACGTTGTACGCTGACCGCTAATATATTCTGTTTCCAGCCTGCTGACAACCACCCTCTAGCGCTCAGCTGAACAGCACACCGCGACCGCATCGGGCTGGCCCCCTCTTGCTTACTTCACCAGCAAAGCCGCTCTCAATTCGGTCACAAGGATTTTGGCCCGCGAAAATCCTCATCTGGTGATCAACTGTTGCTGCCCTGGATGGGTGGGCACACCGCTGGGTGCACAGGCGGGCCAGCCACCTAAATCTGTTGGTAAGTATGGACTTTCCCTCTCCCACGGGGCACTTATCTCACCATTCCATTAGAACACGGAGCGAGAATTCCGCTGCGACTGGCAATTGGGGAAATTGAAGAAATTAGTGGCCGGTATTGGGCGAATGATTCGGTGGCGAGCGCAGGCTCTGGAAAGGTTCAGGATTGGTAGTCTAGGGTTTCAATCATGAGTGTGTTAGAAGTAATTTGTGGAGATTTGCACTAAGTGTTTATTCTCTTAATTTGCTTGTAATTTTGGGATAGAAGCTTGTATGACGCCCTTATTAGAAATACAGGAAGTATTCAATGTTCGACCTCAGGATTTGAGAACTCTGAGTAAGCATATTACTAAATATTGTTCCTTTATAAGGTTGTCCGATGGTCTCTTCTCCCAAAATCTGTGAAGAATATCCATATGTCTCACGCACCCCCTGCAGCGGGTGAGACATTACATCGTTTATGCTGTATATGTCAATTAGTAGGAGAATGTCAAACCGGGACCCTGTTTCACTTACCGACATAAAAATAGAGCATACTAGACTTGCAGCAGCGGCCGCAGACACGCACATGAAGCTTTTCCCGAGTGGTTAACGTGCTGTTTGCCAGAGACCGAAGACTTAACACCTACATATTCTGCCATGAAGACACAATCACAGCAAGCGCCTGCTCACGCAACTTCTCGGAGATTGATTCAAGTAACTTGCTGCTAGTTCCAGAGACAATCTGCCTAACCTGAGATTGTGGGTAATCAGGGAGTAGAGCGAACAGGCCATTCGAGGCAGTATTGACGAATACAGCACCGCTAATAGACAAGCCAAACGTCAAGCCGCATAGTTGGGCTGAAAAATCTGCGTTAGCTAGTGATTCGGTAGAGGAATAAAGATACAAACCCAGTAACATGAGAGTCAGCCCATTGGATTCCTCTCCGGGCTGCACAACGGCTTGGATAACCGCGAAAGCAGCCTGGGTGTACGCCCCAGCCCCAAGACCCAGCACAATTTGGAGACCATATAGAACGCCCGAAGGTGTGTCAATATTGATAATAGTAGCTGTTAGTGGGGGTAAATGTTAGCATATGATGAAAGAAAACGTGCACTCCACGTATGACTCACACATTAAAACAGCCGGGATGAAGGCTATTAGGCTACCGCCCAGATACCAAGGCTTATAGTAACCGAAATGAGACATCATAGCACCGCTAGCTTGGGTAGTGGGGATTAGCAGGAAGATAAATGGGAGTAAACGGACCGCGGATCTGATCGCGTCGTCTCCTTGGGTGAACTGAAAATAGATAGGGATGTAATAGACACTGGTGTAGGACACAGCACCCACTGCCGCACAAGATATAAATAGAAGGACTGGCTCTTTCTGGGCAAAAAGGTGAATTGGTAAAATGCGTGTCTCGACCGAGGTGGCGATGCTGAAGCCCTGTTGTAGGCCGAATAGAACCAACAGGACACCGGAGACAACAAACAGTGCAATTATCTGGCCACTATTCCATAGGTAAAGGGTTCCACCAAAATTGATGGCCATAACCAAAGTTGTAAATGACCCAACGCTGAGTATGGTCCCCACCCAGTCGAAGCTGGCTAGTTTCCGCCATCGTGATGTCCCGGGTAGCGGGTCGTTGGACGGAATGACAAAAAGATAGGTTGGAAGTAAGATAGCCCCAAACAACAGATTGATATAGAATGCCCAGCGCCAGGTATACAGCTCAAAGGCACCGCCGACAACAGGACCCAGCACAGTCCCCAGACCCCAGACTAAGCCACTGGAATCAAAATTCAGTACATGACGACTCTGTTCTGGAAAATAATAGATTCACCTCAAGCTTAGATATTTTGGCCGCTCTTGGCTGGTGGTGTTCATGGAAATCAGAGCAAGCAGCCCGAAATACATGCCATTTCCGCCTGCCCCAGCGAAGACCCGGCCGATGATTTCGGCGTCCATCGTTGGTGCCCCACCACAAAGCGCAGAGGCTGCCATAAATATAATGGTGGATATAATAAATACCCATTTCGAATCGAAGATTGAGTACAGCTTCCCAATCGGAAGTACCATTGACATTCCTCCAATCATGAACCTGTGTTGAGTGAAGCTTGTCAGCGGTGAAACTGGTAGCTAGTGTTGTCATTTAATCCGTACCCCACCGATAGCCATGGCAAATCCTCAACCGAGTTGAAATGGTTGACAATTTTCTTTTCGAACATAAAAGCTGCTATTAGTATGCGGTTCTCGGCTGAGGGGAGAGGGCGATGCGCCTACCGGAGCGATGTTGGCAACGATCGTATTGTCTAGAGAGTAGACGAATATTGCAGTCAAGGTGCTAGCAAGAAATATGAACCACTAATGCAGTCAGGCATTTGCTTCCCTAAAAGTGAGTATAAACGAACCTTGAAGCCAGTGATATGCCGCTTTTCCTCTAGCTCCTGCGACAGATCACTTAGAGCGATCTTTTCAGCATCCTGGAGGACTTCTGGCTGTAACGACATAGATACTGTAGCCATGATAAATTAAACCGATTGCGTTTGTAAGAATAAGCTCAAGGGGAAGCGATATTGCTAATATATTGAATATATACTGTATAACATCGGATATTGTAGACCTTCAAGAGGTCAATTTGTCAACTCGGGGAAATTTCCCCGAGACTATGAAAATGCAGCGCGGTATAGTCTTTCTAAGTGGACAGGAATATGAATTCGGAGATTAACATTCTACAAAAGTTACCGACGCTCTAACGGAGACTTTTATGTGCGGCAGATCTACCGGCCGACTCCAGATAAAGTCTCCGCCTCATTTTTACCTATGCATATAGGTACTAGTATTAATCGAAGTACCGAAATCTATAGAGTCTGTCATATATGATTATATCCATACCACTGAAGGTTTCCTTGGATCGAACTCATCCCCAATACCATGGATATCTATCATCATTATGTATATTGATTTGCCCGCATCACACAGCTATAAAAGCTAGCTGACCTTCAATAACATTACAATAGTGAAGATAGAAAGGGCCACAATGATACCAAGTCCAATACACGGTCTATCCCCCATCCGGGGGTTGGGCTGGATAGGACCAATGCAAACGAGTTCAATGCGAATTCTTGATATGTACCTTTTCTATAGAACCACCCTAAAAACGGTACTCGACGTCGAAATTCCTTCGAAATAATGCTACTCAATCACAATGTAACAGAGATAGAAGGAAATTAATTTAGCCCCAGAAGATATGGTGTTGAGAACGACTACCTGCACACTCCCGCTAAGCTACTTCTGGTATGTCTTCCGCTGGCCGCAGTTCTCAACCCGCTTGTCGTAATTGTTGAGATGGAGCCTTAGGGTTTAGGCCACCGCATAGATGTTGCTTGCTTGCTTTCAGAGATAGTTTCTTCATCCACACATTATGGCTGTAGCTGCAGGCTTGATATCATTGAATTTATGGAAATTTGTCTCAAAAGTAAATGTACATTCTAAATCGATAGTAGCTATATAATCTATAAGGATATTCTATAAAGACCAAGACGCAAAAGAATCGTTTAGGCGTTGGATGCGCAAGAGAAAGGTTTTTGTGCAGACTGCGCATTAATCCGAATGCTGGTTCCTGTGGCCCAAAGACCCATTCCGCACTAATTCGTTAGTATCAAATAATCATGAGTCAAAAAGTAGGGTACTTACAATCAAGCAACACAGGCCAACAAGAAAGACGTTGAGTGCAGTTAAAGCCATCTTTCGCTTGCTTGAAAGGTATTGCCCGCGGTTCATCTTCAACCAAAAGAGGCCCTCCAGACCGAACGAAAACCAGCTGCAGAATGCCGCGGCAATCATGTTGAGCAGGTCGTTGAACACAGGGATCGCATTTGCGATCAACCATGCGATAACCCACATAAGGAAAGTGATCAGCACCCAACTGCCATACGAGCGGACAGACCTCTCGCTCATCATATTGGTGCCACGGAACATCCGCACGTAAATGCACTTTGCACCGACGTGGCAAATGACCACCCCGGCAATGACAATTGTGCCAATGGAGATTCCAAATGCAACCTTCGAAACGACTTCACTTGCACTCAGCAGGGCGGGGCTGAGGACATTCGGCCCGGCGTATCGGTAAATCACGAGGGCAGTAACGAGATACAGCGATGTGTCAGTTGCTTGGAAGGCAATCAAGGCCTTGGGGTAGTCATGTGGATCTTCCATCTCCGACTGGAAGCTGAAAAATGACATATGGCCGGAATAAGCAAGAACAATGTTGAGAGTAGCAGAGAAGCCATTCATCAGACTTGGGTGGGTAATAGCATATGCTCTGGGATCGGGCATTTCAATGCCAACAGCGATCATCGTGATCATCACGGCCGTAAAGATTGATAGGGATGCTAGTAGATGTTAGTTTAATTTCAACAGCAGAACAGAGTACTGTCATACAGATAATGCCCAGGTAGGAAACTTCCTCCATGCGCCTTGAGAGGGTCAGGATAAAGCAGAGGATGGCTCCCACCATAGAGAAAATGATAGTACAAGCACCGTGATCAGTGAGAGTGTTCATCATGATCGAGAATGTCAAGATATGAGCGCCCATAAGGAAAATAAAGCAGATAACCTGGGCAACTCCCACGATCTCACGACCCCAAGAGCCAAATAGGATATCTGCAGCGTCTGACATGTTGTGGACCTGAGGGTAGCGCAATTTGAATTGGCCAACAACATATCCAGTGTAGGTCGTCAAAGCTCCGATCCCAACAATAATGATACAGCCACTACTAGGATCAGCACGAGTTCACAATAAATGTAAGAGAAATTCTCATTAGACGTACGGAACCAAACCCAAGACTGCCATCGAAGACGGGAGAGAGAGAACTCCCAACGAGACAGACTGAGCAATCATCACTATTGCCTGCTTAGCTGCAGTTCTTGATTTAATTTAGCCCAATAATAGGGTATACGCACAAATTGCACAGTTCCTAAACGCAAACTTGATTAGTTTTCTGCATTAGTCTAATGCGAATCCTGCAAGTGTAGACTTACCACCACTTCATACTCCTGTACTGCACTCCACCAACCTCTTCACCGGCAAATGGGTCTTGTGACTTCTCTGTATCCATGACTTTCTCCATGTCTTTCTCCATGTCTTTCTCCATGTCGTTCTCCATATCTCTTTCCATGTTGGTATTGTCGAAAAGTTGGTTGCAAGTTGACGTTGACTCATCGAGTATCGACGATCGCCTTCTGAAAAATCTCTGATTGCCATGGCCCCACTATTTCCCTGTCTGGCGAAGAGAACTACCAGGCAGGCAAAGTGAAGCAATGTTAGAAAGATGTAGAAAGCCGAGATTTTGAGCGGATCACTCGGAATATTTGGAACTGAGATAGTATTTTTATCAACTGATTCTTTACCCATACTGGTAGAGGGAGGAGAGTCTCTATAGGCATTCTTTAGCCCTGTGGCTGGATCACATTGAAAGGCATAAAAAAACACCCCCAGATTCATGGATTCTTCTTCCCCGCATTAGGTGGAGTGTATCAGGAACGGATACGACTCTAATTTCTATGAAAATTTTTTGTTGACGTCTTCGAAGGATCACGGAACAGGAACTCCTGTTCCGTTCCTATTCCGGACCCACTCTTCGTCACCCACGCTGAAGTTTTTTTTTACCGCAAAATTCGGAAAACAATTGATAAGCAGCCCTGACGCTATTAGTGTTTTTCTTCATAAATGCTGTACATTAATAAATAGACATGAGATCGTTCAATTCCAGCTTTCGTTGCAGTGGGTGATGTTCAAAGCAAATCACTTTAACGTCAAATCTGCCGATCTCCCGGAAGCGGATATCTCATTCCGTGTTCCGTTTGGTTTAGCGAGCAAATATCGAAAAATAAACAACCGCCGACCGGGGGAAAAGATATAGAAATCAAATATGAATAACGAGGACCAAAAATTAAGCAGAAAAGGAGACCTCAGGTTTGATTTGGTTGGGGAGAGGAAGGAAAAGTTTACAAGGAGCAGAGCAGTGCCTTCCAATTATGTGAGTTTTTGACTCAAAGGCCATCTGCCCGTAAGACTTCCAACTTTGGAAGGTTGGAAGGTGCATCCTCCTGAACCTCCAAGGTCATATCATTTGACCGTGGATGTTTTAGTCTCGGCTGATCTGCAGGTACTTGTGTACCCCCGTGGATATAGTCGAGTCCAAAGGTTATATGTAATTGTGCCCAGGTGGCGCTGTATCACTCGAAATCCGTGCTGTGCAGACGGGTCGCGCCAAAGCTTGTCAATGTGGTACTGGTTTGACTTCCTGCGAGAGTATGAGAGATTTTCACCTGCATGAAATGAAGTGATCAAGCTCTGACCATGGAGACCCCTGTCCCTCGTCTTATAGAGAAAGTGAGTAAATCCCCTAGATTTGGCCAATTAGATGGGCACTGAAGCTGCGATGGTAGAGCAGCATATCTCCAAGTAAACCAAGGTTATGGAAGCGACACTGCTCCCGCCTTCACAATTGGGTCTCAGTTCTCAAGGGATGACACTCCTGGGGGGCTAGCGGATGGTTTTGTTAGAATCATTTTGATATTCAGTTTCTCCTTCAAACGAAAAAATTGTCTCTAATCCAAGGTAGACTTTTGCAGAAACAAAATGTAAAGTACATAATAGGTTCGCTATGCAAAGCAAACTACCTAGTAATTACCCGTGGACACATCTACAGCGCTTACTTAGTGAGCGAACTTATTCTCAAAAGGGGAAAGTAGTAAAATAAGCTCAAATCTTTGAAGTATATGGAGAACACATACGTGCGTATCTACATATGTATATTATGTATACCTATATCCATGGATGTTATCCCAACATCTGAAGGTTTGATATATTCTGCATACCGGCCCTCGAGGAAAATCTTAACTCCCAATTGTGGCGGATTTGACATTTGGTGAATGGAAACCGAGAAGTAGTTCTAGTATATTTTGAGAGAGTTGAAAGTCAAATATTCTGTCTTTTAATTGGTAAATGGACTCGATGGGGGTTAAATAAGGCATAGTAGCAATCCTGCGTAAGACGTCATTGGCAACATATAATGGGCATCCATCCCCCCCTTCTTTCTCCCAAATTTTCTTCCTCCAACCATCCTGCCTAGCTACATATGTATCCAACATACTTATCATTGCTACCTATGTATTTTATCATGACCATTTTACGACTTGATGATGCTTGATGATGTTCGGTGATGCTTGGTGATGCTTGGTGATGCGAAAATCCTTTCACTGAGTTTGAGGAGGAAAGCAAGGCACTTATTGCCTTGAGCTGGAGAAAGCTGGTGGCTGCGAAACCTAGTGAGAATCTGCTAGACGTGTGTCTGCAGTGAATTTCGACGTGCAGCGATCCCGACCCCAACCAAGAATCTGCTAGACGTGTGTCTGTAGTGACAACAAACTCGAGCCGATGCGATACAGAAAACTGGTGGCCACGAAATCCACTGAGAACCTGCTAGACGTGTGTCTGCAGTGAACCTCGACTCGCAGCGACTCCGACCCCGACCCCGATCTCAATTAAGATTCTGCTAGATGTGTATCTGCAGTGACAACAGATTTATAACAATCTCGACAACGAATCGACCTGTCTTCATAGAAGACCGGGGTCTCCTGGGGTAGCAGAGAGCGCCCCAGGGGATCCAACAGCCGCGAGCTTGGACCTCTACGTGGTGCTGTTGACTAGTAGCCTTTTGGTGAAGCCAACGCAAGCTCAATTTATTCATTTCCTCTTTTTACTTTAGATCCTCGCAGTATCCTGTATCTTCTAGAATAATCATTCCCGGAGTAGATAGGCGGGACTAAATATCATCATATGGGATGAATACATATGACCTGTCAAGTAATTGATAATTGACACAAGGCTTAGCTCAAAACCAAGACAAAACTATCTATCGGTATGTATATATCATTACTAACACATCTTCCATGTCTTCCATCCACGATGAACTTATGGCGACTGTAAGAGGAAATACCATATAAAATGCAGATATGAAGGATATTGCACGATGATCTAGATACTATCCCCTAGATTGGACGACTTGATCCGAAACAAAATACCATTCAACCGTGCGCTAATCCCCAGTACTTACAAAGATTCCCATACAATAGATGGAGAATCATCCTCCGGTGCCCGTTAGCCTCTTCAGTGGATCCAATGAATTATCGGCACCATTGGAGCTTTCATTGCCTTCTTGTGGGGGAGGTATTGCGGGGATGCTTGGCATTTGGGGGGCGTTTTCCTCTCCGGCAACGATTCTTTGTATCCATGGATATATAACATTGGGATGATATTATGCATAAGATAACTAACATGGATAGATTGAACTGACTGACTTCTGGATACTTGGGTAGCTGACAGGCACAAAAAAGGGGTATAATAATACCATAAGGGGGAATGTTGAAAAAATCAAACAATGATTCATGCCAAGATGAAGAAAATAAGGTCTTTTTTTTGTTTCTTTTACCCCGCAATGTCGGTACAATAGAGGCCGACAATTATGTAGACGATGCTATAAATTAACTGCAATTTGAAGAATTTACATAAGTCCTGGCATCTTCAATTGGGAGGACACAATCAAGATGCGACTGTTATCAGCTTGTCTGGCTACCCTCTTAGCTGTCTCGGCGAAAAGCAAATACATTGTACCCGGAGGCAGATGGCGCGACACAGATGGGAACTTCATTAATGCACATGGTGCCGGTATCACCTTCGACCAGAGGTCCGGGCGCTTCTGGTGGTTTGGCGAATATAAGACCGAAGAAGAGCCAGAAGGCGGAGGCGTCTCTGTTTATAGCTCAGAGGATCTGAGTACCTGGAAATTCGGGGGACTGGCCCTAGGTAAATTTCCATAGCTGCGCTCGAGATAGGTCGATATTCTAACATGTACAGCTCCAATCAAGGGACACCCATATATCGCCCCTGGCGGCGTGATTCAACGGCCGAAAGTGGCCTACAGCCCCGATACTGATGATTATCATGTATGTATGGGGACTTCTATCAATCTTTTACACCCCGAAGCTAATTGGATAGATGTGGTGGCATGCAGACAACTCCACCTACGGGCTCCTTCTCCAAGGCCACGCGGTGTCCTCCGCGATCGGCGGGCCGTACACTTTCGTTGACGCAATAGCCCCGCTTGGAAACTGGTCCCAGGATTTTGGATTGTTTACCGACTACAAGGACGGTCGATCTTACGCTCTCTACTCGAATGGAGATAGTAAAGATGGACGAGATGTGTACCTATCAAGTATGAACAATAATCTCACGGCACTCGAAAAGGTCGTTTATCGATTCCCAAAATTTGATCTTGAGGCACCTACTATCATGCAGACAGAGAAGAGCTACTGGGCACTTATGAGCCATAAGACGGGATATAGGCCAAACAGTGAGAGGCTCAACTTAACATCGTGTATAGATTGGTTGACTAACTTTTTAGACGTGGTTGCATTTCGAGCCGACTCACTGAGCGGTCCTTGGTCACAGCCCTTTATTGTGGCGCCATTAAATACGCGAACTTTTAACTCGCAGTCTGGATACACGCTCAGGATTGAGGGGAAAAAAAAGACAACATACCTATATATTGGAGATCAATGGGACTCCAATTCTGTCTGGGATAGTCGTTATATATGGTTACCAATTCAGACTGATGAGTCTAAGAAGACTCTAGAGTTAGAGTGGCACGATGTTTATGATCTTGACGTGTACGTATGCTGGCTTTGCTTTTATTATGGCAGGCGTCTATACTAACTGAATACTAGGAAAAATGGGGACTGGAAACCTATCAAGGGAAAACCATACACCGCAAAAAAGGCAAAGACGAACGGTGATGCATATAAGCAGGAGGCTGTGAGTATAGTTTCATTATTTCAGACACAAAAGCGATATCTGGCTAATATATATCAAAAGAACTTTGCAACCGACGGTGTTATTCTCACTGGAATATACGGAAATGACAGCACAGTTACGTTCGAAAATATTGAGGGATCTGGAAAACCCCAATGGGTGTCATTCTACTATCAAAGTATGTTTAAAATTTGAATTCTCCCTACGCAAGACTAACTTGATTATTAGATATTGATGATTTGGGTTTTGGCGACCAACGTAAGTACACTTCCGCTTATTTTCTAGAATCGATATTCTAATACGTTCTACGTTTCATAGCTGGCGGTACCCCGGACAGGATTGGCGGCGCATGGCAGCTGCGTCGGATTAGCAGCGTGGTGGTCAACGGAGACCCTTTGAGCTTACAAACTCTATACCAACGAGATACACACAAAGGTGTTATTCTCTCCACTCCGCTGCAGTTGACACTAAACAAGGGGAACAAGAACACCATTACGGTCGGGGGACTATATAATGGGTTTGACTACAAGGGTGCTGATTTGGATCGGATAGTTGTGTATCCTACGGAGAGGTAGTATTGGAGAGAGCTACGATAGAAAATGAGCAGGAAAAATAATTAGCAATATCCATGGCTTCCAAGTTCACCGTTTCAGGACAAATTTCATCAGATCTCTAGAGCCCAAGCTCAGCTGACCTGTAATCCGAGTTTAGCAGGGCTCCTGAATTCTGCTTTTAAAGCCATCTGTCGAACTAGGAATATGACCGGACCTAGACAAGAATTGAAGTTTTTGTTAGTCAAATGGAATTATAACTAGTGTATTACAGCAAGTGCCTACTGCTTTAGCAAAATATCTAGTTTTATTTTCTCTTAGCTTTATCGATCGGGCTTGCTTGATAGCGCGTTCCATAGCAAGAGCATTCCATGTTCCATTTTGTGGGGTTGGGGAATTTCCGGGGAATTGCCTGGAGGTTTGACTTGTTTGAAACCATCCAAACTTGCGCTTACGTCCTGTTTGAAGCGCATTAAGTCGGCCAATCACAGCCACTCGATGACATTCATCTATCTCAACAGTCGAGGCATTGCAATACACGTTCTTCAATGCCGTATCTTGATTGGTGATTTTGACTTTATCTAGTATCCACGAGTGAGTCTTGGAGCTTACTAACCCCCTTGGCATTGTCCACAGGTATTTAGAAGGTTCGGTGAACAACTTGGAAGATTTTAAAGCAGTATATCTTGCAACATATAACTAACTGCATGATCAAAACATCTGTTTGAAAGTTCGAACTGAAAATAGCATGTCATTGCTTTCACCTCTTTCGCAATGCCTCTCTTCCCTCGCCAATCTGAATCGCAAATGGGGCAGCCACAGGGGTTTGGGGCAAATTAGGGGAACAGAAAAGCCTCTATCAGAGCGCTTGTTGGATGTATTTCTGCGTACATGGGACCTGGGTTTCACATCTTTCGGAGGACCGCCAGTACACTTCCAGATTCTACATGCCAGGTTCGTAGAAGGACAGGGCGCCAAGGAAAAATGGGTGGATGAGCAGACTGTACGATTCTCCTGGTGGTATCCATGCCATAAGACCTACTAATGAACCTCGCAGTATCAGGAACTCTTTGCTATTTGTCAAGCCCTTCCGGGTCCCGGTAGCACAAAGATGATTTTCTGTCTCGCCTTATTACATGCCGGATTTATTCCTGCCCTGCTTGTGTTTTTTATTTGGAGGTAATTTATACTTTTGCAATACAAAATTTGCCATATTTTGATCTGCAGCTAACGGTGTCAGTCTTCCTGGCGCAATTGGAATGTATGCCCTCTCACTTGGTGTGCAAAACATGAATGAAACTCTTCCAAACCCCGTCTACCCCCTACTTTCCGGCCTAAACGCCGCCACAGTAGGTGTTGTTGCGCTTGCGGCCGTACAGTTGGCCGAAAAAGCTATTCGCGACAAACTATCCCGCATTCTTGTGATTTTTGGTGCATGTGCTGGTCTCTGTTACAATGCACTATGGTATTTCCCCGTGCTGATGATGATTGGTGGTTTACTCACAAGCATCTGGGATGGATGGCTATATCAACAATTTCTGAGGGCAAGAATCGCGTGGAAAAATAGACGTGTTGCTCCACATGAACTGGAAGCGACAAACAGGGACCTTACAGGCATGGATCATATAACCCTGGAAGAGAATACACGGCAAATGAGCGAGACGATGCGACCAAGGAGAACAGATCATAGAATTGAAGGGCTACCACATAATAGAGTCGATAACACAAGTCCAACGCAGCGCGCCGAAAATCCTTCACAAGAGCACATTATTCGGATTCGAGTCGGAGTTTTGGTTATGGGTCTCTTTTTCGGTATGCACCCCTACCTAACAAATTTTCCGAAAGTCAGTACTAACATAGTCAGCTTCCTTCATCGGGATTCTTGTTGCCAGAGGCCAACTCGCTGCACCTCCACTGGTCCTCGACCTCTTTGCCAATATGTACCTTGCTGGTACAGTTATCTTTGGTGGAGGTCCTGTTGTTATCCCTCTTCTACGCTCCTATGTCGTCGATCCCGGGTGGGTCTCCAGTAGAGACTTCCTGATCGGCCTTGCCATCATCCAAGCTTTTCCCGGTCCTAACTTCAACTTCGCTGTCTTCTTGGGGGCCCTAGTACTGCAGGGTTCAGGCTTCCCAACCATCCTTGGTGCATTTCTCGGCGGCTTCGGCATCTTCTTTCCGGGGATTACCCTGGCCGTTGTATTCCAAAGCTTCTGGCGTGTCTTGCGGAAGAGGAAGTATGTCGTTGACTTTCTGAGGGGAGTGAATGCCACTGCAGTTGGGCTAGTATTTACAGCGGTATATCGCTTGTGGGAGATTGGATATTTGACCCCTGAAAGAAACGACGGACAGAGTCTGGGCAAGGAACCATGGTGGGTGGTTGTTGCGGCGGTAACATATGCAGGGAATGCATGGTTCAGTGTGCCCCCAGCCTTAGCGATCATTATGGGTGCCGTTTTAGGGTTATACTGGTTTGGAGCTGTGGGGCGATAGCATCGTCTGGTAGCCATCGCTGTTCATTCTACAGCGCGACAAATCAATTTTTAAATAAATTTAAATTGGTGCCGTCAGTCAAACATGTACATTAATCGAGATGGCTGTTTTATTTTGGAAAAGGTGTAAGATCGGATTGAACTCTGAGGAAAATTTAAGCATTATATTTCAATGTTTGATTGAGCAAGTACGTCAGAATATGGTGTTTTTCGCCTCTGAGAACATCTCTTCGGCATAGGGATATGAGCTTGAGGTGAAGATTGCCAAGTGAGGTCGAGTCATCTTTCAACACCTCATTTCATTGGAATATAGCGACAGTCACATAAATTGGGCCCAGCGGTCCTAGTGTTTCCGTTTACAAGGTTACAAGTTTTTAAAAATGTGAGAGCGAGCAAGGCTATAATACATGCCTAAAGAGGACCTTGAAAAAAAAATCTTTCGCTATAATAGCCAACTGGCAAATTTGGTCAGTGAAACCGAAAGCACGCCTAGTCAGAAAAATACCAAGGTTCCTATTGATGAACGTATATTCTATGTCTCTAGAAGGAGGAGAAGCAAGAATAAAAACAGTTAATCAACTACTTGCTGATAAACCACCTACTGTTATAAAGTACCGTATATGCTTCGGTCATACTCCCCCTTCTCATCTCCGCTCACGCGATGCTAAAGCAGCACCCACCCGACTACTGGCCGCACTCAACCCACACGTCGGTGAGTGAGTAGTTAGGTGGGTGACCACCAACGGATCTTTATTGTTATTGGTTACATGCTACTCCGTACATGCTACATACTATATATTCGTTTTTTTATTTTTGTTCTCTTCATCATCCTGTCACATACTAATAGAACTAGATATTTAGTTGGTGTTGTCTCTAAAAACCCAATATTCATATTGGCTCCTGATTGAATATGATCTAACCTCTAATTATTGTTCAATTCCCTTGTGCCATAAGAGGGTGAAGACACTAATAGACGTAAGAGCTCCGGAAAAGCCGACCAATTCCAAAACGGTAGACCGACCACACTCAAGAGGATCGGCGGCATATAATAGCTTAGTTTAATCTACAAATAGTACATTTAGATTTCTAGCCAGTGTGACGTTACAGCTTGTATATAGTTACCCCGCATTACATATATCCTTTGATACGTGATTCACTTCAAGAGGTAACGAGGGTAACATATTCAAGTGAAAGGTTTCAGCATAGATTTCCTTGCATATTTGCGCTAAAATAGGAATGGCAGGCTAATCTACCTAAGGAAAGATCACCGGCAAAAAGCCACAGAAAAGATAAGTTCTACGCAATGAAGATACCATATCTATTTTCCCATTGGTGAGTAAGGGCGCCCCTCCTTGAATGGCACGAGGATGCAACTGAAGAGTGCAGCTACAAGGTTCATACAGATGACGTGATTGAATTGGTTTCATGAGATAGTTTCTTCCCCGCTCTGAATTTTGTTCTTTATACTACCGTAGGAATATGTTTGTTATGTTACATCACTAAGAGCTTCCAGGGCTCACATATAATGCGAGTAATAGTGCCAGCTATAGACTCAATAGAATATTAGATCTTGAATCGAGCACGCTTCATGCTACTAGATTTAAACAGCCACTGATCACCTTGTTAAGTCATGAGATTCATTACCAATATATTATTGACCAGCATATGCGTGGCAACGGGCGCGTTGGCGAGCTCCTACGAGCCCAAGTTCCGCATTTCTCCGATTGATGGCTCGAAGATTGCACTGCCAACAAAGGAGCAATTGGCTTTCCAAGATAGAGAAATTGGAGTCCTCATCCATTATGAGATAGCAACCTATCTCGACATTGATGGTTGCAACAATGTCCCCGATCTTGTTCCTGACATATCACTGTTCGACCCGACCTTCATCAACACCGATGGGTGGATGGACTCAGCTGCTGCCCTAGGCGCAAAATATGCTACCCTTGTTGCTAAGCATAACTGCGGATTTGCGATATGGCCAAGTGAAGTGACTTTCCAAGACCGAGAAAACCAGACCGTCCCATACAATTACACGATCGCCCAGTCACCGGTTCATGGCCAGAATATCGTTCAGAGTTTTGTGGACTCGGCCAAAAAGTATAACATTGGGCCTGGGTTCTACTATAGTGTTGTTGTCAATAATTATCTGAATGTGCAGGATTCAGATGTTCGTGCCGGCACTTGGGCTCCTGGTCAAGTTAATATCACGAACGGTACATACGACCAAATTGTCTATGACCAATTGACTGAATTGTGGAAGGGCTATGGAAGCTTAACTGAGGTATGAATGAGCTATTCGCAATGGCAGGCTTTCCAATGCTAATTATATCACTACTCCAATCCTCAAGATTTGGTTTGATGGAGGTTACAGCAGCTCACAGAAAGATCAAATTGAGAGCCTGCTACAGGAAACTCAGCCGCAAGCAGTTATTTTCAATGGATGTGACACGGATGGAACCTGCGTATCGGCTAATCCAAGTAAGTTTTACATATATTTGCTCGAATTCCCCTCGGAAATGGGGTTCTCACACTATTATAGTTCGATGGATCGGAACGGAACTCGGGGAAGCCCCAGAGGAAAACTGGTCCAGGCATGCAAGCCTGATCTTTTGTGGTATATTGAAAATGAAATTGACTCTTACAGTGGTCTGACGAATGATGGCGGAGATCCTACGAGCCCGTATTTCTGCCCAGCTGAATGCGACACCACCTTGCAGACCGATGACCGCTGGTTCTTTGGGGTTGATCAACCATTAAGATCTATTGAAGAAATGATCGACGTCTACCACAAAACCGTTGGCCGAAACTGTCTTCTCGAGTTAGATCTCTCCCCCGATCGAAGCGGAGGTATCCCAAAGGAACATGCAGCCCTTTACAAGGAACTAGGTGATTTCATCAGCTCATGTTATAGTAAGCCTATTGTAGGCAATGCAACACACTCTTCCGATGAAAAGGGCGAGTATATGATCAAGCTCGACAAACCCACCGATATTGACCGTATTGTGTTGATGGAGGATCAATCGAACGGCCAAGTGATTCGTTCTTATCAGGTATATGCAAAGATCGCCGATAGTCAGGACGTCAGTGATATCACGGATACGCCGTTCAAACTTGTTTCAAATGGAACAAGTATAGGCCATAAAAAGATTGATATCTTTGATAATACCGTTTCGGTGACAGAGGTTTTAGTCAAGACCACATATGTGGATACTCCGAAATGGAGATCTGTCTCGCTCCATCTCTGTGAATAATTGGCCAAGAATGACACTCCAACCGAGGCGACGGAAGTTGATCTGTTGTGCCAACTGAGCGAGAGTAGAAGAAGGAAAAACTGTCCGATATTCAAACTATGTAGGAGCAGGGTATTTATACTGTATCTAACAAAAAACTGCTCACTGTTCAAGCAATGTAACTATAGGAGATGCGAGCATCCAAGATTGTTCAAATCAGTTGAGAATTATTATTTGACTCACTAAGTAGATGTAGTTATTTCCATGGTAGCAGTGTCTTGGACTAACTTGTTCGCCTCATTCATGTGAGACCCGATGTGCCATGGTATTGCTCATCGTCTCTGTTGCAATGGTCCAGATTGTTGGGGGGTTTCTTGTTTAATAATAGATCTGGCTGAATTTCATTTTTCAAGACAGTTCAAAACTGTATTCTGCAACATATACACAGACCTTTATATATTAGTGGCTGTCAAAAATTCCACCAATATTCATCAGGTTCGTAGGGTCCCAAGAGTAGAAGAGTAGGGTAGAAGAATAGGGCGGCAGAGTTACAGCCACTTCATACGCCTCGCAATATAACTTCCACCACCCACAACGCCTGTAACGCCTGTGAAAACAATCAAGGATCCATATCCACTTCCATATCCATACCCGGCGTTTCCCTCCCATGGCATCCCCTTAAGAAGAGCCTCACTAAGGGGCCCGGAAACCAAATTTCCAACTCCTCTTCCAGCCGCAAGGCACGCAAAGACCATGCTAGATTCAGCAGAGGGCTGCTTGCGAACTACATCGCGCATAATACCAGGCCAAGTACTGGTGTATGAGCCCGCGAAGAGACCGTATACAACCGCGAAGATGAATAAAGGAGGAAGGGACATGGAGAAGCCCCAAATGAGGAATATTCCAATCGAGGATCCGACAGTAGAAACGAGGATGCAAAGCGTCACGTCAAATTTGTCGATGATGGCGCCCATAAGCACACAGCCAACGACAGAGGCCAAGTTGAAGAGGATAAGAGTCAATGCTTGGAGGGAGGTCGAGGCGCCAATCATGCCTGCGTAAGTAGGAAGGTAGATAGATGGCAAGAAAAACCCAAGGGCCTCAACGGTATTGCAGAACTCGAAGAGAGCAAAGGTGGACGTAAATATGAACCGGAGGTTTGGGGGTGGTGGACTGGATTGGGTATCTGCGACTGGCACGCGTGGCTTGACGAAGTAGACCAGCGGTGCGGTAAGGATGAACAAAACAACTGCAAACCCACGCAAGGTAATCCGAAATCCGTACCTGCCCAGGAGCTGTTCCATGACGATAGGAAGGACGACACCACCGATTCCGGTACCGGCCCACATAACGCCGAAGGCAAGGCCCTTTCGTCGATCGAACCACTCTTCCATTAAGAGAATGCATGGGGCGTATGCAATACTGCCGCCGAGCGCATAGAAGATTCCTTGAGTTACGATGAGGTGGTTGGTGCTTGTGGCAAGAGAGCTCAGGCCAAGAGCGGCACACATTAGTAGCACACCTAGGCCACAGCCGAAGCGTTGGTATTTGGGCCATTGTCTGTACGCGGCGAAGACAAGAGGAAGGTCTAGATACATTATTCCCTAAAATCTATAGATAAGCTCGGGTTGGGTTGAAACATATAGTATTCGATTTTTACCATAGCACAGGTTCCGATGACGGCGATATTACCGGAATCCTTGAATTGGGGGATATCGCTGTAATAGGCTTGGAAAACACCGTAAGTGAATGCAAATCCCCAGACAAGTGCCTCCATAACGAAGCACGCAGCGAGGAACAGCCAGGCATTAACTCCGCCATCCATTGGCGATAGTTGCGTGTTATAGTGAACACGCGACACATTGGTATTGTCAATCGCCCCATCTAGCGGAGTCAGAGCCCCCTTTTCAGCCTGTGAGCCTGTTACTTCCATTCTGAGAGCCAGAGTCGACGACAACCAAAGTAAGAAAGGGAAATATTGCCCTAGAAGTTGAAACAGAAGTGTGCAAAGGCTAGCAATTTTAATATGAATCGGAGTTAAATAAAGCCATGTGGGGAAATCATCCGCAGGGCGTGGAAAGCATCTGTCATCGTATCAGTGCGGCCAATCAGTGTTAGCTGACAAGGGGCCAATTTGACGAGAGGTGTCTGCGACGCAGTAACTTGGAACATATCCGTGACTTCCAGGCTACATAGATATCTTTGGGGTTACTTTACCTTATCCATACATCCCTTCCATTGATGATGAAGGTGTATAAATAATATCCCGTATTAAATCCAAAGCTGGCCCGGGAATACTACCAGGTACTCAGGTGGGCATTTCCAAGATTTGTAAGTAATCTCAGATTTACCCAAGGAGCTAAGCCATTTTGCGGATATCCAACCATTTTTGGTTTCCGACACTGGGCTTGCCCCCGAAAGCCATTCAATAACCGGTGTCTAGGTGCTTCATATCATCATCGTCAATTATGCTACCCCTAATTCAGAGCTTGTGATCACTAAAGTATTGAACGCCCCGTCTGCGCGCGTCACACTTTACAATGTATATAGAGAAGCAGCAGTGAGAACCCTGACTTTACACCGGACTCCGTTCAACAACATTGTTTTGAAGAATCAATGAATGTAGATTGTCTATCTGAAAAGGCACAAGGCATCGCCCTAGGTTCACAGGACCTGCTAGCATACGGGGTAGCCTCGACGAGAGGAAGAGTGGATAAAAGAAGTGTGAGTGGAGGTGAGCTTACACAGTCACTCCGCAAAAGTCTCCGCCTGGGAAGGGCCTAAATGCCTGAATGGGGTCGGTGCCTGAATTATGCCCAGTTTTAGACTGGTAGAAATTAAAATACCTGAATTACTATGACAGAGCCCTTAGTGAGCAAAGTCCTCAAGTTCTTGGGGTGAATGATTTATCTGAAAATAGGCAGGAAAATGAAGCTTTTCATATGGTATAACACTGTGTATCACTAGATTTTAGGGTGGTTCTAGGCCTCGAAGCTAGTATTACCACCATACAAATCATCCACTCTATCGGATACTACTATCATTTATCTATTTACGTTCTATACTCTTCCCACCCCTAAGCAGGCACATATGACTATAGGGCGTGGAAAACAGTGCTTCCGGTCCGCTTAGCCGTACTTAAGCCACATATTCTACACGGTCAATTCTTAATGCGCCCTTAGCATATAAGCGGCACTCGGGGGTGAGTGTGGCTGATATGGGTGAGAAGTTTGGAGACTGGTTGATAGGGGTGAAAACGGGGCGACAATTCTCACCTAGGGTTAATAGGGGCTAACTTATATAAATTAAACGTCAGGGGCCGTTCTTTTACTCTACTATAATTTACTTTGATTTACTCTACTCTGAAAAATATGTTAACCTAAAAGAAAATCCAGAAAGAATAACTCGAGGATGAACGGGCCTTTATCCATAATAATAAAATTAAAGATATCGAGATCCGCGTCATTGCCAAGTCGATTTTGCGGTGACCGAGAAAATGGGAATAATACGGAAGTTGCGGCCCGGCCCAGCCCAGTGGGTTAATTTGTTACAGTGGAGCTTGTTTTTGATAATTGGTTACGTGGTTCCACGCACTTCCACGCACTTCCCGTTAGAATCAATCTACTCCGTATTCTGTTTCCCTAATACGTGTTCTTTGTCTCCGATTATTCAATATTCAATTGCAACCTAGAGTATCAGACCTTGCACGTGACTTGGTTGCCTGATCTCCAGGATTGTTCCAACGTTGACACATCTGATGCGGAGGCACCAAACAAACAAACATCATCCGCCACGTGCGAGCACCTCATTCCCTCTTGTTCTTATGCCGAGTATCCATCATCATCTGTCCAGGAGTAGAAGCCAATCTCCAGCTGCTCCACTATATCCATCATTGGGCTATAGCACCGGCCATGTCACGCACAAATCGAGTGTGGTCTCGGAGAGAAATCGAGGGATTGATAGCAGATGGGCGAAAGATAATCATATTTGGTGATAAAGTACTGAAGGCTGACGCGTGGATACCCTATCACCCAGGCGGCGATAAGTCAATATTGCACATGGTCGGTCGGGATGGGACGGACGAAATCATGGCATTGCACTCAGAGGAAGCACAGGCACATATGCAGAAGTATGTGATAGGAAGAGTACTTGGAAGATGGGAAAATTTCTTGCCTCCGATACAGGGAGGAATATTCAAAACGCTGGTATCGACGGATGACGAAGCCGAAGAAGATGTCAGCTCATCTAGACAATCGACACCACCATCACCAGTTTTCGATACTGAAGAGATAGAATATGAAGTTCGTCTGAGGCGTATAGGCAATGATACGCCTATTTCTCGAGCTTCATCAGAGCCGGAGTCGGAGCAATTCAAATCTGCGGAAGCATCAACAGCCCACGCGATATCATCAGACCTTTCAAAATATCCTTGTCTTGATCAAATGTCACAAGACGAGGTCATCTCAAAATACCGCCAACTCGATGAAAAATTGCGATCCGAAGGACTCTACCAGTGCCCATATAGCTCCTACGCTGTCGAATTTATCCGATACTCGACTCTTTTTGTTCTCTTCTTGACATGTCTTCACTATTCCTACTACGCTCTTTCGGCCGTCTTCCTCGGCTTACTCTGGCACCTGCTTTCATTCCTCGTTCACGACGCCGGTCATCTAAGTATAACACATGGATTCCACACGGACAGCTGCATCGGGATTTTCGTTGCAGATTTCGTTGGCGGTCTTTCAGTCGGTTGGTGGAAACGGAATCACAACGTGCATCATATAGCAACCAACTCACCCGAGCACGATCCGGATATCCAGCATATGCCATTCTTTGCCATCTCTTCTCGATTCTTTGGTTCCCTACGCTCGACCTACTACGACCGCGATATGCCTTTGGATGCTGCAGCACGGTGGTTTATCAAGCACCAGCATTATCTCTACTATCCTATACTTTTAATGGGTCGTTTCAACCTGTACCGCCTAGCATGGTTATACCTACTAGATCCGAAGCAAGCGCCCCGTAAAGGCTCAGCATGGTGGCATCGTTACCTTGAAATGACCGGCCAGGTATTTTTCTGGTACTGGTATGGCTACAGAACGCTATACCTCTCGATCCCGACGTGGTCGTCCCGCATCGCGTTCCTGTTTATCTCGCATATGGTCACCGCTCCGTTACACGTCCAACTCACGCTCAGTCACTTCGCTATGTCGAGCGTCGACGGGGGCCTCCACGAGTCGTTTGCTCAGAAGATGGTGCGGACGACAATGGACGTCGATTGCCCGCCTTGGTTAGATTTTATACATGGTGGTCTCAATTACCAGGTCGTACACCATTTGTTCCCTCGTCTCCCGAGACATAACCTGCGCCGGGCGCAGAAGTACGTCAAGGAGTTCTGCGACGACGTCGGAATTCCTTATGTGATTTTTACTTTTACGCGCGGGAACAAGGAAGTTATTAGCAGACTAGGCGAGGTTGCTGAGCAATTGAGGGTGATGGAGGAATGCAGAAAAGTTGCTGCGAAAGATCTGATTGAGGGACACCACAGTTTTTGATTGTTTTGTTTTGTTTTGTTTTGTTTTGTTATGTTCTTTTTCTGTTGAATTCCGGAGGAAGATTACAACCTTTCCTATTTCAGACTAATGATTCAGCGCGCGGTCCGCCGATTCAGGGGTTGACTCTCGGTGTCAACAGTACACAGTACGGCGGCAGCGATATTGTGAAAAATGATATCTTTTAATGTAAAAGAATATCTCAATTGAACGAATCTGGGCTCATAACTGACAGACTTTTGGGTGTAAAGCAACCTATGGTACATAAGATTATATCTATATCCTACTACTACTGCTCCGTACAAAAATTACTACAAAACCCACTACAAAAACTACCGTATTTCCAACTTTTTTTTTATGGGGTTTATATACTCCGTAGTAAATAGTATAAATGAGAAGCAAATCATAAACTCGGAAGGGTAGTTATGGTTGGAGTATTTTCTTCTTTTTGTTAAATGAAGAGAATGGATTCTAACAAGAGGGTTTGTTTTGATCCATATGCGCCTGGAGCGTGGTTTGGTTTACACCAAAATCGACTCCTACTTAACGAACAGTTTTAATCTCATCATTTTAATGGGCTTTCTTTTTTACAAATCAAATGATGTATATTTGCTCAACACAGTTCGGGACTGATTGCGATGTTGGCGATATGATTGTTGTCTGAGCTGCTATGATAACTTGGTGCGTGGAGAAATGAGGCTCGGGAATTCCAAGGTTGACATGGATCCATGGAGCATCTATCACATTAACCGCTGAGCTAAGCCAAGGTCCGGGGTGCCTATTCTAAAATTAGACCGTACATATAACTATTCTGATCAGGCCCTGTCATGCCTAGGTGGCTCAACTCTGCCTCTCGCAGCCTTTTCGTCCCACTTGGTGGAGCACAGCCTGAACCTTGTTTGGATATACATATTCACTTCTATACGAGGGCAGGCGCTAGGTTTTGCACAATTTTGTCTTCATACAATATACCTAAGTACTCAGCCGCGTAAGCTCTGTCTCTACCTTGCCCCAACCCCACTCAACCATAAACTCCACCGTAGCTCGCAGGCCGTCGAGCTCATAAACAAACGAAACTCAACCGACTTGGACAGTACCGCTGAATTTAATTTTCTGCACCTTGTGTGGTTTCTCTCGAAAAAAAAATGGTTACAACTGTAAGCCCTACCGGGCTGACCTTGCTGAGTGACCCGCAGGACGTGGCAGCAGAGTGAGTTTCGGGCCTTTCTCTCGGGTTATACCTCACGCTATCTGACCTAAATCTCTATCTTACCAGCGTCGTCTTTGTGCACGGCCTCCAAGGCCATCCTTATAAGACGTGGACCTTTTACCCGAGCTTCCCGTCTGCACCAGAGAACCTGTCGTCGTCGGAGGCTAGCAAGAAGAGCAAAATCCGAGGACTTAGTCGACTTCTGGGCCATACTCGCAAGCGACAAGAAACACTCATACCGGCAGAAAATTCAAACATAGGGCAGGATGAGGAAAATGGGGCGCCGATAAGCGGTATATTCTGGCCGAGGGATCTGCTCAAGGAGGACCTGCCGCAGGCTAGGATAATGACTTTTGGCTATAACACAAACATTCAGCAAGGGTACCATGCAGTCAACCAGGGGAATATCTTCTCTCATGCGAGGGATCTCTTGTATGAACTGGAAGCAAAGAGAAGAAAAGCGCCAACTCGCCGTTTGATTTTCGTCGCCCATTCTCTAGGTGGAATCCTAGTGAAGGAGGCTCTTAGACGATCTGAGCATGACCCCGATGAAGCTATCCGGAAAATCTACAGCTCAACTATTGGGATATTTTTCTTTGGAACGCCACATCGGGGTAGTAGGGAGTGGGCATCGTTAGGGGAAGGGGTTGCTCGTGTTGCAAGCTGTCTTTTAGGGATGGATGTGAATTCTGAGGTCGTACATGCATTGTTGCCCACTGGACCCGAGCTCGAACTATGCCGCGAGTCTTTTGCTGTGCAATGGGAGCAGCGAAGAGCCGCTCTCGCTGTCCGGACTTTCCAGGAATCCAAAGGAATCTCTGGAATTTGTTGGGGAGGACTCAATCAACTTGTGCGTATGATGATGGTTACACTCCTATAGCCTCGAATACTGACCAAATACAAGATTGTCCCACCTGACTCTTCGACTCTCGACCATCCAAGTCAGCGTGCAAGAACTTTGGATGGAAACCATATGACAATGGTTAAATTCAGTGGAAGAAGTGACAAAGGCTACGAGATGGTGAAAGATGATCTCGAGGAGCTCATGACCAAGGCTCCAGATATGGAGCTTACACCGAGCTTTGGTACGCATTCAGGTCGTCTGTTAGAAAGCAAGGATCTGAGTCCATTATAGGAACAACCCAGGACAGCCGTGAATGCCTACAAATGCTACGGACTTCAGACTATGAACAGTACAAAGACCGAAATCCTGATAGACTTGACAAGACTTGCGAGTGGTTTTTACATCACGAAAACTTTCACCATTGGTATAAAAGCGACTCGTCGACTCTTCTTTGGGTATCTGCGGACCCAGGATGTGGCAAATCGGTCCTGGCCAAGTATCTAATTGATCAGGAAACAGAACTAGAAGCCAGCGAATCCCGCGCAGTCTGCTATTTCTTCTTCAAGGATGACAATGAAGACCAGACCAGCGTTACTACGGCGTTGTCAGCTCTTCTACACCAACTCTTCTCGCAACGAAACTCACTTATTCAACATGCTATGAAGGACTACATAGCCGAAGGCAGTAAGCTACCGCGGCTCTTCCAAAAGCTCTGGGCCATCCTGCTCAAGGCAGCCTCTGACCCGAAGGCTGGGGAGATCATCTGCATCTTGGATGGGCTCGATGAATGCGCAGAGAAAGGGCGGTACCAGATTATCGACGTACTCAGCGCGTTCTACAAGCAAGCAATTTCTGAAGAGAGCGGTTCACGCCTCAAGTTCCTTATTACCAGCCGTCCTTACTATGACATACAACGACGATTTTCAGAGCTCACGCATAATTTTCCAACGATCCGACTTGCTGGAGAAGAAGAGTCAGAGGCAATTGGCCGTGAGATAGACAGAGTGATCAAATGGAAGTTGTCGAAATTAGCTTTGGAACTGAGACTCAACGTTACGGAGAAAGCCACTCTCGAGACAGAACTTCTGGCCATGACGCATCGGACATATCTCTGGGCAACGCTTGTGTTCGACATACTATACAGAACTATTCGCCCTACCAGCAGGAAGCTGAAGGACATTGTCAGATCCCTTCCGCCGACAGTGGACAAGGCATATGAGGCAATTTTTTCCAGAATAGATGATGCCGAACGACCGCAAGCACGGAAACTGCTGTCAATTGTGGTTGCATCCAGCAGGCCGCTCACTTTGCAGGAATTGAATGTTGCTCTCACAGTTGAAGTCCAGCACAAGTCATACAACGAACTTAGAGCCGATCTTGATGATGAGGAAAGGTTTGAATCTACAGTAAGAAACATGTGTGGCCTTTTTGTCACTATCCTAGATCAAAAGATATACCTGATTCACCAGACGGCGAAAGAGTTCCTTGTTGGTAACCACGAGGTGCTCGATGGATGGAAGAACTCTCTACACCCTGTACAGTCAGAGCTTATTCTCGCAACAAGCTGCATTGTTCCGCTCACATTCTCGGATTTTGATGACTACCAGACGCCGAATGAGGTCAGTCTTGGCGAATTACTTTCAGGGTTTGAATTTCTTGGATATGCTGCGTCTTTCTGGATGGCGCATTTCCGGGAAGCTCAACAGCAAGCGACAGATGAGTTGGTGCAGCTGGTGCTCCAAATCTGCAATACTTCATCAAGGAGATTCAACACCTGGTCCCGTCTCTATGCAATGACTGACCCATCCACTGCGATCCTCAGGTTCACAACTACTATGATGCTAGCATCATACCTTGGACATAACACTGTAGTCGATCAGCTCCTGAAAGACAGTGAAGCTGATATTGACTCAAAGGACAATGATCATAATCGGACCCCACTCGCCTGGGCCGCCAAACAAGGCCATATCTCTGTAGTGAGGCTGTTGATTGGAACTGGGAGAACTGACATCAATTCAAAAGACAACGATAACCAAACACCACTATGGCTCGCCTGTAGGACTTGTCGAGAGGAGATTGCTTTGTTCCTTCTTGAAAATGGCGCCGACCCCATGGACAAGAACACTCGACCCCGCTCCCCGCTTCTTGAATCCGCCTTGCAGGGGTTGTCTAAAGTGGTTGACCGGATTTTGCGATCCCTCTCAGATCAAGCATTGCAGGTCGTCGCCGAGCATTACGACACTGAAGGAAAGTCAATACTCAACCTAGCACTCCTTGGCGAAAATGGATCCCATCATACCATTGTGAAAATGGTGATTGATGCACTGGGCCAGTTTCCCGACCAGAGGCGCAAATTACTGTATCACCAAGATCATTCCAACTGCAGCCCCCTCTTTCATGCAGCGCTTAGAAATCAACCAGAAGCTATCAAACTACTCACACAAGTTGAGAAAGGACTCCTCAGCCAGACTGGCTATATTGACTGGAGGGATACTCCTCTACATGTCGCGACCCATTGGCAGAGTCTTAACGCTGTTCGAGCCCTCATCAATGCTGGTGCAAACCCAAACATTCAACAACGTACCGGCCACACACCTCTTCATATTGCGTCTCATAGGACAGATGGGCATGACGGTGCACTTATCCTGAAGATTTTACTTGAACATGCGGATCCCTTGATATCAGGCCATATGGGCGAGAATATCATTCACCTTGTTCTTGACTGGGATAGAGCGGTGCACTTTCAGATTATTGCGAACCATATATCGTATTCTGATCTTCACCAACTCCTAACCTCAAAAAACAAGGACGGTAATATCCCACTGTTGCATGCTACAGCCAAACTTAGCCATGCAGATCATGACTATGCCTCCCACTCCAAGACCTTCAAGGCCGTCTGCGAAGCGATGATTAAAGTCGTGTCAGATGCAGATGCAGATGGTATTCTAGATCTAGTCAGCGAGAAGGATTGCCCAATTATTCTGCATCGATTCATCGAAACCAGCTCTGCTGACCTTATGGCTGAGATGGTGCCGAAAATAGCGGCATTGGACAATTCATTCCTTAAGCCGACGGACATAAATGGCCAGACTCTGCTTATAAAGGCTGTCGATAGACAGTTGTTGCGGACAATACAGCTCTTAATTGAGAGTTCCGCCCACGTCAATGCCCAAGACAAACTCGGGAAGACGGCACTCCACTACGCTGCAGAGCGCGATATGCCAGAAATAGCTAGGCTCCTGGTCCATGCAGACGCAGACTTGACCATCAAAGACACCTTTGGCCGTATGCCGGTCGATTGGTGCTCTAACAGTAACAGTTGTATCACAATTGTGCAGCCGAGTGATAGGTCTACCATAATGCCCGACCCGGTAGCAATCATGACTCCAAGCACTCGCTCAAGCCGTACTTCATGGTCTATTACACTTGGCGCAGAGCTAAATTCATGTGCCTGGAATCTACATGGAGATGTAGGTTGGTATTCCGACGCTGTCCCCACAATCGTGCGGGAAGACAAGTACGTGATCAGCGAGGCAATCCCAGTTACAATCAAGCTCCCTGTCCCACGAGTCCATGTGGTTATTGAGGGACGCGATCAAGGCTGGAGCGATGACCGCTGGTTTTCAGATCGGCCAGAGGGTTCATTTACGAGCGACAGCTGGTACGAACTTGCAATCCTACGGGACGGCCAGCTCGTCCTGCGCCGAGAGTGGGCACGGAACAAACACCGCTCAAAAACAACGCACCGGTTCGAATGCACCTGGTATTCAGATACTCAGCGAAATTGCGACCATCTTAAATTTGCTGGACGTAGGGCCGTTAGTGCAGATGACCAGGGTGAGTTTGTGCGCAGGTTGACTGTTGGGGATCAAGTTGTAATTTTAGCCTTGGCTGGTGGCGGTGGCTGGATGAATATTGTGAAGAGTGCTTCGATTGAAATTTTCTTCGAAGACTGAAAGTAGGTAGCTTATATTTTTGGTGAAGTTTTTAAGAATTCTTCGATACTGCGTATATAATACGTTTTCTCCAGATCAAAATCGCAATTTTCTATCATTCATGAATGCCTACTCCGTAGGCCTTTTTTCTCACTGCTTGTGAATGCTAGAGGCACCAAGCTGACGGCCCTTTAATTCTACGCAGACTTCGCCAAACACCTACTAAAGCATCCAAGGTGTCCCTAAAACAGGCGTCAGCGAGCCCAATAAAGATAAAGCACTTATTGCCAGATGGAAAAGCCTACGATTGATATTCAAGATCCTATACTCTGGTTGAGATATCAAAGAGGTGTCAAAACTAGAGGCCAGGACGGATAAATACTTCAGTAGCTCGCGCACGAACGCTTCTTAGCTCAAGCCAACCGTTGATTTATGTATCTATCACATAGATAATCAATAAGCTACACCCAGAGAAGAAAATCTAGATAATTCTATTAACTATCTGAGTCACCTTGATTTGAATAAACCACCAAAATCTGCACATCATCGATTTAGAGCCGTCCAGCAGAAGTGAACCATACTCGTGAACATTTGGCTAGTATTGAATAGCATCCATACAATCAACCAGGTGCTGACTTAAAAAATGCAGTTAAATATATCTTTTATCTTGTGGACTCGCAGGGAGTCAAGTCACCCGAAGGAAATCAGCTAATTATTGTTTATTCTTTCTGCATTATACTGAAGCAATTTAATTCGTGTACTCTGATTTAAAAGAGGAGCAAAATAGTCAAGCAACCAACAATACGTCGCTAAACAGGCAACATAACATTATGTAGTAGATCATGGCGCCACATAGCCCCAACCTCTTTTAAGAGCGCCAAACAAAAGTATGATAGATAAAAGATCCCACTATTTTCTAGCACCAATTCGATTCCTAAAGGTGGCTGATTCCGTTAATATATCTGTGCTAGGGAACCCTTATACACATCTCTCGACATTTTGGTTCCCGCGCGAATTCATAAGAAGGGCGACGATTAGACCGTACAGGCCTTTACACGGATTAGCTCCTCACTCTATGCATCGATAGAATGTATGATGTCGATCTCACCAAGAACTTCGGCGAAGATAAGTATCAGAATCATGCCAACATATAGTTTTGGCTGCTGGGCTGTTCCACGAACCCCGGCATCACCAACAATGCCAATAGCGAAACTAGAACCATAATGAATCATTTTAGTTATGTCTAGGGAATTGTCTGTTGCGCAACCTACCCAGCGGCCAAGCCAGCAAGACCGACCGAGAAACCTGAACCAAGCTGGAGAAAGCCTGTATATAACGCGAGATCCTGCTTTAAACCGTTTGCGATAAGAACAGAAACGACTAGACCATAGATTCCGATAATGCCAGCCATCACAACTGGAACTATATCTATTAGATAACGCACTAGATTAGTATCGCATTCTCGAATAATAATATATTCAACGGTAAATTCCTTTTATGGGGTCTTCCGGGACGTAACATACTCTTCACAATCAAGTCAGGTCGTAGGACGCCCATCGAGCAAACTCCAACGCCAGCCTTAGCAGTTCCATAGGCAGCGCCGAAGCAAGTGAAGACAATTGAAGCGACGCAGCCCATAGCACCAAAAAATGGCTAAGAGCCTTGAAGTTAGCTATTAAGTTTAAACGTAGTAAGAGAATGAGGGGATGAAATATAACTAATGCTTGGGTTATCACGTCCGTAGCAGTCATAAGGTGGACTCACAGAATAGACAGGGCTAAGAGAAGAATTAACATAGTTTAAATGAATGACTTTAGAAGTCAAAGAGAACAGGTTGTGACAGGAATAGATGAGACGAAACTGCCTGGGGTCCCCGAGTCTTACTTACCACAATTCTGAGACCATTTTGCTGATTGATCTGGCTATTTAGTCGCTTGAGGTAGACAAATTAGGAGATATTTTCAAAGGAAAGAATACAGTTTTGAGAAATGAATGTTATCATTAAGAGGGGAGATCTGCGTGGCAATGTTGGACGGACTGAGGCGGAACTTGCTAGGCTCAATTTGCTTAGCCTAGGCTGCCAAGTTACAATACCCTGCCCTGTTCTGTGAAAGGTACTATACAAGACACTTACTTGTGGACTGAATGGCTAGTTCTATATGAATGTTGTTGAGCCGCCTTTACGGAGTAGTTTACCCTGATAACCTAATATTCTTATGGAATCTATTAACTAGTACAGTACGTAGAATGCATTCATTTGTGGCGTTGCAACAGAATTAAAAGAATTAATAACCACATGAAGACAATAACTCCCACTAGGAAGAATAAATGATCCAAGCCCCACGAATGCTTCGTCGAGTGGCCCTTAATTTAAGAATGGTGTGGACTCAATTATCCGGAAAGCACTTATGTGACAAGTTCCGACGTGATGGCGTAACAAAAGATGAACAGTATTTAACATACATTATTGTTTCTTTGATCATGAACTGATGTCCGTGCATTCCCTAATACTTTGCTATCCCGCAAATTTAGGCTGCATCCGTATCTGTCGCCCGTCGGGCTACTATAGGCGAAAATGGGGGCCAGAAAACGGGGGGTCAGACAATGCGAACATAAACACGTATCATTGGTGGCTGTTTTAGTGTACAAGTTCGTATTGTTGTTACAAAACCGACCGTTGGGGAGTGCACCCATTGAATACTACGTGACATACATGTAGGCAGGGATAAGAGTAATCGAGTGGGGCTTGAAACTGCCATGCTTTGTGCTGTTGGGAATTTGCCTGGAAAAGCTCTACGCACCTCTTGAATATCCCTAGCTAACCGATTCTACACATCTTACCTTGTCAAGACCATTAGTTTAGAAGAGGAAGATAGTAAAAAAGTGAAGACGGATTCCATGCCAAGCAAGAGCATTCGCAATGTCCGGTAGAATATCGAGATTTGATTTGCCTTAGGCGGCATCTCTTCCAATGTACGTGATCACACTGAGAACTCAGGCCAACCATGTAAAGTGAGACAAGGTACTAGTACGTTCATGTCTTTGATCATGTACCTTAAGTAGCAAGTGCAGCTACGACGTCTTGGCTTCCCATCCTTTTTGCAAGATCCTGGACATTTTCGCCATTGCAATCCCGAATAGAAAAATCCACATTTTTAGTCGATGTGAGCAATCGTATGATATGGAGGTCTCCCGCTTGTGCGGCGAGAAAGATAGCAGTTCTACCTTCATCGTCCCGCAAATTAAGATCAATATTTCCAATTTCCAATAGTTTCTCCACAATTTGCACATCATTGACGGAAATAGCGTGCATAAGAGGGGTTGTATTATGAGGGCCTTGTGAATTGACGTTTACGCGTGAGGTGCGCAGAAGAACTTCGACAAGCTGAACATTATGACTTGTCACGGCCCATGCTAGAACAGTCTTTCCTAATTTCGTATCCTGCTCATTCCGGGCCATCATTAATCGTATCCTGTTCTGTTGCTCCAGTCGCGAGAGTTGCATTTCATAGTCTTTTTGGGCATGGTTCTCTGGGACAACGGGTTCGAGAGGTAATCTTGGGGAATCTTCCGCAGATGGGTTGAAAGAAAATTTTGGTTTTTTGCCGATAAAATTGCCGAAGAATGGAGGGGAAAGGTCCATTCTTTCTCCGGCGCCTGGAATCTTTTTGCGCGGAGCTGGCTCATCTAAATCAACATCGGAGCAGGAAAGCAGCCTTTCAAATGCTGGACTCTTCCATACCCCAGATCTAATGGCGCTCCACAGTGCTGCGTTAGCAAAGCCTTTGTCAACCCACTCCCTTACGAGGGATTGATCAGTAGAGGCTTGTGGAAGTCCCTCCAATGTTTCCTCTGTCACTTCCCCTGGCGGGATCTTGTTGAGAGGATAGAAGAATTGCTTCATAAAACAGAAGTTGTGTGAGTCGAGGCACACCAGAATCACCCGGTCCCAAATCGCGTTTTCCACCAAAAATTCTGCCACTCGAGTAAAAAGCCTCATGGCCTCCGAATTCGGACTACGTTGGAAGAAATTGCAAAGTAACACCCAAAGTATTGGCGGAGGCTTGGATGCGTGCACTATGTCACTATTCAGAATCCATCTCAGACCATGACGCTCATTCACTTTGATCAATAGCGGCAGAATAACAATCCCTGCAGCGCCGTGAACAAGGTCAATCACCTGGCTTATAAGAGCATCGTCACCGAGTCGGAGGACATTTTCGAATACGGTTTCCAGATGAGCCAACTTGGTATCGACCAGAAGCGAATCGGGAAGAGTCTTCTTGGACAATTTTTGTGCTATGGTCCGGCCTTTTTCAGAGGTGATGGACTCGGAGCTCGCCAGCAGATGGAGAAAAGCAGGCCAGTTATATTTGCCACGAAGTGTCAACTTTATCTGCGGGAGTTCAATCAAAGTGGCTAGTATTTCCAGGTTGCCTTTCTCAGCTGCATTCGTTAAGGGTGTTTCAAATTCCTCGTCGATTTTGATCTTGCAATTTGCGTCGGCAATAGGGATTTCTCCCTCAAGCAGCAAATTCACTAATCGAATTCCAGCATTGCGATCGGCCTTCGTTGCGAGAAGAAGGGCGTAGTCCAAAAAAATACGATGTAAATGGAGTTTCTCAGAGCGCCGAACAAAAATAAATCTCTCCCACTGCTCAAAAAAACCCGGAATTTCTCGGCTGGGAAATCCGTCTTTTATGAGCATTTCAATGTCATTGGCTTGGGAGTGCTGATATTCGAATTCCTGTGTTCCGACCAAAAAGTCCGCGATTTCATGAAAGCCCAGTGAGATAGCACTTTCTAAAGCTCGATATTCTCTTTCCGCTTTGCAGTGTGGCCAAAGCAGTTCCACTATCTCGGTATGCCTTTGTTGGACAGCGAGTTCGAGAATGCTGGGTCTTTGCCCTTCCACGCTAGCGCCTCGAGCGATCAGAATTCTGCATGCATCTACTTGGCCTCCTTGTACGGCGAACCAGAGAGGGGTTAGCCCGTATTCATCTTGGGTATTGACATCGCACCCTTCCTCGACCGCAGACTCTATGTCGTCGATGCTGCCTTGGCCCGCAGCTTGGTAAAGATCCATCATTCAATCTTTATTTTAGTTTGAGATTTCACTGAGTGAGCAAGATATCTGCGGGTTGTGTGCTTAGATGTCTTTTTTCTCCCAAAGATACAGTAGATGTAGTAGTCAAACTGCTGATGTGACATGTTCAGACTAAATTACAAACTTGATCTAAGCGCATAGAGAGATGATATGATTGGGCTAATGAAAAGGGGGGCTAAGGGGCTCAGGCTGAAACATTCAAAATCCCATCGGGCAAAGGTTTGGGGTGGAGGGCCCGTTCTGGTATGACCTTCAACTTGTACTATGTAATTTATCGCATTTACTCCGGGTTTTGGAATAAATCACTCTTGTAATGCGTAGACTTCCGCAAAGCCCATCAATAGGCCTGGACCTCAGGCCCATAGCCCAACCCGTACTGGGCTATAGGCCCTACCTTCGAAACCCGACCCAACCCACAGCCCACCAGCCCCCATTAAAGCCTATCCTAGGCAGCCTCTGTAATCACTGTATTACGACCTTCCACTAGGTATATAAAGTTCAAATTCAGAATCTAGAATTATAGCAACTATATAAGTATATATTTCAATTTTGAATAAAATCTAACTGGTAGAAGTCGAGATACCATTAGTTTCAATATTTTGGTAAGATATATAATTTGGGTTTGTGTAGGAGTAGGTACTTGCGAAGGTGTATCCCGGCCAGGGGTCGGAAACCAATATTAGTAATATTGATGCCTGTTGGAATATGCCTGAATATTTGCCGGCAGAAAATATGAATACCTGAATTACCATAACAGAGCCCTTGGGAGAACTGAGGTCGACAATATTGGTGCCTTAAGAAATGGGCACAAATATGACGCTATTCGCACCTATACAAATCCTGGAATTCCCTTATTCCTGGACGTTGAAGTCTTCCCACTGTGTACTCGTCCCCTCTCTTCCATCACTTGAAGCTCCCCTTAAGGTAAACCATTCGTCCTTGTATTCCTATCGCCGAGGCTGACTCCGAATCTCACGTTTATGAGGGTCGAGATTGATCCGTGGGCGTATAGAGATGGTCAGGGATATTCGGATTGATGAGGATGGACGGCGATTTGTACGGTCGGGATCGATGGGGATAGATCTCGATGAGGATAGATTGGCGATATGTAAGGTCGGGGTACGAAGGTGTATAACGGCCAAGATCTAAATGCCTGATATTTCAGGTTTGATACCTGAAAATGCCAGATGGTGCCTGAAGATGCCTTATTTAAGACCGCTTTTGGACACCGCTCTATACGCTGTATTGTAAATAAAGCTATCTATAGTTAGAAGTTTGCACCACTCTGACTCAGCCAATGAGAGCGCGGAATTCTTGTAGGTAGCGTGTCGTATTTTAATAAAACTGAAGCTATTCCTATCATTATTTCTATCATTACCCTTATCATCGTTATTACCGTCATCGCCCCAAAGCTATTCCTATATCTATCCATCGCCGTGATACCGACCGCGACCGCACAAATACCTACTTCTATCGATCTTGAACCTTACAAAGCAGAGGTCCTTCAACTTCTCTCCCAAAACACTACAAATACGGCTATTCGGGCTGTACCGTGGAGAAATATCAGATTTGTCTAAGTCGTGCTAGCCTATTCAACAGTCTTTATTCATCGCCAGGACTAAGGGAGGGGGGGGGCCTCTGTGCTGTTTTGTGTGGTGGGAATAGCTTTATTTTATTGAACTCGGGCACCTAGAAAGATACTTTGCTTAGTAAGGCACCAGTCATAGTAATTCAGGTATCTTAGTTTTCCGCCAGTTTTAAATAAGGCATCCTTAGGCAATTTAAGGCAGCAAGCCTGAAAAGTCAGGCATTTAGACCTTGGCCGCTATACACCTTCGTAGGTAGTATGCATAACCTTTGTCTCCACAAGCTGAAGTGCATAAATCTCCCGAAATCCGAAATTCAAATGCTTAGAGACTCCACTGCCAAAATTTTAGACCAAGGCCCAGCTCAAACCAACTAGGCCATAGGAACAAAGTTGCCCTGGTCATCCTTTCCACCTTGCTCACCTGGCCGCGGGATTTTGCCTCCCCGTTTCGGAATCAGGGCACACAAAAATGTCACGCCAAAGAACGCAATTCCCATGGCCCAACTGCCGTGCAGACCATCAAGGTAGGAGCGTCGCGCACCAAGAAGCGCTGAGCCCGAGAAGACCTCTTCAAGCCCGCTTGAACCGGCAGCGATGACCTCCTCAGGATTGATACCCTTCATGTGTTTGGGTATATTTCTCAGAAGTAGGTTGTTCATGATCGAATCCGTGGAGCCAACACCGTAAGCCGCCGAGATGAACTGGAAGACTATGAATAGGTCAGTTGGTTGACAATTTGTATCTTGATTAAATTTAGACGTACATAGAACAGTCGCCATGGTAATGGCCTGGTCATCTGTTGAGCTCAATCCTCCTGCTACAACAACAGGGATCTGAACTGAGAGTCCGGTGCCTGTACCGTACAGAATTTGATATCCGATAATAGGGCCCAGACCGGACGTCAGATCGAAGGTGTAGATCAATCCCGCGCCGATAGTGGCTAGTATACTGCCGGCTAGCAAGAATGGCTGGTAGTATCCGACCTTGGTCACAATGGCAGATGATAAGAAAGTTGCGATGGCTTTCTGTCTATTAGTTCAAGTCCCACTGAATATAAATGCAAGGAGACCGGAACTGACATGTTGAGAGAATGGTTGGGATGTTTTTGATCCCACTGGTCATGGGAGAGTCTCCATGAATGGCCTGGAAATAGATTGGAAGGTTATAGATCAACGAGAAATTGGCGGCATTGAGGCTGATTCTGTCAGATGCTGCTCTCGAGGTTTCATCACGACGCAACAGAGAGCAAAACTCACAAAAAGATAAAGGCGCAGCAGGCGCCAATATTCCTATTCGCCAATAGTCGCGGAACCATTATCGCACGATCTTGCTGCCACCACTCGATACCGAGGAAAGCGCCGGTCAGGACAACCCATAAAACAAGACAAGCTATGACAGAGCCGTCGCTCCATGGTTTTGTCACTCCTCCCCACTGTAGGGCTAGGAAAAAGCAGATCAAACCTGCTAGCAAGACTGCCAGACCGATGAAGTCGAAATGTTGCAGTTTCTCCTTCACTGGCCTTCCCATTCCGGATTTGGCCCGGTCAGGGGTGCGGAAGAAGAAAAGCAAGACCCCGGCAGCCACGCCACCGATGGGAAGGTTAATGTAGAAGCACCAACGCCATGTAACATGCTGCGAAAAGGCGCCTCCCAGCAGAGGTCCTGCAATACTCGCTACACTGAATGTAGACCCTAGCAAGCCGATGAGTATGGGTACTTTCTTTGGGGGCGCAATGAAAGCTGCAATGGTGTAGCATCCGCCAGTGAGACCGGCTCCCCCCATGCCCTGGATGGCCCGTCCGACAATCAACGCAATACTGTTTGGCGCCAAAGCGCAGACCAAACTTCCAATCTCGAATATCCCAATAGCCGCCAGAAAAGAACCGCGCAGGGAGAAGCCTTTGTATACATGACCCCAGGCGGATTGGAAAGCGGCGAGTGTCAGAAAGAAGGAACTGCCGTACCATCCGATATCTTCCATGCTCTTGAACTGGGTCGTTATCTTTGGGATCGCAGTGGAGATGATACTCTTGACTTAGAGTTAGAAGGGTGTCTTGGAGATTGTTCATGATTTGGGTACTTGCCATATCAAGGGCGACCTGAAATCCCAAAGTTAGCTCGGTATTAGTATCTATAGGATTATGCTATGCAATTACCAGGAACATGCTCAGCATCAATGCGATGACAATTATACCCAAAATTGGTCCCGATGGGTACTTAACCGGTGCCAATTCATCTTGAGACTCAGAGGGCGTATTGGTTCTTTCCTCTTTGGTGTCTGTAACCAGGTTCGAGTTTGTCTCCGACATTGTTTTGAGTGAATGTAGCGATGCAAAATCAGTAGTAGCCCATATGATAGCAAAATATTGTTGACATAGCAGGAAATCTCTGTTAAATACCCACTGAGCCTCAAGCCGTGAGAGAAATAAATGTACCCGATAGTTTACTATATAGGGGTCAGAAAAGTACCCGATTGGACCAATTCTGATTAGAAACCTAGCTAGTTCAACAGCTTTGGTACCATGATAAACCATAAAATATTGATGATGAGTCTGTTTTTACTTTGTTTTAATGTGAGATTTCCCTAGGGAGGCCATAATGCAGCAGTTGAGCCTCAAGCATTGATGATCAATCGCGGCGTTGATTGGTCTTTTGGCCGATCTGCTGTATGACCGATGCTCGTCCGCCATATCTCTATTGAGTATAAATCAAACGTTTGTCACCGTGTCCCTAGAGATGCTTGTTGGCCTAGTCCACAGCAATGGGCAGACTTCAACCCGACTATCAAAAGGCGACTCATCGCATCAACTCCCATCGGGGCACCACGTCACCAGCTTCAGTATAATTCGACAAAATGCGAGGAGATCCGAGGAGAGTGATGGCCTAAAATTACAGACCCCTGCGAGGGTCTGTAATTTTGTGAAAAGATATGAGGGCTGGTTAGTTAGATTTATGCATATTCATTAACCATACCTTGCTTTAAAACAGATTTCTGTCACCATGCTTGTAAAACTGAGGAACAAAGCACAACCGGATACGGAGTACATTGGGCTACCTACCTTCCTGTTGGGGCTCAGGGCATATTTGTCAGCAGTCTTCAGACCTCGGGAGCCCTGAAGGTCGCAGCTTGGAGACCATCAACCCCGCTAAATTATTGACCTGGTGATTTCCCGACGTCTTTATGAAGCTTGACTGAGCGTCATTATAAATCACCCGATGCTGTTTTCCTGGTCCAACCATGTCTTCCCAGGCACGACTTCGTACGTCGTGCGACGCCTGCCAATCCTTGAAAATCAAATGCAGCCAAAACAAGCCCGAGTGTGAGCGCTGTGTGAAGCACGGACTTCATTGTGTATATAGCCCACTCCGTCGCATGGGAAGACCTAGAAAGCGAGATGCTTCGTCTCAGGGTGCTCAATTTCCGAGTGGAGAATCGGATGCCCAAGCTGCCCAGACAGAAGACACGGTGCCTCTAGCCATGGAAGAAGAGGATGTTATGAGCCAGTGGCGCGATTCAACCACCACAATTTCATTATCTTTGGCTGATTCTATGCATGATACTCCATTCGCATCCGACAGAACTGATCGACTGGCGAGCTCTGTGAGCTGCCCCGGCATAGCCTCACAGAGAGGTGATTTGGGTAATATATACAAGGATGCTTTTATGGAGGACATCCAATCCTTGATCTACTGTCAACTTCCGTCCTTACCGCGCCAGTTACCCACCGCCACTTCACTTAGGCGGAACCCGAATGAGTTGAAGAGGAAGAAATTGGGCTTGGAAAGCCAAAATATTGCTCCGGCCGCTAATACAACGACTTCATATGCGTTCAATGAGCTTTTACCTTTATCAAGTCCTTCAGGAGCAGCCATGGGACGGCGCCCCAGCCTCCAGGATTCTCACTCGGAATTGCCAGAGCCTCTAAATAGAAACACAACTGACACCGCCAATTGTGCTGGCAACTCCCAGTCCGCTAGGCACCATTCAAGGAGGGATGAAGCGTCTGAGGATACGGCTGGACTTTGCGACCCTGATTCTCCCAGTTTCCCTTCATCCTCAATCTCTCGCCCGGCCATATTCTCATCATCAGACCTATTTGGGGAACCGTCAATTCCAGCGAATTCTTCATGCCCTCAAAACCTCTCAATACGCTCTTCACGGAATTGGAGACATTCCGACGATTATAGCAGACGTACCTTTCTGATCAATGATCGCGACCGAGAAATGAGCTCGCTCGCGACGTCAAGCAATCGAAATGGTAATCCAAGTTCATGCAGCACTGCCCGACCAGCTTCCGAATCTGATGGTTCATGTCAGGGTCAATGCTACTTGACTATTCTCCGTCGTCTCGCCTCGCTCGAGCATTGTCGTGGCATGGACAAAAAGCTCCTAGCAATTGATGTGGTCATGACAGCCGAGCGGGACACTCGCCTACTCAAAGAGCAATTGTTTAAATGTGGTAGAGATGTACCCGAAGACGAAGGATGTCTTTATTCACGGCCTTCCAGCCTGATGGCCTTGAGCTTGCTTGCAGAATGTGTTGTCTCCCTTTTCGAAGATCTCTTTCGCCGAGCAGCGATTTCCGCACACGAGAGGGAGCGCATTTTTCGAACTGCATGGCCAATAGACTCCAGTCCCATCTCCCCCAGCGAAAAGAGGACTTTATCGGCTCATCAGTCTGCTGCTCGCTTTGAGCGCTCTATACGTGGCGCGTTCGATCGAAATATTACCTGTCCCGTTCCGGAGGCAAACTGTGATCTATTCCTGGGAAATTTTAGAGTGGGAAGCGAGGCTAAATCACGAGCTATGAGACAGATCTTACGGCGTCGAATCGGGAAACTCTTGGCTATGTTGGTCGATATCAGGAGATTTGTCGGGCCAGAAGGTGGTGTTATACAAGGATCTGCGAAGCAGATTGCCGAAGACCTTCACCACCGTGTAGAGTCCTTACAAGGAAGAGTGGAATTGGCGGAATAATAGGAAGTTGCCCTGTTACCATCTCGGTGTGGCTGGTTTGGTAACGATATATATATTTTTCATGCCGCAAACGAACGAACGTGAATGGCTTTATGATTTTATACAGGGTCTCGTAAAAAGAACACCATTATGCAACATGATTTTGTTTACTTACTGCACATCAATATAGGGGATTGATAAAACCCCCTCTATGTCTGGAACCTAGTACAGCCTTCAATGTTCCCAATTGGAATTCTCCCATAACCTCTGCTGCTTTCTATATTTTATGCTATATACAGTAAATTTCCGCTATAACGAACGTGAATATAACGAATACCCGATTCAAACCAACTAAAACCGGTGCTTCATCTAATCCGCCATATGTAGGATTCAAAGTAGGAGAGGGCGAGGAAAGCGGTGATGTGGATATAAAACCTGCATTTTCCAGAATGGGGTATCAATCCCCTTGACACGAGGTTTTCCTTGATGTACAAATTCTGGTTCCCCTAGATCTTGCCAAAATAGTTGTAACTTGTTCAAGCATTCAAGCTAGTATCCGCTCCTTCATTGACACTAGAACAAACGTACATATGACAAATATGGCTAAATATATGCGCGTCGGGTACTTTCGAACATCGTTGATTGGACAGAAAAGTACCCAGCGAATAACCTTGGAAGAATTGGAAAGTACCCGATTGATGAATAATATGGAAAAAAGGCCCGAGGAGATATGAATAAGTGCCCGACCAAAACCCGAGGTCCCTTTTTTTCTTAGGCCATTCTTTTGTTATGTATGGTTCTCTAGTCAACTCCCCTAGCCCCCGGCTCCTGTACCGAATACTACATCATACGATACCTCTTTATGGTGCATGTGGCGTGTATCCAAATTGACGTGTGTCGCAATCTCAGAGCATATATGCGTACCATGCATAATCATCGGAAGCAGATAAGTGTCCTAAATCATTAATTGTTGTTGATCGGCAAGGTAATGGTCAGTTAGTTGGCGTTGCCAAGTGAGTTTCCTTTGTACAAAGCCATTCAATTCCCAGTAGTGCGAGGTAGTGCGATACAAACCCGCCCGTATAACAATGTTAACGCACAGAATTTTTAGACAAGCGGACATCTTTCATCTGTCCGCTCGGAACACTCCAATTATGCAGCGCTTTGAACCTCAGCAGCCTTGCAACTGTCTCGACCGGACAGCCCAAGTTCTCAATTGCTTCCCAAACATCTCGACTATATCTTCACTAGACACCCATCAAATGTCTCTAGATGAAGTCCTCTCCATCGGCACAGCTTTGGTCGAGCATTGGGAAATATTGCATGGCTGCCCCGTAGCAGAGACGCATCTGGACGCGCGAATGCTACAAAAAATGATAGATGCCGTGATAAAGACACTCACTCTGTACGAGGTAGCGGTTGGATCTATCCTCGGAGGCTGGGGAGAGAACCGGGAACCTAATGGTGTGGGTATTGGTATGTGAATCCTCAGCCCGACATGATCCACACAACTTAATGGCGGGCTAACGGGGGTGGCTTAGACAAATCCAACAACCCACCCAACACTCGCAACGGAAGCAAGGATAGGGCAATGGAAACCAAGCATGCAGTAGTTGTGACTGAGGCAACGGCACAGTTGGGCAATATGCAACTAGATAGTCATGAAATGACGGTTGTCGCGCGCGAGGCTTTGCGTCATGCTACCATGCGGTTGGGGGAGATGCTGCATGATATCGAGGAGGATATGAGTATTTTGCGGGATCGAGCAAATTCATCGCAAAGGAATGATAACCATGTGAGAGAGGTGAGACAAATCACGTCTCAGTTGCTTCGAATTTTGGGAAGGATCAATAGTAACGATGGTAACATGAACGAAGAGTGAAAATTGGATGAAACTAGCCCGATAGGTGATACGAAATAGCTATTTAAGTAAAGATGTCGAACGCTACTATGCGAGCCATCATCAATGACCCCAGAGATTATGACAGAAATCTGGAGTGAAGCAAGGTATGGTATGGTCAATGATACAAAACTCTAACCAGACCTCCGCAAAGCCCACAAAGCCCAAAGCCCAACCCGCCCCAAGCCACTAATGGGCTGGGTTTTGGGCCCGGTCCTTAGGCCCACTGGGGGGTGAAAGTCCACTAAACAATGTAAACATTATACGACCATAGGGTGTGGAAAACAGGGCTTCCCGTCCGCTCAGCCGTACTTAAGCTACACGCACGCCGGTGAGTTAGTAGTTGGGTGGGTGACCACCAGCGAATCCTCACTGTTGTATGTTTTTGTTTTTTGTTTATGTTGTTGATTTTGATGTACCCAGTCGCGGAATATCATTCAGAGTTGGGACCGTCTGACGGCAGAGGCAGCATGGACAGACTCGAAGTTTTCTTTGATTGATTCCTGGCATTCGAGAACTGTAAACGGATTAGGCTAACCACAACTCACCAAAACGGGGGAGCTTTCCTGGGTCAAACCAATCCCCTTGGAGCCCCAAAGAGAAGTAATCTTACAGTTCGTAGAGTCCTGCCCATATCGGAAAGGAACCCCTGCCACAAAGAATGACGAGAATTTGGTCTCGAAAATACAGTTCGAATTTATTTAGTGACGGCCGCGCTCGGACTATATTAGTGAAAATTGTATAATTGTATGAAGTAACTATAAGTACAATGAGAAGTAATTATTGAAGTGAAGAAAGGAAATGATGAAGAGAGAGAATGGTGAAGAGAGAAAATGGTGAAGAGAGAAAATGGTGAAGAGAGAAAATGGTGAAGAGAGAAAATGGTGAAGAGAGAAAATGGTGAAGAGAGAAAATGGTGAAGAGAGAAAATGGTGAAGAGAGAAAATGGTGAAGACAGTGAAGGAAGAAGAAAAGAAGGGAATTAAAGAGCAAGATGAAGCTCGGTGAAGGGTTCAAAGTGTCCTATTGCAAGACGTGTTATCAGTCGCAGTCAGCGGTCTTCGTGGCCGTCATGGTGCTAGTGGAAGTAGTTTTGACGACCTTGGTGGAAGTGGACGTAGCACGACGGGTGATTGTAACCGAGGGATGATTAGTCACAGTCGAAGTCTTGATGACAGTACTAGTGGAGGCAGGGAGAGTGGTGGTTCTCTTCATCGTTGTTGTTACAGTGGTGGTGGTAGTTGCGGCAGGAAGGTGGAGGGTGGTCTTGACAATTGCCGTCTTCAGGCTAGCGGTGGTCACTGTTTGACCTGGCAGAGTCACTGTGGCGTGCTTCTCAGCCAACGAGGTGACGGTGTTGGTGACAGTGGAAGCCTTCAGGGTTGTGATCTTGCCAATAGAGGTAGTGTCAACGACGGTAACGATCGAGGTGACGGCCTTGATGGTGCTCGTGGACAGTTTAGTGGCGATGGAAGTGATGGTTTCTGTGACTGTCGCGGCCTTGAGGGAGGTTATCTTGGTTGTGACATCGGTGATGTAGTCCGTGGCGACAGGGAGGGTTGTTGTGACAGTCTTAGTAACGTAGTCGATATGCGTGACATAGTCAGTAACTGTGGCAATGTTGTCCAGGGGTTCCAGACCCCGCTTGATCTTCTTGGGAGCAGCGTTACAGCTGAGAGTTGTCGTAACCTTCTTAGTGGTTGTCTTCGTAGAAGTGGAAGTAACGACCTCAGTGGTGGCTTTAGCGCTGACGGTCGTAGTTCCTTCAGATCCAACTGTGATTGTTGCGGTCGAGGTAGTCTTTGTAGCCTTTCCAGTTGTAGTCTTGACACTCGTACTAGTTACTGTCTTCTTATCGGTGACGGTGGAAGCAGCAGCAGTGATGGTTGAGGTCGAGGTGACGGTGCTCTTCACGGTTTTTGTGGTGTCCTTGCCAGTGACGGTCACTGTATCGGTGGTCGTGGCTTTGCTAGTCTTGGTAACCGTCGTTGGATCAGGTGTGATAGTGCTGCCGATATCCGCAGTGACGATAGAGGTCTTCGTGGATGTCTTCGTTGGTTCAGTCAGGATATTAGTACTAGTGGTGGTGAACTTGAAGGTCGTAGTCTTTGTCACACCTTCCGGTGTGAGTGTCAGGGTCGTGGTAGACTTGACAGTCGAAATATTATTAGTCGGCGTGACCGTGATGAAGGTGCTTGTGGTTGAAATGGAGGTCACGTCAACAGTGGTAGTGGAAGTCACTAGAGGGAGAGAAACAACGGTCGACGAGGTGGTACTTGAAGGAGTAGCACTTGGCACGATAGCACTCGAAGTAGTGGTAATCGTTCCCGGGACGAAGGGAGTCCCATCAACGTGCGTGAAATCAATCCAAGATGTGGTGGAGAAGAACGTGGAAAGTTGGAATTGAGCGACCTCAGCGTCAGTGAGCTGAGAAGCGAAGGTCGCACGCGACAATGTGCTGGATCCTGGACCGTAATTTCCATATTCACCAAAGATCACGTCAGAGGTCTGAGGGCTCGAACTAGACCATTGATTCCATCCCTCAGGCTTCACGCAGGAATCAAGGTAGGAGTCAATGTATGCAACTCGGGCATACTGGTTCCAGGGTCTTCCGAGCGAGATCTTCGACATGGAGCCGGCGCCGGTCGAAGGAATTATCTTACATTGATCGAAGACGAAACCTCCAGCGGTGGTGCTTGTGGCTCTCTTATCCGCTGTGAGATCGATGCTATCTCTATTTGGCGAAATTGTTGTGTTCAGGAAGTAACCAGCGCCACTTCCCCAAACCATGTCAATGTTACCCTCAACATACCCGTTGCTCATGAAGAGATAGCCATTGATCAAGAGAGCGTCTTGGTTTCCTTTAACCTGGCAGCCTGCATTCCATGGTATTAGGATCATGTTTCCGTGTGAGTGAAGCTAGGCCGAAATAAGGAAATATACTTACCATACAGACTGGCATATTTACTGGACCTGACAGCAAATCCGAGGATTGCAATGTCTTTTTGGGTGCCATTGTTGTTGACGAAATTAATATTAATGGCCTGGCGTTTTCTTGTCAGTATCTCCTATAGTCAAATGCATGTCAGGAGCCAACGTACCTCAAAGTAGTTACCAGTAGCATACACAGTAGCGCTGTCAGAGTTTGACTGATCTGCCTTGGTGTCAACACCATAGTTGTACTGGATGGTGACCTGGTTGCTGGAATAGTCGTAAGTAGACTCAGAATAACCCATGAAGATTACAGAGCCAGACTTGTTGATAACAAGTTGCTCCTCGTATGTACCGGGGTAGATGAAGATGGTGGGTGTGACCTTGGAGGAGGTTGGGATGGCATTGAGAGCACTCTGGATGGTATCGTAAACAGTTGTGTTTGTTCCAAGACTGGTCTTAGACACAATGTAAGCACCAGAGGGAGGAGTGGTTCCATTGTAAATCACCGTTGGGGGCGGAATTGGGGTTGGTATGGTAGGCGTATCAATGGAGTCCCAGTAGGTCATGTCGATCCAGTCAGTAGAGTCCATTACATTTTCCAGGGAATAGGTATCTTCTGTCAGCAGGGTGGCATATCCGAATGCCTCGCGGGCAGCCTCGTTGTTCTCCCAGTTACCCGGACCGGTGTTGTTAAATTCTGCGAAAGTAACTGCACCAGTACGAGGATCGCTATTCGACCACACCTTCCATCCAGATGGATTGATAGCATCGGTGAGGTGCGAGTTCTTGACCACGACAAGGGCGTAGTCGGAGTAGGGGCGACCAAGGTACACAGCCTTTGTGAGATCAACGGTAGCATCATCGGCAGCAGTAAACAAGCTTTGGTCGAAGATGTAACCACCGATCGCGCTAGACGAGGCTCGGCTTTGCGCGGTGATCGCAGACTTCGCTTTCTTGGCACCAATGGTGCAACCCTTGAAGTAAGCCTTAGAGTATCCCCAAATGAAATCAATTGCGCCCTCGATGTACGAAGATTCGTAATATTGATACCCGGTTTTACTTCCGGTCAGGAGAGTATCTTGCCATCCCTGGAACCAGACACCTGCATAGTGAATTGATGTCAGCAGATATTGCAGGGAAAACTGTGGGATTGAATTCAAACATACCATAGAATGCGATATGATTCCCATAGATGGATGCAGCTAGAGTGACGTAAGAAGGCTTTAGACCATCAAGATTATCCGAGTTGATAAGGTTGAGATTGTAGAAGGCGATCTGGGTAGACGCAGTGGCAACAGTCGCTGTCTCAGCATTGGAGTGGCCACTGGGCAGAGGAGAGACGGAAAGTCCACGCGCGAAAGTAATCGTCACTTCATTGTCCGCATAGCTCTGGCCAGGGTTTCCAGTGGTGTAGCCAATAATCATAACAGGACCATTGCGGTTGATACTAGGGACTTGCTCCTCGTATGTTCCGGCATACATGAAGATAATCTGAGTAGTGGTATCGTCCGGGAGAGAGGCAAGAGCATCGGTGAGGTTGGCATAGGAGCCATTGACAGCCCCAGAAACACTAACCAGAACGGCACCAGCTGGGGGAGTAGTGCCGTTCGACGGGTGAGCCCACACTGCGGAAGGTGTTGAGACAGGGGGGTAGTTGGCGTGCCTGTCAGAGTGTAAGACGGAACGTAAGCATAAGCTTCCATGTCGAGCCAAGAGGTTCCTCCGACCCAGTTGGACAAGGTGTATGCATCTGCCTGGGTCTTGGTGAGGTTGGTAGCAAATGATGCACGGCTGCTAGACCAGCTTCCAGGTCCGGTGTTGTTGAATTCTCCAAGCGTCACATGTTCTGTTTGAGGACTGCTAGTGGACCACACCTGCCAGCCCGCAGGGTTTATATGCTTATCGAGGTATGAATTCATGTAGACAACACGACTGTAAGATGAATAGGGTCTGCCGAGCCAACTCCTCTGGTAAGTGTTACCGTAGCTAGAGGTGTAGGTGACGAGACAGGTGTCAAAGACGTAGCCTCCAGTGGCAGTGGAGGAAGAACGGCTCATTGCAGCAATGCAGGAGCCAGCAGTGTTGGTTGCGATAACCGACTGGTAGAAGTAGGCCGTGGAGAAACCCCAAATGAAATCGACAGAACCCTCAACGTAACAGTTGGAAAACACTTGAGTACCCTTGTTCGCAAGAAGTGTATCCTGGTAGCCGATAAAGGAGCAACCATAAGCCTGCACGGTGCCGTAGAAGTCGGCAGCAAGAGCAGCAGTATTCGCAGTTTGAGGGTAAGTGTTCTGGAAATTGATGTTGTAGATGGCCAGGCCCTTGCCGTCGCTGTTTTTTGCATTGATAACCGGTGTCTCCTCATTCCTGCTTTCGCTGGTCAACACGCCAAATGAGTATGAGATAGTGACAGTGTTTTGAGTGTAATCATTCTCAAACTTTGTCTCACCACGAAGGATAGTCTTTCCTGTACGAGTAATGGAGATCTGCTCATTGTATGTACCGTTCATGACGTAGATCGTGTACTCCTGGCCATCGCTAGGCAGGGCAGCGATAGCAGCGGTGACATTCTTGTAAGGACCAGCTGTTGGGTTGACAATGAAAGTGGATGTTGCAGTGGCAGCGATGGTCGATGATGCAACAGTCGAGGCAGCAGTAGGCGTGGTCGAAGTAGAAGTCTGGACAATATCTGCGTTTTTAATGGCAGCCAGCAGGGATGAATCAACCCAGGTGGTGTCAGCGGAAGCATACCCGGGGAGAGCAGCGGCAAACACGGCACTGACACTGTATTGAGACAAGGCTGATGCATCGAGAACTGACACATACTGAGCACGAGTAACGGCATTTTTGGCATATGCACCCGAGCCTGTGTTAGCGTACTCAGCGAAAAGATTCCGTCCATCTTGACTGACGGTGTCGACGTGAGCACCAGTAGCGGCAATCAAACTGCCAAGGGCGGAGTTGCGGACAAGGACAACGACTCCGGGACCATTGGCAGAAGCCAAAGCGACATGGCTAATCGATGATCCTGACTTCGCAGCCACTGTGACATGATCGAACACAACGGTGGAGTTGTAAAGTATTGAAGTGGTGGCTTCGACAGTACCCTTCATGTAAGCGAGCAGCGCGGAGCTCTCGACAGGAACAACCTTAGTGTTGTAGACATAGAGATTGGCACTGCCGTACAGGATCTTATCAAGAGCCTCGATGTAAGAGTTTCCGATGATTCCAAGACCAACACTAGCAGTAACTCCCAGCGTTCCAGTTGAGACAATCTGGCAGTCGTAGAAGGCGTACTTATTTCCCTTCAACACCATGACACCAGAGCCAGAAGCAGTGTTGAGGAAGTTGACATTCTTGAAGCTGACTTGTTGGACATTGTTGTTGACTGTCAGAACGGTGCCTGCGTTGGTGATGGTGACCTTGTTTTGGGTGTAGTCGTCGGCGGTATCACTTTGACCAATAACAGTCACGGTCGGGGTTGCAGACACGGTGACTGCCTGAGTATAAGTACCTGCGAGCACAGTCACAGTTGGAATTCCGTGGCTCTGAGCGTAGGTAATAGCATCCCCTATCTCGGTGAATTGACCACTGTTATCCGTTGCAACAGTGACAATGGTTGTAGAGGCTAGAGACAGATCAGTAAGATAAACTTTCTCGTGCTTTGGGCTCACTTACTGGAAGAGGTTGTAGTAGCAGCCGACACAGAGGTAGCTGACACAGAGGTAGCTGACACAGAGGTAGCTGACACAGAGGTAGCTGACGCAGTCGTGGTAGTGGCAGATGTCGTGGTGGTGAGGATAGCAACGCTCGAGATCGCCGAGGCCACCGAGAGGCCAGTAAAGCCCAAGACTGACCAAGCGCGCATCCTGGAAGGCCTCAAAGGATGAGAGCGAAGAATCTTCAAATAGGATCAGTCGTTGTAAACTCTACCGAAGGCTATATAAGGATTGCGCAGCTGAAGATTTGAAGATCTATATTTAAAGCATTAAAAATGTCGGACAAATGGGAGCTGGAAAAAAAGAGCGACACACAGTGGGGATTGGCCAGCTCATATAGTCCTTGACTTGCGCTCATAAAAAGACAGGCATTTTCTGGAAAGTTGCACTATCACATCCAGGGAACGCCATACTTCGGCACTATTTTGCCTCTAGTTACGGGGGGTGTAAATAACCGAGAAGTACTCCGTAGGCCATAATACGATAGAATGCATCATGGAAACCACAGCGTGTTCCAGGCCCCTAGAATCCAGGAACAGGGAACAGGGGTTGCCTGATGGTCGACCTTACCGCGAATAGGAATTATCGATCGAGTTAGATCAAATATCGGTTCGAACACCTGGTGTATCCAGGAATTTTGATTGGGACTTACGCCACATTGCTGTGTTTGGTACACACGTGGACTACTAGTGCGAATACTTGGCATATAGGTGACTGCGCCCCCTGTCGAAATGCCGGAGTGTCAGAAAAGCTTAGATAGTGGTCGGAGAGCTGAAAAGCCGTTTACTAACTGCTTGAAGATTCAGACATAGATAGCATATGTTGCTTTTATTCGGTCTATAATAATCTGGCTTTGAGAATATAGAAGTGAAATCTGGAGATTCGCACCCAAATAACTAGGTAGTCTCGCAAATAGTTTGTCATATGGCGCGGCAATACTTCGGTACAGACCTCGGGATAATACAAAGTCTATGTAGGCATCAGGTAACGGTGCCAAGCGCCTAACACCAGGTAATCGTCTTCCCAGATCCACCCACCTTCACGGCATTGGGTCTGTAGCACACAATTTTCCACTACACACAATTTCCAAAATTTAGGTATGATATTTTAAAAATCTGGATTTTCTTTAGTACTAAGAAGTGATCTGCTATTTCTTGGCTTATTTGAAGCCGCTTTGTGGGATTGAGACTTCTTTAAACCCTCCCAAATTAGATCTAGCTACTAGGATAAAAGCGCATTTGCCTATATACTTCGGTACCTTTTTGCACCCTAAGAAAGCTACGGAATTTGCTCTGATTCAGTAATAAGCTTAATACTAAGCTTATTAACCCGCTCAATTGTATCTAGCGGCGAGTTAGTGACTGAGCTTGCAAAGTCTAGATGGGGTAGCGTAAAACCCCTAAGGGGGGACCCTTCGGCTTCGAGATCTCTTTAACGTAGGGGAGTAAGAATAACCTCTAGATCTAAATAAAGATCGGATCGTTCTTTGTATTTATATGAGCTTACTCTCTAACAACTTGAATAAATCTTGCTTTTTACTTACACTTCTACCCTATGTAATAACTTTATTATAGTATAAAAATGATATTTTAAGCTTTCAAAGGCTAGACCATCTAGCGACTGGCAGAGATAAGTTATAGTATAGGGTAAAAAGTAGAATACTAGTGTGATTCGGAAAGGATCGCATAGTTTTGTACGGAGTACATATTAGACTACTATGTATATACGGAATCGGCGATCTAGATCTCCACATTTTGGAGTACGTACTAGCTAAACTGAAATATATTGTAAGCAATATCCTGCATGATGGTTTAATGGGCTCTTTCTACCGATTATGTACGCGTCTACGAGCGCATCTATTCCGCCTTCCGAATCATGCGAATAAATATTTTTGAATCAAACGTGGCAGGTCTTGTTAGATCTTTACTAAAGGAGAATCTAGAAAACCTAGGATATATAAAGTACAAAGGTAATTGAGAGATATCTTCACACTCGTAAGCCTTTCTAATGTCATTACCTAGGTACTTTGTATGCGCGATTTGTGATGTTGGTGATTAGACTGAAAGGATGAATAAGGTTTGCAGGGGAAATTAGGCCAAGGAATTCGGCAAAAATTTCCCGCCCTAACTGACCCCAATCGCGCGTCTAACATAATCACATAGACTACTCCGTATAGTCTATTTTTGTTTTTCGCAAAAAGCTCCACCATTTTCTGACAAAGCGGAGGAAAGCACGCAGTCAGGGCTCTACTTCCTACATGACGACTATTACCCAGATACCGAATGCCCCGTGCGAAGCGGTCCACTTATGACATCAGAAGGGTGGTCCTGAGGGCGTTTCAACATCGAACCCATAGAGCGTCGGTGTGGCTCTACATGAGTGAGGATCGAGTACGGAGTACATAGTATCTCACAGATCCACTTCGTTTGAGAAGTTCAATCAAATTCGGTTTGCTCTACTAGGAGTATATACAAAGCACATATGACAGATGAACCTCTCCCCCAATTCAAATTGAAGCTCCCGGGCCATTTAATGTCTAAATTATGGCCGAGGCTATGAGCTTTCTTTAAAAAATGTTATTGTAGGCAGGGGGATCATTATCTCTACTCATCATTGATCCAGGGCTCGGATCTAGATATCGGTTTCACGCTCGCATACCGTTGTTGCGAGTGATGTATAAATTTTTGAGGCTCAACCCCCATTGGGCTCGGCGTGAAATCCCTCATACTGTGCAAATTACGTTGCAAATATGAGTCCCGCCTAACGCTATTTTTCTATAATATTGTAATTATGTTGTTCTCTGGTACATACGACCATAGGGTGTGGAAAATAGGGCTTCCCGTCCGCTCAGCCGTACTCAAGCCACACGCCGGTGAGTTAGTAGTTGGGTGGGTGACCACCAGCGAATCCTCACTGTTGTATGTTTTTAGTTTTTAGTTTATTTATATTCATTCATTCACTTTGTTTCTCTAAGCTGTCGATTCACTCTTTTTTATGTCTTTCTTACATCCAATATTACCTAAGGTATACTTATGCATTTATAGAGGGATGGCTGTATTGATTTGCTAGAATGATTTGATGAATTGAGTAATACAAAATTACAAAAACAAATAAGAGGAACCAATAATGAAATATAGCCGGAATAGACCGGAACCAGGCGCAAAGCTTCGATATCTGAGCATAGAAAAATCATCGCTCAATTCTATCTAAGCCTCAAAGTTTTATGTTGTCTCAAAAGGGTAGAAAGGGTCGAGAGATCAATCGGGCTAAAATGAAACATTCTGAACATCAACAAAGTCATCAAGACAAGCAAAACCTTGCGATAACCCCTAGCATTTATACTTCGAAAAGAAGGAACTCTAGACTTCATCATCCACCAAAAGCAATAGGTTCCAAGCCATACCTGCTGGAATTCAGATGCAAGGAGATGTAACCATACTTAAAGCTCATCCAGAGATGGGCGGCCGATTCGATGTTCTGATCGATTTTATTTTTCCAATCCTGAGTGCTACTGCTCATGTCATTTGTACCAATGGGGCAATCGTCTATACCCGTCCGAATACACTTTGTAAAAGCGTGATCCAGGGCAAGTGTTGTTCTTTGCAGTTCCTCCAGCATCTCACAAACTGTGTCACGGAAAGTCCAAAGCTTGTTATGCTTGGAACTGTACTTCGTAAGCCGGCCCGCTTGCCTTTTTACTTGTGTCTGCAAAGTCATATAGTTCCATGCCTCTCCGGTGAGAATCTCCTTCGGGCAAGATAGTAAATCGTTGACAAAGTTGATGAACTTCATGATATCGGGAATTGCGGTGATCCAAACGCACAAGGGAACTTCTTCGTCACGAGAGACCTTGAATATCGGGACGGTATATGCTAAGGAAGCACCACTTGAGCCGCGAAAATAGGCGGGAAACAACTCGACGGAACACCCCTCTGAGGATGGATGGGAGAGCCCATGATTTCCTATGTGAACCGGGAGTTCATGCTCTAGCCGGTATTCCTGTGCACAGGCGTCGATGAATGAGCTAAAACTTCTCCCACTGAAGCTCCCAACCAGTGGATCCTGCGACCCAAAATATTCAGCACACATCCTCATTCCCTCGGCCAAGATCTTGCACCATTTATTTGTCTGGGGAAGATTTTGCCAATGATTGAAAGAGAAGTGGCAAAGACTTTCGCGCTCTTCTGAATCCAATATGATATCATCATCGGAGGCCATCAAGATAGTGGTCATAATGGCTGTAACGAATCTTGTTTCATGTTGACAAGCAGTATAGAAGTACTCTGAGCTTTGTGCAGCACCGTTTAAGATTTCCTGCAAAACTTGGCTTTTCCCGGGAAACATTGGCAGTAGCCTTTCATCCGACCAAGCTTGGAGACGTTGCCGAAGCACCTTGTCTATCGGCCGAGAGTGATGTTTGTATCCTAGATTATCCAGCATCAGGGATATAATTTTGCGCAGACATTGAGCAACATTTATCTTTTCTTGTAGACTTAAGCTCCTTCCATCGTGAAAGTCGAGACAATCAAATTCCGAAATTGAGAGGATAGAGGCAAATTTGACTTCCATTTTTCAGTAATAATTCTAGCAGATAGATGAAGTGTGTGGTAAGAGAGGGAAGGAAATATCTTATAGCTTCTCAGTCATGCATAGTATGCGACTAATCGAGAAGCACGCAAAAGAACATTGACGAATGTAAATATATATACATCAATCTAAAGTAGTGATCTGCTTGCTTCTCCCAACTTCCTCGTTGATGATTTTGCATGCGTCACTGTCCCTCTCACAGCTAGTGGAGCTACGAGGTATGTCAGAAACTTGCTAGAAACGTTGTATTGGTATTATTGTGCATTTCGTATTGCATGCACCATCACATGTGAACCAGCGTTAATGCCTCCATCTGTCCGAATGGCTAGATTTACACCTAGTGGCAAGGAAGTGAGATAGAGACTTACCCTTTTTGAGAAGCCCCGTCCGTGGTGTGCGAGGATCGAACCATTTTCCCTCATATAGTGTGCGAGTGAGTTTGTGGACTAGAAACCACGTGAAATTTCTATATTTTGCGTGGCGACTTTTAGCCCAGAGAGAATGAATCAGTTTATCAGAGTCATGTCCTCAGTAAACGTGGCGTATGGAAACAAAAACCGTAATCTGTCAGTAAGGGGGAATAGTAGTAAGGAGATCAACGTACCAGCTGTAGATTGTATTGATCGTCTCTAGGAGGGTCGCACACATCATATATGCATTGCTTGTAGGTCGAGCTGTGCCCGGGTCCGGCTGGAACCCTGGATAATGCGTGCGCACTTTGACTATGGATGGCGAGGAGAAAGTTGTACAACCTCAAAAACTCGAATATCACCCCACCATGCTATGATGGGACCAATCACGTTTTTCAGTTGTCTGCTGACATCCGCCGAGAAGAATAACTGCAAGACAGCTAGGTATAGTCTGGTTACGGCGCCTACGAGCGTCCGAAGGGTCACGTCACTAGCCTAAGCGCCCTATTGAGCAAATACCAATCGGACCCTGTTACCGCTGTATAAGCACTAAAAACAAGAGGAATATAATGATAATGCATTTTTTGGTCTAACGCAAGCTATTCACACAGAATTGTCCACTTGATGGTGACATCCTAGACTGAAATTTAGAAGTCGAAAGCTAGGATAGCGGTTATGTACCTAGCTGCATATCAGTTATGAATAGATATATCTAATCGATGATATAGAGCAGAGGGAGTACATGGGTATGCAATCGTACATTTTTAAAGGACAGCAAGCTACTAATGTAATGTAATATCTATCACCTGGATAAAAGTGCTCAAATATTTTCATGCTAAAGTAGTGGTGTAATAAAGTATGACTTTGAAGTGTTTCCGTATTTTTTGAAGAGAATATTGATTTATCTGGATGTCTGAATGGGCTTGCTTCTATCTTAGCTTGACATTGTACGACATATAGTTCACGAAAGATAATTGTACTCTGTACTGTTTCTCTGATTCAAGACCTGAAAGGGGATTGAATAGGCACGAATTTGAAGGTGCACATATAGGTAACTATCACTAGACTGCTATTACGTTATTCCCCTATTCTTCTATTTTCCGTTATATATCCAATTTGGGATGGCCGTATGGGTTACGGAGGACATGAGTTTATATTCGGCAGTGGGCAGGAAAAGGATTCAAACTAAGGAGATGCAGTTATCTAAAATGAATATGACATTGGGATTTACTACTGACTCATATTCTTCTGTTTAGGCGATCGGATAATGGATCTCTTCTCATCAGCTCCATTACCTTCGCTTCAACTGCTATCGGAATATCCTATGGTGCAGCCGTAGGAAAAGGATCCTCAATTGAGATAATCTGCGACAAGTTTCCTAGGCGGAAGCTTGGAAGAACAGGATTTCCAACTGTACGACGTGAGACAAATGAATGTGTATGCATGATACAGAGTGTGGGATACGTCATCTGCTAGCACAACTTGAAGAACATTCTTTTTTTCTTCATTTTCGTTAATAAAACTGAAATGATGATTGATAATTAAACAAAGTAATTCGAGAGAATTTTGAATATTCTGGGTACCTACACCTGCTGAAACAAATCTATTTATCATTATATCGATCCCAATGCATCCATTGTCCGCGCCAATACTCCAATCTAGACCGGAAGCCGGAATTCGTCACATCAAAGCGTGGAGTCGCATAGTGACCAGTTCTCCTCAATATAATCAATATACGTACTCGAAATTCGGGTTTTGTGCATCAGTCAGGTCAGCAAAGGCTGTGGAATCGGCCATAAGCTCAGCCTCACCCCCTCTCTCCCGCAATTCGTCGCGCATCTTCTCCTTTTTTCTGTTCTCCCAGATAAAGGCATAGCGAAGCACGAAGAAAAGAATGAGCTCAAGGCAATTTGCAACCAGCAGAGAACCAATGCCAAGGGGGTATGCTGGCGCTTGCTCGGATTTGTAAAAGAAGGGACTAGCAATGTTGCCGATGCATGCTCCAAACCAGATCATACCAGACACGATCATTTTCTTGGACTGCCCGCCAGTGTTGGAGGTAACAAGGGAAAGCGATATCACGAAGGAGGCTTGATACGATCCAGTGAGATAGCTAGATTGGGGGATCGATCAGTTACTACCTTTCAAGGGGGAAAAATCAGGTATATAGACTTACAAACAGATCAGTCGGCCGACGTATGCATTATCGGGGGCAAGCAAGAATCCGAGGGCACCCGCAATAGTTGGAATCATGAATAGTGCGCAGACTAGGGTGCGGCTATTCTTCGGCATATATTGGTTCGCGTATCCTCCAAGCACAATCCAAATGACCACAATGACTCCCTGGGGTATACCGAGAAGCGCCGTGTTGAGTGTATCAAAGCCGAGGCCTTGGATAACCAAAGTAGAGAAGTTGGATATTCCGCCGTTGGGAACGTTGGCAAGGAAACCAAGGACAGTAAATAGCCATGTTTTGTAATCGAAAAATGCTTCTTTGACCTGACCCCAGTTAATTTTTCGTCCCTCAATACCGGTCTGGTTGGATCGCAGTCGTGCAATCATTAACAGTTTCTCTTCACGATTGAAGCCCCAAAATGTTGCTGGCGAGTTGGGTAACAGCAAGCCGATTGCAATTCCCCAGGCAGCGCAAAGGGCACCGATGATGAGAAACTCATATCGCCAGGATTGAAGACCACCCTTAATATTGCCGATCCCATAACCTAAGCATCACAATAAGCGTTTACTCCTCAATTCAGTATTCTTACAATAATGAATGAAACATACCAATAAGACCACCGCCGGCAATACCGATACCATTCCATAAATAGTATGCCGAAATACGCCAAGGTTGCTCCGCACGGGTATAGTATGTAGAGACGACGAGCATGAACGCAGGGTCAGCGATCGCCTCAAACGCGCCAGAAATAACCCGGAGTGCCGCAAGCGCGCCGAAGTTCTGCGATGCAGCCTCGCACATGAGAAGTACGCCCCACATGAAGATGTTGAAGGCGAGATACCAAGCCATCCGGCTGCGTTGCATGAGGAGGTTAGATGGGATTGCCCAAACTAACCATCCAAAGTAGAAAATACTTGACAACCAGGAATATTCTGAACCAGATAGATGCAGGTCCTCTTTAATGCCAAATATTGCTGCGTAGGAAAGTGTCGTCTTGTCAACATACTGGTAGAGAAAGATGATGTTAGATGTGGCCTTAATAGGGCGAGCTTGAGGCGATCGACATACATAAAAGAAGTAGCATATGCCAAGAAGTGGAAGGAGGTGCATGTCAAGCTTGCGTTTCAGCCTCCTTTCTGCTTCTTTATCGATGGCCTCATCATTAGGATATCTCTGAATTGCTTCAAGGTACAGTTCACTGTCTTGTCCTTGCTTGATGTTGGCTGCCACCGGTACCTTGAGATTCTCCTCTATGTGCTGGATATCGTTTCCACTCTGTGACTTCAGCACCTCTGGGAGATTTTCTTTCTTGTCCTCCATGCCGAAGTGCCGAGATTCAAGATTGGTATTCTCTGGTGTAATGAGTGGAAGGTGTATTGAAGACGAACTACTTATCAGTAACAATATGTAGGACGAGGAGCATAATATAGAAGTCCCTGCTTGGAATGACGGCAATCGGCAATCGAAGTCGGACACAATCACCATTGGTGGAATAAATTTTGCGGGGATATCAACCCACTTGGGCGACTTTCCTCGACTGTGTACAGTACGAAGAAAACCGGACCTTCTCCGAGCGTTGACGTTAAAAAGGGTAATAATATGAGAGCGCTTGGATGCTCGCCTGTCATTCCTGGGTCGAGCTCCAACTCCTTCCTAGGTTCTTACGGTGATTAAGTAATGCATATTAAAAGCGTGCCCGGGTAGAATATTCAAGAAGATATTGTAATAGGCGCTTCTATTTCGACAAGTATATTAGTAGCACATGGAGGTAGGGATGGTACATATCGCTTGAATTGCTAATGTAAACATTGATTCCATATCTCTGCGGTTGGAACTGCCAATTCCTATTTGTAGATTGTAGTTTGAGTGCACTGCAACATAGAGAGTGGGGGGGGGGGGTTGAGTTGAAAGAAACGTGGGGGGCGGGGAATTCCCCAGGTGATGGCCGCTACCAAGCAATAATATGACAATGACCGGGAATAATAATTCCTAGGCAACCACTTCCTGCTGCTGCTTTGTACAATATCCACATTGAACCTTTTTGCCAGTTCGTACTCCGTAATAGAGATCGGCATATGAAATTTGCCGGCTTTGCGTGCCGCCAAAAGTCACATGGACTGGTAGCGATAGTATCAAGCCACTCGATCCACCTATAAGGGGAGCAAGTCCCAATAAGGTCACTGGGGAATTTGATGAGTCCACTTCAAGGGCTGGGCAAGCGAGCTTAGAAAATTAGTAAGCTACTTCTACAGCCCTGGAGGGCTCCAGGGCTGGGGGAGTGGCTTCGCCAAGAAAAGCCCCTTCACCCCTAGGGGGGCTTTCTTGGCGAAGCCAGTTAGAGGCTTATCTCGTCCAATATTTCGGAGCTTTAGATCCCCTTCATATGAACAAAAGAAAAGCCGGAAGAGGCAGGGGAATCTTTATTTGGCCTCTATTCTACTTAGTTTACTCAGAAAATACCGGTTTTAAACCAATATTCAGCGTAACTACGGAGTAGAAACCCTGATTTTGGCGTTTCAACATTTGAAGACCTTTTTTTTTTTCTGGTACAATCAACCTTCGAGGGTCTATTGTACTGTGATGCTTAAAGCCTCCTAGTCTGAGATCAGATCTCGCTTTTATTTCTTGCCACGGAGCCTATAAAAAGCTAAGTGTTGGTGCCTGTGTCACGTGGTGTTGTGGGGCTTCGGCCTCATCTGTCAGGCTAATAATGCTGATGAAAGTCTCCTTTTCCAACCTTGGAAGGTTCCTCTTCCCTCTCCTTCTTGATAGACAGAGATTGATCATATTTTCTTTCATGTTACTTCGCTATTAGACATTAACTTAGCTCCATCTTCCTTTCTCACCCTCTCTATCTCATAGCCTAATTAGATCACGACAACCCCCGCAATCCGGCAATGAGTAAAAGACCGTGACCCAGGACTCAGTCCATATAGACCCTAGGCTCAACCATTAAGCCAAGAACCAACCTAGGGTCGATCGCAGTTCCCTCTCCGAGAACCCTATAAACCGTACACAGCTGGTTATGTATACGGTCGGGGATGGAGTTAGAATCCAAGATTTCATGGATCCCTCTATTCCTGGAATAGAGTTAGCTCCAGAGATACCCTAGGGCCGCGGGGTTTGAAAAGGCTTAGCAATATCCAGTTATAAGAGCCGAGTACTCCTAGACACATAAATCGGATCAATATTGTTTTCAGCACAAATTTGGTCGAATTTCAATGACATACGACTATCAATGATCGTCATGCTAGTCAGTTTCTAATCACTCTTCCTCTTCCTCTTCTTTCTTGCTCTCCGCACGTAAACACCACGTGCATCACTCTTCATGTCGAAATAGGCATTTCATCAGAAGTTCATAATCAGCAATCAAATTTGCAAATTAATTAATCTAAGTATATTCCCCGGAAAACCAACCGATCCATCATGTTTTTACACGTGCACACTAAACTAGGTCAGCCAATAAATTACCTCGGATATCTAAACCCCTCGTTGCCGAAAGTTGATCCATCTCCGAGGTTTGGGCTCTCTATTGTGTTTGCACTAACCCTAAACTGCTGTAGTGGATTTTTATACCTAACCAAAGTTGTGGATCAAGGTGACAATGCATAAAAACGATCTGCACGCTGCGCGACGTGCGTTGCCTTCCAGGCATGATTGGCCTTCATTGCATTTCGTCGTATGCAGATGTGCTATGATTATGGCACCTACGCCGAGAAGCAAAATTATATATAGAGCTGAATCATCGAGATTTTGTGAGATATTCCTCAGATCAGATTCTGTAAATCAATTATATTTAGTCATGGTTGGAAGTATGTCGCTTAAACTCCTGCCCTTTGTGGCTGGTTGCGCCTTTGCTAGCGTCACCTATCCCGAGATCCCGGCGGACTTGACTACGCCATTCCAGCAGCGATTGGCAATATACGGTCCCGATGGTATGAATGTTGCTTGATATAGTGGATTCGAATGAGGGCTAACTTATTTGTTCCTAGCTGTATCTGTTGGCTGGAACACTTACGGAAAGCTTGAACAGAGTTGCGTGCAATATGGCTTGTCAAAAGACAACCTGAATACTAAAGCTTGTTCATCCTTGTCGACCACCTATGATCCCTCGCGGACATGGTCGAATGTCGCCGTCCTGACAGGCCTGAAGCCCGCAACAACCTACTACTATAAGATCGAGTCTACCAACTCGACTGTAGGTCATTTCCTCAGTCCTCGCAAGCCTGGCGATAAAACTGCGTTCAACATGGACGTGATCATTGATCTAGGCGTTTACGGCAAAGACGGCTACACAACCAAAAGCACAAAAAAGGATACCATTCCAGTCATCGATCCGGAAGTCAACCACACGACAATTGGTCGCCTCGCGCAAACAGTGGACGACTACGAGTTCATCATCCACCCAGGAGATTTCGCTTACGCAGACGACTGGTATCTCAAATTCGCCAACCTGCTCGATGGTAAAGAAGCATACGAGTCCATCCTGGAGCAATTCTACGACCAAATGGCACCAATCTCAGGCCGCAAGCCCTACATGGCCAGCCCAGGAAACCACGAAGCAGCCTGCTCGGAGATTCCATACTTGAACAATCTCTGCCCAAAAGGCCAAAAGAACTTCACTGAATTCATCCACCGATATGAGAACACCATGCCTCAGTCTTATATTTCCTCGTCATCCAACCCAACGGCCCAAACACTGGCCCGCACGGCCCGCAGTCTTTCAAACCCACCCTTTTGGTATTCATTCGAGTACGGCATGGCCCACATCATAATGATCAACACCGAAACCGACTTCCCTAAAGCGCCAAGTGGCACAGATGGCTCTGCCAAGCTGAACGGTGGGCCCTTTGGCGCTCCGAACCAGCAGCTCGAGTTCCTCAAGGCTGATCTGGCTTCCGTCGACCGTTCTGTCACTCCCTGGGTAATTGTCACCGGACACAGACCATGGTACTCAACAGGTGACTCGTCGAACATCTGTACTCCCTGCCAAGATGCGTTTGAAGGCCTGTTTTACCAGTACGGCGTTGACCTCGGTATCTTTGGCCATGTGCACAATTCGCAGCGGTTTGCGCCTGTTGTTAATGGTACCGCGGATCCCAACGGCCTGAATGACCCTAAAGCGCCCATGTATATCGTCGCTGGGGGTGCGGGTAATATTGAGGGGTTGTCCTCTATTGGCACCAAGCCTGCTTATACCGAGTTTGTGTATGCCGATGACTATAGCTACAGTACCATTAGACTTTTGGATGCGCAGCACCTGCAGGTTGACTTTGTGAAGTCTTCTACTGGAGAGATCTTGGATTCCAGTACTTTGTACAAGGAACATGCGACGGATTTTGTTAAGCAGTGACGGAGGTTTGGGAAAAGGATATATAACGCATCTGATGAGCTAGTTTTGTGTTAATGAAATAGTGTTGTTGTTGTTGTTGTATAATGTTGTTGTGAAGGTGCGGAGTCATGCGTACTTTATTATACAAACAGCCCAGCAAACAGCTCAATTCAATTAGGGCTGCATACGCTGGACTGGCCTGGATATGCAGGCTCCCATGGAACACCACAGGCAATCTCAGGCAATCTCCGTGGACCGCCATGATCCACTTCCCCCTGATTTACCTATGTCTCATATCAAGTCTGACATTATTCTTCTCTCGGATCTGCTTTGCTTCAATACCAGAAAACTTGTGCTATTCTTTCGAGTACACATTATTCCACTTATTCAAACTTGTCTGTTTTAGCATGAAGGAAAATATCTCGTGTGAAGACCTAGTCCCGTGAAAATGAAAAAATATTTCTATAATGAACTAAAAAAAGGGAAAAAAAAAAAAAAAAAGGAACGAAACCCGATCAATGCCAATATTTTCAGACGCTATCCAGTATCCACATGGATCCATTCCATAAATAATTTATATACACCTTGACCCATAACCCTATGTTCATCAAGAATCTAAAACAACTAATTATAATTACAACATCTTAGGTTAGAATATGGCTCTCATCGATGCGACAACTGACTATTCCACTCCTTTGGGGGCGTTGTCGAACTACCCACACCAGACCCTTCCTGGAAGGTCCATGGCTCACTCTGCACGACAGTCTCCGAGACAACAGTAATATCCTTGGAGGAAGGTTCGGGCTCAGCTAGGATATGCTCATCGCTGCCCCACGCGGAAGCCTGCATATGTGACGGCGCAGCAGCACTTGTCTTACCCTTCTTGGTATCGCATTCGCCACGGTTTGTCAAGGTCTGCAAACCTCGACTCGAAAGAGGATATGGCTGTCCTGATGCCTTTCCTCCTGAGGAACTGAAGACATGGGAGAGACCGATCTTCCTGAAACCCTTGCGAATAAGTGGTTGGATGATGGGCAGGTTAGAAACAACGATTGAGACGAAGGTTTCACGACAGGCCCATTGAGAGCCTGATTCGGCACCATCTGGGCTGGACTATAGTATATGTGTCAGGTATGTGGTACGTAATAGACGTGTGTAATCCTGTATTCATAGGTATATTATGTCTGTATTGGACGTACCTTCATAATCGTAGCGGCCCGAATGATTCCCGCTAGCATGACAAACGTAGCTCCAGAGAAGAGAATCATGAGGGGGATTTTTCGTTTCAGGTTGAGATTGACAGTCCAGAGAAGGGGAAGTGGGATTGAGAGAAGGTAGACATCCGTGAGCACGTTGAGTACCACGACGACAAAAACATAAACGTAAGATTTGGTTGGTTGACAGAGATCTGTGCAAATATAGTAAGCTAAATAGACTGTTATATCTGACGGTGGAGTAACTCACTGCCAGGATCAGGATTAATCTGCCAAAACGCATGGAAGGGCTGGCATGATAGCAGGAGGGATAACGCTGTTGCAAGGTATGTCACACCTAGAATGATATATCCCAGCCGCACTCGGGTGGGGAGGTGTTGCAGGCCAGTCCTGTTATATGCTTAGCGCATTGGGTCATTGTATCGAAGGTGATATGTGAAGCGCACGTTAATCGAGAGTAGAAGACTGCCAAGCTGAATTTGACTAGCCAAAGAATAGCCACGTATAATGACCACCCGATGACCTGAATCTTAGATCCAGCAACACGATTAGACCATTCAGTCGAATTGGGATCGAGCGCTGCTCGCTGCTCAGGCGTCATGTAGCTATTAGTCAGGCCTTGGAATTTGGCACCGACAAGGTACGCTGCTACTGTTTCCAGTACAAAGAGGATCTGTCGAGGAGAATTATGTCAATTATACTTCATTCAATGGTGTTTACAGGACAGACGAAACAACATACCCCCGCCAATGGCATGAGATAATCATCCAGTTGGAAATTGGCTGGTCCAACTAGCTTCCATCGTACCACGATACGTACGAGGATAATTACCAGAGCCAAGGACAACAAGGTCCATGCCTCAACATTACCGGCCATTCTTGCAAGTCCTCGGTAGTCAGCAAAAGCTGAGGATAAAACGGAAGATGAGGACGGGAGTTGGGGGGAATTAAAAAGAAAGGCTCCAGCCAGACCGGCCCACTAGGGATCCCCAAAACAAGTAGTGTCTACATAGAGAATCAATATGTAATGTTATACAACTAGCTCGTCAGGCTAACTGCATAGTGTGAATACAAAGTAGTAAACCCCTGGAAGATCATCCTTGTAAAGATCATCCATGTAAATTTACATCAACCCCATATAACCCCACCAGATCCACCACCCCGGTATATACATACTGTAATTGGTGCGGGGACTAATGATTTATGTGCCCGACACGGGAAGCATGTCCCGACCACGGGTCAGACTTCAAAACCGTTACCAGTAGTGTGGGTATAAGTTACCTGCTAACTTCTCATTGGTTAATTTGTGAAGGAGCTCCTTCAGGACGTCAGTATGGAGTAGAACTTCCATAATTTGCTTGGATTACTACATTGGGAATAGAGTCCCCCCTAATTGTTTTCTCCGTTGTCCTCCGGGAATCATATATTTATTCTTCCTCTTTCCTCCCAATAATTTCGAACACAACTTTGTTCATTAGTGTATCGTTAGTGAGAATTTCACTCTCACCCGATATCAGCACTGTCTCACCAGGTCATTCATTACGCACTATGTCAACCTTTGATTTTATTATTGTCGGGAGTGAGTGACCTTTAGTATAGCTTCATTACCTACCCCCAACACAGGCCTCATTATCGAAGCTGGAGAAAATGAACTTAAATAATGAGACCTAATTTCCCACAAAAGAAATAATCAACCATTCCACCCATTCACCAAATCGAAATCTATCTAACACATTTTAAAGCTGGCCCGTCTGGTTGTGCCCTCGCCGCCGGTCTCGCCAACTCGGCCGCAAAACCCCGCGTCCTACTTCTGGAAGCAGGCGACAACAAGGAAGATCGCAACCTTCGTATCGACGGCAAGCGATGGCTCACCTTCCAGGATCAATCAATGAACTGGGGGTTTAAAACTACCCCGCAGGCGGACTGCAACAATCGTGAGATCGATTATAGCCGCGGCCGGTGCCTGGGTGGATCGAGCTCCATCAATTTCAGCGTGTACAGTGTCGGCGCACGCGACGATTACCAGGAATGGGCGAGAATTGTTGGTGATGAGGCTTTTGCGTGGGGACCTATTCAGCGAAAGTTTAAGGATCTGGAGACATTCCATGGGGAGATTCCAGAAGGCATAGATAAGAAGTATCTGGATCCAAAGATGGAGAATCATGGAAGCGAGGGCCCATTGCATGTGGGCTTTGCGCGGGAGTGGGAGCGGGATTTAACAGACCTCTTGGATGTCTTCGAGGAGGCTGGATTTCCGTTAAATCCAGATCATAATTCTGGAAATCCGATTGGAATGTCGGTGTTGATTAACTCAACGCATAATGGGTTGCGCTCGACAGCGGCAGATCTGCTCCAGGATAAACCGGATAATTTAACTATTGTCACTGGAGCCCCTGTGCAGCGTGTCCTCCTGGAGGGCAAAACAGCCGTCGGCGTTGAGTCGAATGGGAAGAAATGTGACGACGCGACCTATCCCTGCTACGAGCCCCACATATACTAACTAATTGTGAACAGATCGTGCCACAAAGGAAGTCATTCTTTCCGCCGGCTCGCTAAACGACCCCCGCATCCTGATGCACTCAGGCATAGGCCCTGCCGCCCAACTCCAGCAATACAAAATCCCCGTCGTCCACGATGTACCCGCCGTTGGCCAGGGGCTCCGCGATCATTGCTTCGTGCCGATGGTAAACACCCGCGTAGAAAGCACCACGGACCGAAAGGCATTTTACGGCGACAAAGCCGTCATGGACGCGGCGGAGAAGCAATGGCAAGAAGATGGCACAGGACCTTGGTCGAAATTTGCCTGCGAGTTGGGTATCGGCTGGTTCAAGCTGACCGAGAAGTTAGTTTCCACGCCGGAATTTAAGGCTCTCCCAGCAGACGAACAGAAATATCTTCTACAGGAGACTATCCCGCACTACGAGATCCTCACTCATTTCCCTGTTCATTGGGTCATCCCAGATTTCCCGCCCGAGGCACTAAGCTACTCCTGTCTGCTTGTCTTCTTGTTCAACGCGCAGACTCGCGGAGAAGTCACATTACAATCATCAGATCCTGACTCCCCACTCTCCTTCAACCCTAAGTTCCTGGCCCACCCGTTCGACCGCCGACTCGCGATAGAGGCCTTGCGCGACTCATTCCGCATCGCCAAGCACTATTCCTATACAAAAGACAATGTGGCAGAGCTGGCAATGCCCAAGGGCAAGTCAGATGAGGATCTGCTCGAGTACTGGCGGCAGAACATCTCATCAAGTTGGCACATGACGGGAACTGTGAAGATGGGCAAGAAGGGCGATGTCGATGCGGTCGTGGATCCAGATTTCAAGGTAATGGGTATTGAGAACCTGCGCGTGGCGGATATGTCGGTCGTGCCGGTGTTGGTGAATGCGCATGTCCAGGCTGCTGCGTATGTAACCGGTGCAATTTGTGCGGAGAAGTTGGTGAAGGAGTATAACCTATTTTCTCGAGCCTCAAAGTTCTGAGTAGTTACTGAATACATAGAGACACTCACATATAGATGGAATATAAGACTAGTCTCGTTATCAGAGCAGTTGGTTTGGGGTATCAGGAGATCCAAGTTGGATGTTGATCAAGAACTTTTTGCTCAGGATGAATCGAGACCAACGTCATTTGGAAGCATTTTCTCCAGCCAATAGTCTGCGCAATAGTCTGTGAAAGTGCGAGGTTTCATGTAGAAACAAACATGCCATTTTTCTGTTGTCCCGGTAGTTGTCTCGAGATCCATCAAAGGATCCCAGTGGGGACATTCCAAGTTTTACCCAAGTATGGATGAACCAGTAAACTTAAAATTTAAAATTATTAAATTTTATTAAAACAACAAACCCTATTGTTGTAATATGCAGTGGGGCATAAATACGTACTAGATTATACCAGGTAATTTGTATGTAGATTATCACCAATTGGGTAAGTGGTAGGAAATAAATATGAAGTTGTGCCTACTTTGTACGAAGTAGTGGGGCTAGTAATATGTAGGAGGTCTGAGAGTTCTAAACGGTACTTCCGTACGCAAGTATACTTCCAAGGTAGGCTCGAGCTAGAGAGGTGATAAGCACTTAATTTTCAACGTTAATTAGCACCTACCCGAGTACTCCATACCGAACCTGGCAAATTTATGTGTACAACATATATATAGTGTGCGAGAATTTCTATCTATAATTAGACTGACGAAATCCATAAGTCGAAGATCTCCACTGAGCAACCAACCCAGGACCCATCATGGGGGGCAGGGTAGACCTCGGCAATGGGCCTATGAAACCACTTGTATAAAGCCCAGGTCTTGGCAGTCAGGCTTGTAAGTATTCCGTGACCCTGGAGGTATGAAGCCGCTGATTCATTTCATTAATCTCGGAAGGTCACAAACGGTGGAACACGTTGTGGTTTGTGGGACCCACAAACGGGGCAGAGAAATACATAGACAATCACCATTGCAACTCTAGTACTTAACTAAGTACTCTCCCAACACCGAAAGATTAGCGTTTTCTATCTTTTCAAGAATACAGCGTACTTTGTTCACTGATGAAAAGTCCAGGTAGCTTGTGAGCGGCGAATGAAATATTAAGGTACTGCTAGGGTTAGTATTGCACAAATAAATTTTAGTCCACCATTGCAGATATTTATCTTAGTGGTATTCTCCTACATGGAAGGTCCACGGGTTCCATGGTTAATTTGCGTCCTTAGTAATCCCCCCTTCCGTCCAAGGCTCCAGGGCTGATGGTTCTGACTATCTTTATTTATACATGGGTTCATCTCAGTGAGATCCATCTCGAAATTAATGAGATACATTTTGTATTTTTGGGGTACTATTTTTAAGTCCCCGAGAGATTTGGTTTAACAAGCATTTTTATTGTTCAACAAAGCAATAAACCATCAATACCGCTCAATGTAATTTAGATTGTATGACCAATGGTGGATATACCTAGGTACGGTAAAGGTATCCATATACACAGAGAGGCTTGGGCGGGGAAAATACATGTATCCTCTCTATTCAGTGCTTGCTTCTCGATGATGCAAGTTTGCAGCCAATGCTCAAGTATTATTGCACCCAAAAACACGCCCTGGAAGAGATGTGAGCAAATGATATGTTCGTAACATATTCTGTTCTTTCTGTTGGAATAACAACCCACCTATTGAGCCGTTGCTATAAGCATTGATAATTTCGTCGACCACGCCATACGTTCCACCGCAGAGCATAAATAAGCCCAGCAGAATAAGAAAGATATGTGCTCCGAAAGCCAAGCGCTGTGTCATCGACCCCCTCATCCAAGATTTGTGGTCAGCTATCCAAAGCCACCCAGGCAGCGATACTGCAAGAGGCGCAAAACAAAGACTACCCACCAGTGCGATAAGGTAGTTGAAAATTTGAATGGCTTCGGCCAGAATAAAAGAGATTGCCGCCAGTCCAATGACCAATCCAATCCACGTCGCCCAATGTGTCACCGTATTTCGTTGGATGTGCGTTGTGTTCCGAAGAAGACGAACAAAGCAGTACTTGGCTGTCACATGCAAGTACAAACAGGCACTCACCATTATGCCAGCGAGCCCAATTCCATAGGCAACCATTTCCACAGTGTGGCCTGCCGAGCCGAGCGAGGGTGAGGCCACCCATGTCCCGCACCATCTGTAGATGACCAGAGAGAGCGAAAGATAGGAAGCAATAATAAACGTCATGCAGAGGAATAGCGCTTTGCGATAGTCGCGCGGCTTTTTCATCTCACTGATAACCGGAAGGAAGGCACTGGTCCCGGCGAACGACGCGAAGATTGTACAGGAAGCGGCCATGCCCGCTGCAAAAGTGGGGATAGGATGCGGCAGGGCTTGATACCCCAAGTCAAATTCACCAACAGCTGGGGCGGCTGCTGGTCGGCCCCGCGTGGTGACCGCTACTGCGACGATAAATACCGCAGTGAAGATGCTAATAAAGCCCACCCAGGTGAGCCAGCTGAGATGCTGGAACTTGCGGACCGACGCTGCCGCGGCGATGACCACAGTCGCTAGAAATGACCACCACACTGTACAGGCCGCATGGTCGGAGAGGACATCTAGGCCGATGGAAGCCCCAACAATCCCAGATCCAGTAGCAATGACGTATGCCAGAATGAACATGAACCCTGTAACCTCTTGCGCAACAACGCCGCCGACCTCTCCAGCCATGTCGGCGATACTGTGGCAGTTTGGATGATTGAGTCGAAAGTCCCCCTGGATCATGGCGGTGTAGGTATTAAGTAGGCCCCATCCGACGATACTCAAACTGCCTCCAATAGCTCCCAGGTTTGACATCGCAATTGGAATTGATAATACGCCGGTTGCGAAGACGGTTTTGAGGAAGATTATAGTGGCCCATTGCCACGACACCGTGCGGAAGTCGACTTCTGCGGATTCAGAGAAAACCTCGCGATCGTTCGATTGAATCATCTGTCCAGCGCTTTTGTCAGGGGTTTCTTCGGCAAGTGTGGCGCCGAGGTGGTCGCCCTTCTCGGAGGCTGTAGACGACATGGTGCCTTGTCGAGAATAGGTCCTCTGAACTAGAGACAGTTGAGTGTGAATAAATCTAAGAATAGTAAGGATCAAGGAAAGAGATATGCCATATAATAGCAGCATTCGCGCTGTGGACGGACAACTTATATCAACATAATCTCATAAAGGCTGCGAATCGTTATCAGGATATCCAGTCTATCATAGGTGCATAGGGGAGACCACCTGCCAAACCTTATCTCGACAAGACAAGCCTATTTGATTGGTATAGCAGCTAGCTTGTGAAGACAAAGAGCGGCCTGCCATGGCTTCAAAATCTGCCTGAGATGGGAAACGAGATACGAGATTTGTGTGTCCCAAGGGGTACGACAAGCAAGGGATATGCCAAGCGCCTTGATAGGAAGACGTAAGACAATTGACAATAGTCTCCCCGCATAGACATAAAGAGAGATAGACACTACTGTACTCCACTACTATACTCAGCGCGCAATAGCCCGGCTGTTAGCGCTTCCACATGTGGGAGCGAGATCCAAGCAGTACTCAATCTTCGCCCCGAAAGCCACTGGAGTTGCCGACCCCGAAGTATTTCATTTGAAATCACCTTATCAGATGATATTCGCCAATCGGTGTCTAGCGGAGAGAGAGGCTATGCAACTCTGTGCAATCGGGAGTAGGGAGATTCGATCCACTTTCCAAGCTGTTTACCTCCTTATAGTACTCAGGATTTGTGTAGATCGCCAGAATTTGAATTTGTGGTCGCGATACGAAGAAAAAGTCTCGCTAGAAGGAGAATGAATAAGCGCAATTATGCAAATACAAGTTTTTATTTTGTGAAATGCCAAAAGTAAGGCAAAAGAAAGGCTACCCCAGCTTTCACGGCCCTTTCATAGCCAAATATTCACGATTTCTACATAGGAATAGCGTACGTGGATTTTCACGTTGAAACTGAGAAGTCATCTTTTCAAATCGTACATGGTAGGGAGAGCCCTGATCTATCACTTGAATCTTTTGTGTGATCATTATGCTTGCTCTGAAATTGTGTGAAAAAAAGATGAGAGCTCTGATTGCATTTAAACAGTACATATATTTATTAACATGATTCCTTGCATCATACACCATTTGACTGTGGATCCTTGCCTACTCTCGTCTTCATCTTGGGCTGCACGTACTTTCCGAATAGTTCCACTCCACTCACAAACTCATCAAACTGCAACATAACACCTTTGACTCCCTCAACTTCGGCAATCTCATCCAATAAGCTGGCTACCTTTGAGTAACTGCCCACCAAGGTGCCTCCATTCAGGTTGACCAGATGGCCCGCTGACGCTCCTTCCACAAAACGTGCGACCATACTCTGCGCGTCTGCCTTTGTGTCCATCTTCGACTGGGCATGGACCCAGGCTACAGCCTCTTCGTCGAGATTATCGCAGTAAAGCTTCCATTTCGCCTCGGCTGCCTCATCCGTTTCGTCCATAATGAGCATCATAAGAATCTGTTGATCATTGTTAATTTCAACCTTTACATCGCAGTAATAACGTAGCATCAGCTGGCAGAATTCTTACCATGGCCCCGACATCCCTTCCTGTCTCCTTGGAAGCATCAATCAACCGCTGGTTCGACTCAGCAAATGCTGTCGGAGCGTTGATTCCCTTTCCAAGAGTGAAGTTATAATCCGCATAATCCGCCGCAAATTTTGTGCCGCGGTCGCTCTGCCCGGCGGCAATGATTTTGATGTCACCGGCTGGCCGAGGTTCCAGGCGGCAGTCGGTCATTTTGAAATACTTGCCGTCCAGGTCGCACTTACCATTCTTCCATAAATCTTTCATGACCCGCACGTATTCTTCGGCATAATCATATCGGTAGCCGAAATACTCGTTTCCGGGCCACAGGCCCATCTGGGTGAACTCTGCGCTTTGCCACCCGGTAACCATGTTAACTCCGAAGCGGTTCTTGTATTGCTCGGACTCTGCCGTGCTGTTGGCAATATCATCAATAGTGACTGCCATTCTGGCACAGATAGCGGGCGGTAGAGCGAGAACGGCAGTCGAAGCGAACAGCTTAATGCGGGAAGTGCAAGCTGCGATGCCCGCCATAAGGGTAAAAGACTCAAGGTTGTAGTCCCAGTGTTCTGTCTTGCCACCAAAACCCCTGAATTTGATCATTGATAAAGCAAAGTCGAAGCCATACGACTCGGCGAGCTTCGCAACTTTGCAGTTCAAACCGAAGGAGGGTTTATAGTGCGGGGCGGCAGTAGAGATGAGCCATCCATCGTTTCCCTGCAAAGTTAATCAGCACATATTCCACAATGCAGTCGATTATTTGACTTACAATAGGGAGGAAAACACCAATATCTAGGGTCTTGGAAGTCTCAGAAGGCATGATAAAAGTCGGTGGACTTGAAGTGTAAGAAAGGATAGATAGGTCTCTGCAGGGAAAGATAGAATGAAATGAATATGGAATAATACTGAAGGAATTGCGTGCCTTTTAAAAAAAAGCAGTTGCTACCTCTTGACATCGGCGAGCCTTGTTCTCGCTCCTATAGAGATCGGGAGAGATTGAATCCCAAAAGAGACAAGTGGGTCCTTTCTTCGGCGCGAGAATGTCGATGTTCAGCCAATCATCGCCCGAACTCGAAATAGTAAATCCCAAGGTTGTCGCCGAACGAGAGATGATAGGCTGCTTATCTGCAGAGTGGATTATCCCTACCTAGGGTATTAAGTCACCAAGTATACAGGTTGCACGGCTTCGAAGCACAGGAAGATAATGCAGCCCTAGAGGTAGCTCAAATTGTCACTCAAATACGATGTAGGATCAGTGCAACCGGGGCAAGATAGGTCTCGCGTAAAGCCGACTATATTCTCCCTTCTCTCTTTCTGTGTCACTTCGCTTTACTTCATCAATCATTCATTACTTAGTATTCATGTAGTCTACGGTAGTCAAGGAAGTCCGAGTGGAATTGTATGCCTGCATACTTCATAGTATCTTATGTGTATTTATAAAGTATCACTTAGCAAGCGTATGCCGATAGTCATAATGCCAATCTTCCCGCGCAAGATCTGCCCGAATCTTGTATGAGCTCTCCCCTTCTTCGATAATTCCCATATCCAGATCAACGACCAACATACCCTCTGCACAGTCAAGCCGTGCCAACGGGCCAGCAAACGGAACACAGACCTGTGAAAGACCGATAAATGACCGAGCAGGAGGACCCCCGGCATTGGCATAAATAATCCCTGAGCAAAAATGAATTAGATATAAAATAGGAGGACTGAGGACTCTGGAAGAACTCACCACATGTATTCTCGAAGCACCGGCCAGTCAGGAGCGAGTCGATGAACAGTTTCTCCGCGAGCGGATTTATGACTCTGCCTTCCTCACTAGTCTCGTTAAGTAGCCAGAATGACGGGATAATAATCAGCTTCGCCCCCTGCGCGATCAACTCGCGGAAGGCTTCTGGAAACGCCAGATCCCAGCAGATCAGAAGTCCAACCTTGCCTAACGGCGTGTCGAATACCTGGTGAGGCTCGCGCGCACTGCCCGTGAGGTGAGCCCGTTCAACTGGACCCCAGAGATTCTTCTTGGCATATTTTCCCACTATTTTCCCTTTGTCCGTGATAAAGTATGCAGCATTCAGCAGCCTCTCGGATTCACTGCCCGCGTCGTGAAGTTCAACTAGCGTGCCAGGAACGATATTGATGTTGCATTCTTTTGCTAGCTCGCAGTATTGATCTAGGTAGGTATTCCAGGAGCCGCAGGCAGGCTTAAAGGTTGGATCCTCGGGCGCCCATCCCGTTAAATGATATTCGGGGAGGACGGCTAGTTGAGCACCCTGGTTGGCTGCAGCCCGAATGAGACCGACGGCCTTGTCGAAGTTGGCTTGTACTCGGAGAATCTATAAATAAGAATGTTTAGCGATAGCTTCGAGATTAAGGGTACTAGGCATGATCATCTACCTCCGAATGCATTTGAATCACTGCAACTTTATACACGGGCGCCATAATTTTCTGCCTGGAATTGAGGATCTTGATGTTATTGCTCGACTTCAAGCTGGTCCGATGTTGATATATTTATATATCCGGACACCGAATAAATTTACGCAAAAATCTACTGAGGAGTAAGGAATCCCCGTTTTGTATAAGCCGCTAGTCGACTTTCTCGCGCCGAACCCGAACTAAGCTCTAACGGGTACGATTTTTGAAGATAACAATCACCAGCCAGTTCTTTCAAGCGAAAGAGTGCATTTAACTTAGGATTCCAAGTATAGGAGGAAGGAGACCGGAGAAAATAATTGGTAATGTCGAACAAGAATCGACAACTCGTCAACTTCGTCAACTCTCCTTCCAGATCGCTACAACAACTCGTCAACATGGAGTTACGATTCATCTACTCAGTAGAGCAAGGAACATAGAGAGAACTGGATGAATCCGAATGTAAACTAACAAATAAGAATTATAAAAAGCTTCATAGTAATAAAGAGTCCGCCTAGCTCCTTGATTCGACAGAATCTATACCATCCGACCTCAAGCCGTGGACAAAGAGTCGCGCTTCAATAGGTTGTTGCGTCTTGGGAGGCAATGACTCACGCGCCGCGCCCTCACACCCACCGAAGACCAACTGCGCCTTGAGCTGCCAGTTCTGCGGGATGTTCCAAGTCTTTTCAGCCTGCTGGTCGACCAGCGGATTATAATGTTGGATATTGGCACCAAGACCTTCTGCCTCTAGCGCTGTCCACAGGGCATACTGGTGCATGCCGCTGGCGTGTTCGGCCCACTGTGGGAATCGATCCGCGTAGAGCTCGTACTTTGCTTGGAGATCTTTGACGGTCTCTGTATCCTCGTAGAATAAGATCTTTTACTTGTGATATTTGTCAGATATGGGTTGGCCCTGTTGGTGACGGGAAGAAAAGGAGAGAATGGGAGTATGAGAACGAATGGGAGTATGAGAACAAGTAGGAAATGTGAACGGACCGTGCCATAGCTGTTTTGGAATCCCGAGATACGCTTCTCTGTCTTTGGGAATGCGCCATCGGGGACGATTTCCTTCAAGCATTCTAGGACAATATTCCAAAACTGAAAATGCTCGCTATGAAGAAGGACGAGTAGTCGCGTGGACTGCGAGTTGAAAGAAGAGGGCACATCTTGAATAATGGTGTTGACAATCTCCACGATTCGGGCGTCGGATATCGGGGATGTGTTGTTAAGTTGGTAGATACTTCGACGGTAGTGCACTGCATCGAGGAACTTTGATGGTGTTTCCATTTTCACGCAGATTACAAATCTATTAAGTTGCAAAGGCGAGGTGCTGGAAACTTTTCTAGCCCAGGCCCTGAGCGAGGGGGGAGACTTATATGTGAGAGTCCAGCGAGAAATCGGCGCGGGCTCGGCATATATTCGCTCGCCTGAAATTGAAGCGGGTCTTTGATAGATGATGTAGGCGAGAAGAGAAAAATGTAAAGATTTTTGGAGGGCATCGGACGGCATTGGGACATTGGGAAATTGGTCTGTATTCTGATTCTCGGGGCTTCTTAACCTCAGGAGCGAGTAATTCTATTACGTAGCTCGCTGGCCCTTTGATCCATGAGTGCTGAATGAGCTTTATAACCCATATTTGTCTCTTAATTTGTTAAGAAATAGTGTGCTCAATTTGCCTATCATACTAGTTGGCTTATCTGACCTCATGCTATTTAGAAACAGCACTTATGTTAAAGGTTGATCACTCGCTAAATTCATAACTTCATCGCCTAAACAGGGTAATTAAATCTACAAAAAAAAGGAGAGACCGACTCCATGACTATGTCAGCATGATTGGAGCTTGTAGCTTGCCCATTACATCGCGCCAGTCAACAAACCCTAGCCCACGGCTGGAGGGAGGGATTCTTCCGTCTGCGTCAAGATGACGGTCCGTTCGTTTCCATACCTCCAGGACCAGAGATCTTGCCCGAGATAAGTTGCTGATTCCCTTTGCAGAAGCATTCTGAAACCATTGGAGGCATCTATGTCGCAATTCTACATCCACGGCCTCACAAGCAGCAACAAGGGCAGGCCATAGTATAATTGAAGGCCTGATTGATCGGCCCCGGGTGAGACATTGAATAGTCTCAAGGGAATCGAAGGTCAAAGCGACGAATTTCTGGTAATCTTGAAATGGAGTTTCCAAATTGGCCCATCTCGGTCTGCCCTTGTCTGGATCCGTCTCAGAGCGCCTAAATTGTGGCGAGTCAAAGCAACGACCGAAGAACAGAATGACGGCATAATGGAAGGCCCATTGGTGGCTTTCGAGAAGCTCGTCCCTAACGGCTGTAGGGATAGCCGCATCTTCCCCGAATGACCAGAGCAGTTCCAGTTCAGGATCAGGTATGTAGAAGTTTATTTTATCATTTAGTGCGCTCCTTGACAACGCCTCAGGGTCAAGTGTGATACTGTAAAGCTCTGCTCTAACGTTTTCAAATTCTTCAACCAGGCGTTCGTCAATGCTGACGTGCGGATCCCATTTAGCAATCTGTCGGTCGGCACGAACGGTTCGATAGAGCAATGAGATTGTCCGCAAGCTGATACCGAAGCAGGTATCTAGAACATAGTGGGCTGGCATGACTATTCCTTCGGTATCTTGGAACCCCATCGAGGATCCGGAGAAACTTGAGAAATTATCAGCATCCTCATCTGGAGATGCGGACTTGGTTGTCCTGCACTCATTATATTCGGGTCCACTCGCCAAGGGCCCTTGAGTGGTCGTTGCCACGAGCTCGTAAAACCGGTATATTTGATAAAGCACGCTGGAGCGAAGGCTCGATCTCCAGAAACAACTAGAGCCGGTCATAGTAAATACGCTGTGTGCAAGTTTGAGGTGCCTTTGATGGCTGTTGCTATCAGATGCGAACACGTTGCTCGAGATTAGTGACAATGTGCAGGCCAACAAGGCATGTTTCTGGGTCTCTGAGTAGTTTGCATCACTGTCACTCAAACAATCACTTGCCAACTGTGCGGCGTCGAGCGCATAGACCTTAGCCCTGACTAGCAGACTCTGTCGCTTGGAACCACCGAGTTGGGCCCGGTGTAAAGCTGAGACGGCAAGGATGGCGTGCCGTAAGGCGAGAGTAGTTCGATCTGGTGATTTTGTGAGAGCCAAAGGCAAATATATCTGAAGCCATGGATTCCGTGGTGGATCTATAGCTGGCATCATGATGTGGCCGACCACCTCGCGATAGTGCCTGATCAAGAGCACGTCTTCGTGGTCACCGGGCCCGTCCTGATTCGACGGCCAGCCAGAAGTAGTCGAGGGAGTCTGGCTGTGAGGCAGCTGGCCCCGGAATACTTGACCAGAATCACCCACTGCTTCAGGTGACGACATTTCAGTACCCCCTGGTGAGGAGAGTATGGGTGGATTGAGGTTTCCACTGATCTCCACACTTTCAAACGGGCTTGATGCTATGGAAGTACCTCGACTTGGAGCAAGGTCGGGCTCGCTTCTCTGAGTGTCAAGCATCAAAGTAGCATTAGCCGTGTGATCAAATAGCTGTGCTATCGCAGTGGTAGCTGCCGGTGCGGCAATAAATCCATGGCAGGCATGCCGCCGAGAGCGTTCGCAGTTGGCACAGGTCGGCCGTCGTCCATCACACTACAGCTAGGGTCAGAGAAAAAGGCTCCGAGAGAAATTTGAAGTTGCAGACCTTGATCTTTCGTTGGCGGCAGGTGAGACATCCCTACCACAGCATTAGGCAAGATGATCGTGAAGAGGGAATTGGTTTGTGGGGTGGGGATAGGAGTGGAGTTTGAAGGAACGGAACGCACCGTATACACTCTACCTCCGCGTCGCCCTGACCTAGTCTTCTCAACGGACTTACGGGCAGCCGGCAGTTGACTTCTAGGTCTTCCAGCAATGGTAGGATCAGCCGGTAGGAACTGGGGATTGGCCCATTTGAGAACGCCACCCCACGAATCGATATCGGTTAATTCCATCAATTCAGAAATGGGATGTTGCGTTGTGTTTATCGCGAGCGAGAAAGGCGAACTCGGGAGGATTTCTCTAGAGCGAAAACGAGTTGGCCTATCTATCCCTGCAATCCACCTGGGCACTATATTTGCTTACGTTTTCACTTGCTCGAGATAAGCCCAGCACTAGAGGTAAAATGTTGATCTGTGATAGGCCATTACCGGAGCGAAAGAGGGCCTTGGTCTCCCCTTATCACTGGCGTTCTTTTCATTCCCCGCATCTCCGCACCCTTCAGGTTCGCAGCGAGATTTCGGACTTGGCATCCCCGAAAACCTCAGGCCAACAATATGTAGATTGCAGCTCCATAGTCAACCCTAGTTAGCATGTAGAATAAGCTCTATTTAGTATTTAGAACAGGACATGTCTCTTGATTTGAGCATTTAATTACCCAAGCTCCCCTTGTCTTACTTTCATAACTAGGTTCTTTTCCACATCTAGTTTGCTCGTAGTGAACTACACACACACACAGACATATATACATCGATCATCCGGCACAATGATGACCTCTACCTCGCCCTATCCCCATTCCCAGCTCACCCAGGGACTTGCGCCTGCTAGCCCATGCTCTATTGCCTGCTCATGGGCTCCTCTCCCATCAAGAAGCGAAACTAAAGACAACACATCATGTTCCATCTCTAGCAGAGTTGTGGAATATTCGGTACCGACATCACAGATTGCACTGGTATTACAAGGGTTACGCCAGCCATATACCCTAACCCCGGCCCATCCAGTTCCCTTGGTATCGCACCCCGATGAGCTCATGATCAAAATCCATGCGATCGGGCTTAATCCAATTGACTGGAAATCAGTGTATGTGCCTATATACTGTTTCTCTGTAACCAAAACTGACATCCCTACTATGTAGTGACTATGGCTTCGGTATCCCCTGTCTCCCCTACATTGCTGGTCGGGATTTTGCTGGTGTGGTTGTCAAAGCATCCCATGGGTCTGCATATGCAGAAGGCGACATGGTAAGCAGGAAACGGGTTTTTCTATAATGTATACACCCGCTCACAAGCCATCCAGGTCCTTTGTGCCTCCACAGACTACCGCGATCAACGAAAAGCAGCATACCAAGAGTATGCTGTCGCCCAAGAACACACTGTTTGCAAATTGCCGTCCCATGTCCCTGTCACACACGGTGCCGCCCTGGGGGTTGCCTATGTGGCAGCCGCCTTAGCGCTGGGAGTATGCCTGAGCGTCCGGTTCCCGGCCCTGACAGGCAACGATCTGTGCGATATTATGCGGTCATTACCGCCCGACTCTTTCCCTGCCGATGTTCGATCCGAGTGTCTGGAGTCTATCAACGAACACGAGAGACCTTGCGAGGGAGATTGGGTCGCCATCTGGGGTGGGTCGTCCACCAGTGCGCTGTTCTTGTCCCAAATTGCTAGCCTCGCAGGCTTAAAGGTCATATTGGTGGTGGATGTGGCGAGACACGGAGCAAGACTGGCCAAATCTGGCTGTGTTCTCGTTGACTGCCACGATCCCACTAGGGCTGTCGTAACCATCCGTGGCATCACCCAGGGAAGCCTCCGATTCGGAATCGATACCGTAGGCAAGGAAACTGCAGCACAACTCGCCCAATGCCTAGAAACAAGCACGGAAAAGAGAGCCCATCTGGTTGCTTTGGCGGCGCTACCCAAAGCAGAGGTGCCAGGCGTTGTTTACCACTCTGTGCCTATGAAGATCTTCCACGAGGTGCCTGAAATTGGGAGATGTCTGATGCTCTGGCTGGGGATCGCTTTGGAAAAGAATTTACTATCCCTTCCCACAGTTTCCACGATTCCAGGGGGTTTGGGTGGAATCAATGCAGCCTTGGATCAAATGCGCCAGGGCAAAGTGTCGGGCAGACGCCTGGTCGTTCCTCTTTAAAGTGTATAGATCTTGTCCTTTTTTCTTCCTTTTTTCTTTTGCACTGTTGGCCTTCTCTTTCTTACTTGAAATTGCAAATATTCCCTCCTAGCAACGAAGAAATACATTCTACTTCAAAAATAGCACGAAAATATTATCCATCCTCAGGCTTTTGCTGAATGCATACATCTTGAATTCTAATCCCCGCGTCGCCATTTTGTCGCAATCATAGTGTCTGCGTTATAATTTTGCCGTGTCCTAGGGCCTTGAAGGTTTTGCGGGAGACTAATGATGGTTGAGAACATACCTATACGATGTGATCCAAGACAGAAGAATGTGGCGAATACGGGGGGAAACACGAGGTAGATTTTGGAGGCTCAATTTGGTGAGTTATATTAAATGAACATTATTAGCTGAAGTATTTGATGGTTTCACACTTACTTACACTCCAACACATTTAGTTCATCCTAAATATAATATACTACAATCTACTATTTCCTCTGCAAAACTCCTACAATGTCTAAGCTTTGCTACTATATAATCGACGTCTTCTCATCTATTGCCTACCAAGGCAACCCCCTCGCGGTGATAGACACTACATCCACCACTCTCACCTCGGCTCAGATGGAACTACTAGCAAGACAATTCAATCTATCGGAAACAACGTTCATTTGTCCCCCAACAGACCCAAAAGCTATCTGGCGCCTGAGGTCATTCCTTCCTAATGGAGTAGAGGTTATTGGAGCTGGTCACAACTCGCTCGGTGCCTGGTGGTGGATTGCAGATTCAGGGCTTTGGGGAGACATAAACCAAAATAGGAAATCAGATCAGACCCTACTTTCAACAACTAGGCAATGATATTTTACCTGTTGGGGTATCGCGTTCAGAGCTAGGAAATTTTGTTGTCTCAATGCGCCACGGTCAACCACAGTTTTTGAATCAACATACGGACCATCATTCCCTTGCTACATCTCTTAGGATCAGGGCCTGCGATATTGGGCTAAGACACTCGGATGTCACACTCGACCGGGCAATGGTGATTACCACGTCGCCTGCTCGTCACTCCATGATTCCGGTTCAAAGCCTTCATGTCTTGGGAACTGTCAGCTTTGCCGATAAGGAAGGGATTTCAAAGGAACTTGCTAGTACTGAAAGCTATAACAGTGGGGTATATGTTTTTGCCTCTATACAGGATGAGTCGGAATCAAACACTCCAAGATTTGTGGCCCGGTTTTTCAGTCCTGGAATTTCAATGGAAGACCCAGCCACTGGTTCGGCTGCTGGGCCTTTGGCTGCTTACTTGTGGGCGAACAATGTTCTGACCTATGCGGAGAACGGAGTATATCCAGTTGAAGTTGTGCAGGGTATACAGACTGGGAGGCGATATTTTGAGCATTGAGCCAAATAAGGAAGATTCGTTTAGCATCACGATTTCCGGAACTGGCGTGCTGGTTGCACATGGAACTATCGCGATTCCTAGTTTAGAGCTTTCCTTTTGAGAGAGCCTTCGTCAATATGACACAAAATATCCAATATTCAAAATGTTTTCTTTACATTTATCTTCTTGGTAGTCTCTGACTCTCACTTCTTTTGTATACCTTGGTGTTTTTAGGTGTCGAGGTATCTTGTATGGCCTGGTATGAGGCATCGACGAATTATTGTGGAGAATAATATATCAAAAGACGAAAAAAATGCAAGATCTCCGGTCTATTGGAACTAGAGGGTAGAGGGAACAATGCATGACAATCTGCATAGAAGGCACAAAGAGTTCATTAGGGGACTAGATCATAGCAGCCAATACGGAGTAGAGGTTGTGTACGTATTCGATGGTGGCCTGCATATCCAGGCCAGTTTGCAACTGGTAGCGCTGTAATCTATCGTGCATAATGATGCGGGACTCTGCATCTCAGCAGGCATTTGCATATGCATCCAACGTGAAGATCGCGAAGTACATCAGGTTTGATGCCTCAGGTTGATATCTCAACAATGACGCCGTCGTCTATTCTTCCTCTGCGCTTCTAGAATAACTATTCAAAGTGGTTGACCAATTTTGAGTCATTAATAGTCAATATTCAGTGGATTCAAATGCTCAACATCATCGTGAATCCCAGCCACCACCCCAATTCCCTCCCTCTAATACAGCTACTATCCCAAATATATGTAACCATAGAGCCAATTTATTGGCCTTCACAGCAGTACAAGCCTACGCCGTGATACGGGCGAGACTTTCTTTCTTGGGAACTCATACCGGTAGCGAAGCCCTAACATATCTAATGGCCTTGAAATGGTATACTACGACCCAAGTGCATAGAAAGATGGAAATCACCGTAAAATCTGATCCTAGAAGAAAATAAATATAAATACAAGGTATACTACACTCAACCGTCGCTCGATCATATGCTAGGTAAAATCTACGCTTTTCCCGCCCTTCACGTCATATCTACATACCGTTTATACACCAACACACATCTACATTGCCACCTCCATTACACTCCTACCTATGTACCTACCTCCAATATGGGCGTCAAGCCCAGAATCGACCGCCCGGTCGCAGTCATCGGCAGCGGCGTCATGGGCCGCCGGATCGGCTGTGTCTTCATCGCTGCTGGCTACCATGTCCATCTCCGGGATTCCTCGCCGGTGGCCCTCCGCGAGGCGGCAGAGTACATCGATCACCACAAAGCCGAGTTCTCGTTGATGCCGCGCATTCATAAGGCACGCGAAGAAGATAGCCAAGGAAATGTGGATGATCCCAATGTTCACACTTCCATTTCTCAGGTTGACCTCGAGTCATCTACTTCTGCACCTTACGGTATCTGTAAGACTTTTGATGATCTCGAGCCTGCTATTTCCAATGCTTGGTTGATTGTTGAGGCTGTGCCTGAGGTGCTGCAGTTGAAGATTGATGTTATGGCTGACTTGGATAAATACGCCCCGGCGGATTGTTACATCGGCTCGAACAGTTCCTCTATGAAGTCACGCTTGATGCTTGTTAAGGTCTCCCCCAAGCGTCAGCACAAAGTTTTCAATATCCACTTCGCTATGCCTCCTTCTATCCGAATGGTCGAGCTGATGACGTGTGGCAAGACCGATCCCGATATCTTCCCTTACTTGGAGACTGTCTTGGGTGAGTGTGGCCTATTACCAGTAACAGCTCGCCGCGAATCGACCGGGTATTTATTCTTCTTCCAAAAATATAGCCACATATAACACATTAGACTGACCCAAAGTCATATAGATTCGTCTTCAATCGCATGTGGGCAGCAATCAAGCGCGAAATCATACACATCCTCTCCGAATGCGTCAGCGACCCCAGCGAAATCGACCTCCTATGGGAGCACATGTTCAAGAACGGGCCTCTCCCCTGCCAATTGATGGACCAAGTCGGCCTTGACAACGTCGCCTTCATTGAGGACAACTACATCCAGGAGCGAGGTCTCCCCTCAGCCCCGACCGTCGACTGGCTACGCAAGGAATATATCGAACAAGGACGCCTTGGCAAGAAGAGCGAAAATGGCGGCCTCTACCCTCCGCTTGCGAAATCCTCTTCGGCAGAAGCGACTCCAGCCAACCCGCACAGCGCCGCAAAAGACATCTACCTGCTGGACGTTGGCCTCGGTGGAAACACCAAGGACGTCTCACAGGTGCACTCGAACGGCAAAATCCTACGCCTCAACCTCGCAACTCAAAAGCTCACCCCCGTCGTGGTCGGCCAAAACTTGCCCGACGGGATCGACGTGTCATTGTCGGCACAGCGCGTCTTCTGGACGAATATGGGCCGCAGCACGGCCGCCTGTGATGGCTCGGTCTGGTCGGCTGATTTTGACGGCGGCGAGATGAGATGTATTGTCCCCGTTGGACAGGTGCAAACGCCCAAGCAACTCGCGGTTATCGAGTCGCGGAGAGAGGTTTACTTTTGTAATCGTGAGGGCACAAGCGTGCACCGCTGTGATTATGATGGTAATAACCACGCTATCCTGGTGCAGCGCCGTACGGAGCCTGGCTCGAGTCTGTTGGAACAGATGACACTTTGGTGTGTAGGTGTTGCTGTGGATTCTGAGCGCAGTCTCTTATATTGGACACAGAAGGGGCCTTGCAAGGCTGGCCATGGCCAAATCTTTTGCGCTGGCTTGGATATTCCTCCTGGCGAAACTGCTGAGAATAGGACTGATATACGGTGTATGTGGAACAAGCTGCCTGAGCCTATTGATATTGAGTTAGATAGCGAGAGTCAGACCCTGTACTGGACGGATCGTGGGGAGCACCCTTTCGGCTGCACGCTGAACCGTGCGTATGTTGGTGGTGAAGATATGGATATGGAAAAGGTTATTCTAGCGCGTCACTTCCACGAGCCAATTGGGTTGAAATTGGACAAGGCGAACGACATTGTGTATGTGGCTGACCTAGGTGGCAGCTTGTACTCAGTGTCGTTGGAAGATGGAGTTAAGACTGAGCTTGTGCGCAATGATGCTTGCTACACTGGTTTGACTCTTGTTTAGAGAAACGCATTCAAGGTGTATGAATATTTGGTCTGGGTGCGGACCTCCATGTATCTCAATAAATGGTGATGTTGATATCTCTGTGGTTAGGTAGGCACCAGACGTGCCACCCGGGCCATCAGGAGAGGAAGAAGATGGGAAGTAAAAGTCGGAGGCGAGGGGGGGTTTATACCCTCAGCACATGCACCTTTTCAAAATAAAAAATTGCATACTTTCCTATTTTGTCCTGTATCTCATGACATGGTCGCACCTACCCGTCGTATGTAGGAAAATGAAAACAAATGATTTTTAGATATATCTTGCACACTTCTATGCACATATGTAGTTATTGCGCCTTCTAGAACAAAGAATTAACCTTGGAAGTGCGCAGAGGAAACGTTCCTGTCTTTTTTGTCCCCTTAGCCTCAAGCTTATCCCATCATAGCCAGCCTGAAAACCACCGAAGGTGCGCCAAGACTGTTTCTTTTAGTTGCAAGCCTTCTCTGCAACATATTCCGCTAGTAGCATGTCCAGACGAACCAATCCTCAAATGCCGAATGAATCTCCGTTGATCCTCCGTTGATCCTCCGATCCCTGTTTCATCATGGTGTTTCAGTGAAGAAAACCCCCACACAACATGGGGTGTAACGGAGCTAAGAAAGTAAGAAATAGTACGTTGTATTCAAATGTATGCACCTGTCTATGTAACCGTGAGAAAATATGACGATGTGGCTTAAAGACAGAATGGATACAGAATGGATACTACCCCAGTCCCGTAATTATCCCCTTAACCCTAATTTTCCGGCCCATATGGTCTTACAATAATTGCATGAGATATATGCACAATTGAAACAGACTAAAGCAATACAACCTGAACACCCGTAGACAATGTCACCCTTTGTCCCCTATCTACCCCTCGATTCATTCCAAAACATGCACGGGTAGCGCTGACTGCCGATCCCACGCGTTGATCGCGTCTTACCTATTCTATCCTTTCCCCCATCTGTTACTAACTCCTCTATAACTACCTATATACAACCATCCATCCCACACCAATTCATAGGTAGAAAAACCTATCAATTCCTCAATATGCATCTCCAAACCCTCCTTCCCATCCTCTCCGTCTTAGGAACAACCTCAGCTGCCGTTGCCTCCAAACCCGCAGCCCACCTCTGGGCAACCCATTACAGTGGCGATGTCTACTCCCTAACCTTGAAGAACAATGACCTCTCCATATCGCAAACCCTCAAGACATGCGGCGGCATGCCAAGCTGGCTGACCCTAGACCCGAAAACCCGCACTGTCTACTGCACCGACGAGAGCGGCAGTGCCGATCCCTCCACGCACGGCTCACTGACAGCCCTGCGTGTCAAGTCGGACGGCACGCTGCGCGAAGGCCCTGTCGCGCAGGCTGTCGGTGGCGGCGTGAATAGTGTTGTCTATGAAGCGGGTGGGAAGAAGTTCCTTGCGATGGCGCATTAGTATGTTTTTTTTTTTTCTGTTCTTCTTACCTACATTCCCAGGGTCTTGGTCCTGGTCTTACCCTGCATCTATTATGTTTATTGTGGATATGGATGTAAGACCGTACTAACAATCCAACAGCGGAGGCTCGGCCATCTCAACCTTCGCTCTACCAATCAAACAAAACCAGCCAACCCTGCAAGCCTTCCATTTCAACTTGACCAGGCCAGGCAAAGTCGATCAGCAGGACTCGCCGCACCCCCATCAAGTCATCCTCGATCCGACCGGCTCGTTCATCGTCAGCCCGGACCTAGGCGCGGACCTGCTGCGCGTATACGCGATTGAGGACGGCGGCAAGCTGTCAGAGTGTCCGAGCGTGAACATCACCTACGGAAGCGGGCCACGACACGGCGTATTCTGGACAGATGGCACCGGCCAGTCGGCCGACGCTGGGCCGAAGAAGACGGCGGCTATTGGTGAGACGAAGCTATATCTCGCTAATGAGATCGGGGGTACGATAATGGTGTTTGATGTTGCATACCCGAGGTCTGGATGTCTGTCTTTTGAGAAGATTCAGACAATGGTGCCGTACCCCGGGGGTGTTATGCCTAAGGGTGCAACGCCGGCTGGGATTAGTAGGGTTGGGGATGATATTTATGTTTCTATTCGGAGTGATCAAGGATTCCAGCCGAGTGATTCAATGGTTCTGCTTGATCGGTCACCAGTGGATGGGTCGGTTGAGTTGCGAGACTCGACTTCTGCGCTTGGAAAGGTGCCGCGGACTTTCGTGATTAATCGGGCTGGGGATTTGGTTGCCATTGGGAATCAAGCTTCTGCGACGGTTGCGATTGTGCGTCGGGATCCTAACACGGGGGAGTTGGGTGAAGAGGTTGATGTTCTACAGGTTGGCCAGCCTGGGACAATCGGGCTCGCAGAAGGTCTCAGCAGTGTCATCTGGGATGAGTAGATATTGGTATATAAATAAAGAATTGGATGGTGTGGGAGAACAAGAGTCAGTCCCTCCCACAGCCGCAGCTCTCTTCTATAAACAGCGCAGAATGAAATCATTGCACACAAGTTCGCATCACATGTAAGACTTGAAAGAGCATCAAAAGCATGTACCTCATGACCAAAAGATATGTCCACACGAGCCCCAGAATGCGGAAAGAAAGAAAATGTAGACCTTTGAATGGGGAAGACCAGCTTCTTTGGGCTTTTTTTTGTCGGAAACCTGTACCGAAAAAAAAACCTGGTCTGGAAGAAAGCAACTCCTGCAACATCGTCTGGATGATGGATCCTGCCAGATCCTAGTAAAACAAAACAAACAACAAACAACAAACCCAAAAAGCCGATTGAATGATGAAGAATAAATAACAATGTAAGAATGAACGTGTATCAAACATCAGTCGTAAAATGCGTAAGGCCAAAATGTAGGCTCTCTTCTTGAAGTCGTTCACTTGATGTCGATTTGGAATGCTTTCCATTTGCCTCCCACCGTTCGACATCGTGGACACCCGCGAGGACCAGGGTAACTTGTTGGTCCTTGTGATGTATTATTTAATAGCCCATTCCCAGGAGTTCGGAATGAAGCGGGGGGGCTTGATATAAACATGCCCACACATTCGCGGCAGACTCCACAGATGCACTCCGTACAGGCATAGCACTCATTCAGTGCCGAGGGTCGTTTGCAATTAGCACAAAACACCTGGACCTCTTTGTTGCGGAAAGACGCCGGAGTAGGATTGGAGAATCGGTGTTGTTGGCGCTGAGAGATGGACGGAATAAGATTCATAACTGGGCTAGAATCGGAATTTATAGACGGCGCGATTCCCGAGACCGATGATGCAAAATTTCTGCCGGATGCTGAAGACATGGAATCAAGCGATGATTCAATAGATGGGAATGGTTCCAAGTCGCTGTCACGGCTGCGGTGGTTCTCGTATGGTGGTGGGGTCAATGATTTGTGCAAGGGCGAGGCAGCATATGAATGCGGTGGGAAGGGCCGATGTGAAGAAATTGGAGGCAACCCTGCAGATTGGAAAGCGGGTGGTAGTGACGAGCGATTTTTCACTGCAGAGGGAGCAGACGTCACATTGGAAAGTAGTGGGGCAATCGTTGGAGACTGGCCAGCCTGGATTTGGCGGGTGAGCACCGAAGGAAAAAAAAGAAGAAAAAAAAAAAGAAGGGTGCAGAATTGCATTTAAACTCACCTCTGAATAGTGCTCATCGTCTACTTCGGTTGCTGACGTCGCAGCTTCAATCAAATCCTCCCAGCGCTTGCCTTGCGCCCAGGCCGCAGTTTGCGGCTCTGCTGAAAGGGCTTTGCGGTCAGTGAGGCTTGGTCGCCGCCCAAATTCCTTTGATTTAGGACGATCCTGCTTAGGTTTCCGGGCAGATTGAGTAATGGAGGATTTGCGCGGGCGGCAAAATTTGTCTCTCCGCTGGATTGGCGGTAATGTGGATGAGCGACCGGGCGGGGAGTGAGTGAGAATGGATGGAAGAAGCTCGCGAGGACGAGGCGTAAACGGTGGAAGAGATTCCTGCTTGAAATGGTCGCGGAGTGGGGGAAGTTCAATAGCTCCACGCATGCGAGGATGACTCAAGTCAGTGTCCGAATGGGTATCCTGGGGAAATGCGGGTCAGTGCCACTGTGGAGAGATTCAAGGCTCAAAGCCCACAACAGCCTAGAGCGACAAACCATGTCTGTGTCCCAGTCTGAAGTCAGCCGATGGTGGTGCAGTTGTGCCAGGGCAACCGCCGCAGTAGCTGCAGCTGGGTGGGGTTCATCTAAAGCTCGAGGGGTAGCCGGGGATCCGTCAGCGACATAGACGTCTCTTTCCGGCGCCACATCTGTAGGTAGCCGTCAGTATACTTGTGTAGCGAGAAAGCCCAGGCAAAGTAAAGCAAGAAACTGACCTTGAGGTCGCCGAGGTTGAGCAGGTTCGGGGGGCGACAGCTGCACCCGTTGCTCGAGCGGGGTGTTCACCATTAAGAGGAAGCTCTCCTCGGTAGCCGGGAGCTTCGGGATGTAGTGGTTCGGATGCGCACGTCGAATGTGCTCCTGCATGGAGCGATACCGTTTTTCCTGGAGCACCAACCGGATTAGTTTGAGGTTGACTCATATAGAGTTGCACGAGAGGGTTATATAGCTTTCGCAAGCTGTCTAAGGTGATAGGTGGGGCTCAGACAAATACTCACACCCAGGCATCTTTTTCGACAATTGGAATTATCGTTGTTCTTCAAGGGACAGACCACCTCATTATTGGCATCAGTTACCGAGAAAGAGCTGGTCAGTGAGCTTCGAGGAGGCATGGTGCATATGTTCATCCGAGATCTCGGGAGTTGAAATAAAAAAAGGAGGGGTCTAATAAAGAAGTCAAGCACAAGCACAGACAGGGTTTATGTGAACAATAGACCGAAATGCAGTTCAACATGCTATGGGGCAGAAGAGAAGAAGGAGGAATTGGGAAAAAGGGAAAAAAAGAGGAAAAGGAAAAGGGCGGCTCATACATTCAGAGTACATCGCCCTCCTGTAGTTGTGGGTGAAAGTCACTGGGGTATTACGGGTAATTACGCAGTTTGCCTTATTTCTTATTTCTTTTTTTTTTTTTTTTTTTTTACAAAACTCCATTCTTCTTTTATTTCAATTCTTATGTTTTCTTTAATTTCTAAATAGTCCTAATAGCTCTAGTCAGGAACAGCTTATTTTCTCTTTTATATTGTTACTCATGAGCTCGCATACGTGGCTATCGTGGCTATCGAGTATCGATAACCCAAAAAGAGGGGCGTGCAGCTTTGAGCTTCCCTTGTAAAAAAAATCCCCCATTCTTGGAATGTTCCACACCATTCAAAAATTTAATGAAAATTAAAATGAACGGAAAAAAAAGGATTGGGACCGTACGGTATAGACTGGTATTTAAATACAACCCAATAGCACGGCTTTTCGGAAACCCCGGTGGAACACCGAGCTTTAGCCATTTTCATCTGTGCTTTTTTTACATTTATCTGATGTCTATAGATGCTTCTACTCGGAGTTTTAATAATATACATGCACATACATATAATATATCTGTATAGTTAACATCTAAAACGATGTAATTCACAGTATCGGGAAAATAGAAAAGGTAACAAAAAAAAAAAAAAACGGTCACGATAGACGTTATCAGCGGCCCCTCCGAAGCTCTCCCCAGCTCCCTGAGCTCTCTCATTCCAGAAGGGAGGGAAGCTCCGGGTGGCGAACCTAGCGCCACGTATTGTAATCTTATGGTATTGATATTTCCACGGTTGTATTTCTTTTTTCAAATGTTGAATGTTCTAATTTTATACATGTAATTTTGAATTGTATATATGCTACATATGTACGGAGTACAAAAGTAAGAAACATAAAATAACCCTTCGAAATAATGCAGAGGACAGAGCTCTTCCTCATAGTGTAAGCGCGTGACTTCCTATGCCCTACCTAAGTACAACATACTAATAGTCCATGGGTACTTCCAAGTATATAGTAATCTTTAACTATATCAATATTTTTTATCTCTCATATATATTGCGTGAGTACCTATCCCAGCTCCGACCTCCTCCGTTTATCAACTTTAATACCTCAATACCTCCAATACCCTGTATAACCAACTGCCGATGAAGAGCATCTAAAAGCAGCCTGATTGGCCCCCAATCCCCACACAGTCACCAATTACCTTCATCCTCATTGGTGCAACTCACACGCCATCCCAATTCTGGGTGGTCGTGCAGGGGATCACCGGAAAAGTCTGAGATTTCGAGTTCGAGGGTTTCAGTAGGTAACACTGTATAATTAATAATCTGATACAAATAGCAGTTTATAGTACTCCTTTTTATATATAACTAGCATAAAATAATATAAAAGCTGTTATCAAATCTTTATCCGTACACCCGAGAGTCAAGCATGTCACGATCCACTTACAAAAAGGTGGAGAGCTTGCGAGGCTTTCAGCTATCTTATCTGCATCGCTTAGAACATTAAATTTCATGCCTACGATCACATAATCCAAATTACTTCCCAGGTATCCGATCTCTCGGATCTAATGCAGCACTATGGCCATTGTACTCCGTACGTAATCCTATTTCCATCCTTGTTTAAACCACAATCCCTGCAAACCAGCATACCTGCGTATCATGCAGGGTCCAACATCATCACGGTAACCCAGTATGTCGCCACTAAGGGGTGGCTGAGAGCTGACCACGAACTATAATGACTCGTGCGCCCGGTTCGTATCCCATAGCATCCGAAACCCTTACCGCGGGGTTTACCTTCAAGGGATTCAACCTGAAAACTCGCTCAGCAGCCAAAAGGCAGAACCTGGCTTGGATCACACAAAGTGCCCAATAACTGATAGAAAGCGTAGCTTTCCCGCTAATACTGCTAAATCCCACATACATATCCAAGCTTCGTCATATCTCACACCCCGACCGTAAAAAAACCCCCATCAATCTAGTGGAGGTGTAATCATACCAGTACTAATACCACCACACCCCACTAAATCCCCATCATTCCCATCCTCTCCAGCAAAGAATAACAAAACCGCCTCAGCTGCAGCCTTGGCATCATCATCATCATCCAACCCAGGAATGCGCGAGCGATAAATCAGCTCCAGATACTCTGCCACAAGAGTTGCCGACCAACCCGCACGACGCCCAAACTCCTGTGCAAGCTCCCCATTCACAAAAGTGTCAAATTCAAAGTGACCCTGGTATGTCAGGACCCGGCCAGGGTTATAGAGACCTTGGATAGCGCACTGCGCACTACTTCCGATACTAGACCACGGTGCCGGCAGTGAGATCCCCGCCTGGTCCGCAGCAGCTTCAGCCTCGGGGGTCGGCACGACTGCATCACCGTGGATCAGCTGTATGCGAAATGGGTTCTGAGCTGTGGCACGTGCAAGAGGCGGGAAGCGTGCGGTGAATGAGGGCTCGAGGGTGATGGGCTGGATACCCATTTCGTACCCGGCGAGGGAATGCGCGACGTGGAATGTTGATGATGGTGAGTGGTTTGTGTTTTTCGTAGTGCGGAGAAGGGCTTGGGCAATTATCTGGTGTCCGAAACAGGAGCCGAAAAGCTTGATGTTTGGGTAGTGGGTGTGCACTGTTTGGATGTAGGATTGCATTGCGTGGATCCAAGGGTCATCATCGTAGGCTGAGGATGCTGAGCCCGTGATTAGGATTGCATCTATTGGACTCAGCGGTCCATTGGCGTGAGGCTCGTCTGGAGACTGCGGGTTTGTTCGTAGTGTTTCCAGAGGAGGTAGGGACCCGCCAACGGCATCGAACGCCGTTACATGGACGGCAAGAGATCCTTTTTGGAGGGTTTCTGGATTTTTATTCAGGCGCCGCGCGGCTGCTTGCAGGAGCACGCGGAATTGCGAGCTGTATAGACCCCGCGCTTTGTATACTGAGAGACAGGGAATGTCGGCGTCTAGCACAGCCACGTGGATCTTGTGTTGGGCCATGGGCATGAAACTCGGGATTCTATTTTAACGAATGTAATGTGCCAAATGATAAAATATGATATGTGAGTTTACGAATATCAAAAAAAAAAAAAAGGCGGAACACTCCGACAAAAGGCGTTCGCATCCTAACGCCTGATAAGGATTTGAGTAACCTGGTGGGGCATCCCAAAGAGGAAATCGAATCCTTGTCTGTAGAAGATCTGAAGGAATCAGGAACGACATCAAAAGTAATAAGAAAGGTATGAACTATTTATACAAAATACACAGTTAAAAGGAGAAAGGGAAAACAAATGTTGAAATAGTGCATCCACAGACCATTAATAGGTACAATAAGATCAAGAAGCGCGAGAGCAACAATATTTTCGGAATATTAGTTATCTATATAAGACAAAAAATTTGAGATATATATATCCATGGGTATAAGCTGAATTGTCAATTGCAAAGAGACTCGGGTGGTTAAGAATCAAGGTGTTCTCTACCATGTGCTCCCCAAGCCCTAAGACCAACTTATATCTCTCGCCCGATAGATTATATATATTTTTGAGTCGATAGATTAGATCTGCCTGAAGCACTTCTTCTTTTGGATCTAAACAACCCAGCCGGTTCATGCATGATGATCAGTTGTAGTTAGAATATGTTGTGCTAGAGGATAACCTTAGTTTATCGGCCGAGACTGTGACTGGCTGATTATAATGTGCACAATATATATTAAGGTACTTATGTTGTACACAGCTAGATCTAGGATCCTCGGGTACTCCCTTATGTTGATTCAACATTACTACTTGATAACCAAGAGTATTCACGTTTATATATATACATACTATTCTTTCTATGTGTACTGGGGCAATATCTTCAAACCAAATACTTCGTACGTAATCCCCCACTGGGCATCACAACATTCTACCCCGCAAATTGCGCCATCTTGACTCTTCAGCTCCCAATCAGTTTCACTTCCTTACTAGCCTTGATTCCATATAGAATATTGTGAAAAAAATATTGCATCTTGTCACGCCATATAGTCCACTACATTGCTCATTTATGTACCTGGTACGGAGTACATAGAACAATATAAATACAAACTGGTAGCCCTACATTTACTGATCTATACATCATATTTCCTTAATAACCATGGCTCCCGCTGCTACTTCTTCTCTCCCAACTGCTCCTCATGATCTCACAGGGCCCATCTCATGGGATCTGTTTCCAGATGGACTGAAAACCACTGGCCAACATCCCCCACTATATGACCATATCATCCCCTTCGAGAAATTCCCTAAACAAATCACTGGTCCAACAGTCTGGAAGGCCGAGGATTACCGTCAGAACCCGGAAAAATGGACGCACGTCTTCACCCAGGACCAGATCGATGAGCTGAGCTCAGCATCGGATGCTTTCCTCGCATCTAAAACCCCGCTGACCGGAATCTCAAAGGTGAGAATGATACACGCATATATTGAAAAACACGAAACCGAAACTAACCATAGCTCCAATAGACCAACTTCCAACTCCCCAATCTATCCGCCTACCTGCGTGCCCTACGAGCAGACCTCATCGACGGCAAGGGCTTCATCCTCTTCAAGGGCTTCCCTGTCGAGAAATGGGGCAACCACAAGTCCGCCGTAGCATACATGGGTCTCGGCACATATCTCGGCTACTTCGTCAGCCAGAACAGCCGTGGGCACGTCCTCGGCCACGTCAAGGATCTGGGTGAGGACTCGACCCAAATTGACAAAGTGCGCATCTACCGCACTAATGCTCGGTGAGTTTGACAGTCTGCAGTGAATGCGCAAGCACATAAAACGAACAATCAACTGACTTCCCCCACCCAGCCAATTCTTCCACGCCGACGACTCGGATATCGTCGGCCTGCTCTGCATCGCCAAGGCCCTCGAAGGCGGCGAATCAGACATCGTCTCCTCCCACCATGTCTATAACGCCCTCGCCACAGAACGCCCAGACGTCCTCAAAACCCTCACTGAACCAATCTGGTACTTCGATCGCAAGGGTGAGACAAGCAAGGGACAGGAAGAATACATCCGCACCAGCGTGATTTACCTCGAGCGCGGTGAGAACGGCCGTGTCTACACAAAGTAAGTTCCATATCCAACCATCATAAACCCCACCCTCATAATCCTCCATTCAAGTATCTAACAGTTTCACCAGATGGGACCCATACTACGTCCGCTCCCTCAGTCGCTTCAGCGATGCAGGCATCATCCCCGCGCTGTCAGATGCACAACAAGAAGCCTTGCGCGTGCTAGAAGAAACATGTATGCGTTTATCGCTGCACATGATCCTTGATATCGGCGATATTCAGTTCCTGTCTAACGCGCACGTCTTGCATGCCCGCACAGCATACACAGATCATGCCCCCCCTGCCCCACGCCGCCACCTTATGCGTCTTTGGCTGGCGACGCCTGAGAATGAGGGTGGCTGGAAGTTGCCGTTCTGGGATAGTAATGAGAAAAAGAGGGGTGGAATCCAGGTTGATGACCAGGTTCCTGTTGCGCTTTTAGATGCGGAGTGAGTTTTGGATTGACTGGGTTGCTTGCGGGCTGGGGAGTATATATATTTGAATGATACCATTTTTTTTCTTCACTCTTCTCTGGGTTGTTTGAGATTGGGTAGACATATGGTAGGGTTGCTGTATAGATGAGAAAATAGTGGACTTCTTCCATATCATCGCCATATAACAGTACCTTGAATAGCATTTAATAGTACTCCTAGTGATTTTAGAAGACAGGGGGTATAGCATTGTATCGGTGTTGGCTCTTGACCAAATCTCCTCATTTATAGTTGATATGTCTAATTTGACGCGTCTATCGTTCTTCTATTATTGCATTTTCTTTGTTTTTGTGTGATACCTCCTATCCTATCACTCTTATATAAATAGCCGGCCATCTAGTTACGCAGTTGTACTTTGATTCTTTGGGTTCAAGATGATATTAGAGACGCTATACTTGGGATAATTCTCGGATTTTTCTTTGGATTCAGAAAGTGCAAAAAGCCGAATAATAAAACAAAGGCAAGACATGAGAAGAGTTTAGTCAAAGTCTAGCAGGCCTGTCGGTGTGATCGGCCTGCCCATGTACCCGCATAGCTCGTTTCGTATAGAGGACAGTGCAACCCTTTTTCTTGGGTATCTGGATTCTTTGGGGTATTTTGTCCTGCGATGTCCTTGTCTGGGTATTCAGCTGAGTACGTGCCATCAAAACTTGTATATAAATCCAAGATCTTGGAGAGGAATCTCCAGAGCTCGTCTCGGTACCAGCGCACACGTGCGGTCAAGCAGGTTGCCGGAATTATATCGCCGGAATCCCTCAAGTTTGACTTTACTTCCGGAGCTTAGTCTCTCATCCACGATTGATTTTGTGTTTATTTTCATTCATAGTTCGATTCTATGGCAGGATACAAAGTGAGAAGGAATTATTGATGAAAAGGTTTCAGGAAAAGAACGGAAGCCCCTGTACGCGCAAGTATGTGCGCCTTCCTTTTTGGGTGACTTCCCTGTGATGAATCGTCACCTACCCCTATTGTCTTCAGCCGCTGGCAAAATATAAATACTCGTCTCCTCTCACATTCTCTCTCCTCTTCTTTCTTCTCTCCTCAATGCTCCAGGTCTCACATTGCACATCGTGGTTCCTGTTGTCCAGTGAAGGTACCCTGAGGACACTGGGATCTTTGACGCGGTCCAGGTTAGGCTGAAATTAGATTGGGGCCTTGGGTCCTGGTCTAATGGCACGAAGCATGTTGTGGCCCGGAAAAGTCCCTCTGGGACTTAGTACCCCCACGACCTCTGTGGATACAGACTGTACTTTCTTGGGTTCTCCATTGACCGGTCAGGAGCTGAACACCGTGCTCCATGAGCCAATTTTTTGTTCTTTCCACGGAGATAGCTCTCCGTGACTCATGATCTGATCTCTCTCATGGTTCTTCCTATTGTCTGTTCTTCATCGTATGTTGCCTGTTTTCTGTTTCCCATTGTGCCTGTTCTCCATCCTTTTTTTTTTGAGTCTTAAGTGAGATCAACCCATGTACTTGCAAAGGACTGTGGGGGAAAGAGAGTCAAGTTAATTGAAAGATGGAAGTTGTGTCTGAAGATGCAAGTGAAGTTGGTTTATGGGGTGATGAAGAAGAAGGGAACGACAGTCTTGGAAAGACCCTACGTTGTTAAATATACCAAATCAACCACTCTTTCATTCATAAATCATATTCTTTAAAGGGTATTTTGTACATCTGTCCCAGCAACGCCAAAAGAAGAAACAAGCTCCGCCCAACAGACGCCTAGTGCTAATGCAAGATCTTGTAATTACCCCCGTTAACAATCTCTAACTTGCCCTTCGAAACCATACCACTCAAAAACTCGCGCAGCTCCTCGTTGCTGAATGGGAACCCGCCAGGAACAGCTATCTTCAGCATCATGACAATACGATTCAGAGCCATTGGTCCTTGGTTTGTGAGCATGCCCACAATGAACTGCCAATGCACATTCATTTTCTCCATCGCAGCCGCCTCAGCAGATTCCTTTGCTGCTGCTGCGGCCGCCGCTTCAGCCGCCGCGGCTGCGTTGGCCGTGTCGCCCGCCTCGCTGTCCGATGCGTCGCTGAAGTCACCGGCTCCGTGCGCATGGTGTTCATCATCTTCTGTGGGGAGGACTTCTAACACACGGAACGTATCGCGATGTACTTCGGTGAGGATGCGTTTGCTGACCCAGAAGAGACAGGCGCTACGTATAAGCGGAGGCGTCATCTCGAGCTCTTCGGCGAGTTCTGGGATGGTTCTTGTAGCGGGTTCGCTCGATTCAGATTGGAAGGCATAGATTACGGTTGCTTGCCAGGTTGTCACTTCGTCTTTGAAAGTGTGGTTCTCTAACTCAAGCTCGACAGTGACTTGGCCTAGGGCGTTGCGCCACATGAGCTTGCGCGAGTCCTTGCGCTTTTCAAAGCAGGTCGCGTAGCGCTTTTGCAGTTTGATGATTTCATCGGGAACCTTGAATTCCTGTTCTTGGAACTCTGGCCAGAAGAAGCGTGACAGAATCTTGGCGTGGAGTTTTCCGACGCCTGCTTGTTTTCGATGTCCGGACAATATCTGATCATTCCGCACGGTGAGGTCGAGACGTCGGGAGTCAGAGATATCTTTCAGCATCACCTCGCATGCCTGCAGTGCTGAATCACCGAATCGGACCTTCAGCAGCTCTAGTACTGTAATCTCTTGGTCGTAGTTCTGGCGTTTCTGGATGAGGCGGTCTGCGAGAAGAGTCTGCATTTCCTTCACGAATGTTTCCTTCGAGTCGAACAAGCTAACTAGACTGTCAATGACATCTACACTCCTTGATTTTTTATAGTCTGGAGCGGCATCGACTGGATCGGGCATCCAGTATAAATCGTCATAGTCTAGTTCGCTCCTGTTGTTTTGCATGGAGTGATGGTGGACTTTGGTCAGCTCTGCCGCTAGCTCTGCTAAGTTATCGCCGGTAGCCGTCGGTCCGTCGGCTGTTGCAGGGTCCGCCAATAGACCACTAACAATCACCTTGACGGTGTCATCGCGGTCTCTCAAGTATCGCCGGATCGGTCGAGCTATGCGATCCAGCAGAACACCCTTGGGGTCCAAGATATGGAATGCTCGAATGATCGAGATGTAAACCTGCAAGATCTCGACTGTAGAAGCGCCGGGATGCAATAATCGCTGGAGCAAGTTAATAGAAAAGAAATGCGTCACATACAATCGTGCTCCAGACGAGTTGTTTGTGAAACGTCGCAGATCCTCCACCGCTCCACTGCTTGCAGGCCAATCAACAACTACATCGAAGAGCTCGCTGACTCGAAGCTTGCCCAGCCGAGCAATACCCATCACTCGCCACTTCTCCACGTCGCGAAAGCTCACTTCTATCGCCTCGGATTGGGTTCCAGCGAGGTCAGAATCGATGATGGCCAGAACCTGTACAACGAGCCGTGCATAGACATTTTCAATCCATTGTTCCAGGTGCTGTGGTGCGGTTGAAGGCGACTCCCATTCACCAGTGTACGCGGCACGAATGAAGTCTCCCATCATGATGTTCATCACGTTGGCGAACACCTTCTGGGCCTGGTCACCGCCAAGCCCGACAAGCTGCAAGCCGTTGAGAAATGCCAATAGTTGATCTCGTGCAATCGTCACACGGCCATCTTCTCCCTCGACCATCATATGTGCCTGGGCTTCGGGTGATTCTTGCCTCCAGTCTTTGTACGAGACGGAGTATGCCCGCTCCATCTCCGTTCCATCGAGACTCATTCTGTCCATATCGAAATCTTCGTCCAGGGTATCAATGCCTAGAATAATCACAGCATCTTGTGTAAGCTCTCTGGCGAGAAGCGGTGAGATATTCTTCCATGGTAGACTGTATTGAACCACCGTATGAAAAGCACGCTGTAGTTGAGCCAAGAACCCTCCTTGGTGGGAAGGAGCTATCAACGGAAGCATGTAGTGCACGACGGGAGCGAGATAAATTCGACGCGCAAGCTGTAGGCAGTCCACGATTGTCCGGAGTAGACCTTCTGCCAGGGATTTTAACAGCTATAAGATGGTTAGCACGGAGAGATCAACCAATTTCAAACACAACATCCATACCTTAGATAGCCCAGTTCGGAAATTGACCAGAAAATGCCTCCGAATATCGTTCCCGTACCATTCAAACAAGGTCCACGGAGAAGTTCGCATAAGATACTCTAGAGCCTCGGCCGTCTCCTTCGACGGAGGGCTGAGCCGGTTCCATTCTTTCAACATCTGACTTCCATCAGTATTCCGGAAATTGTAAAGCAACTCAAAGCCCAGATTGGGCACAGACAGAAATTCTCTGGCTGCCTGCCGCGCTTGGTTTAATGTGTCTTCCTCTGGGGACGCAGCATCTGTCGATCCCCCAATCGTCGCGAATGAGGTTGATTGTGAGTCTGCTTTGAAGGTTGATGAAGAGTCGGTTGATTCTTGGAACGATATGACTGGCGTCTGCTCGCGTTGGAAATCCGAGGGCGGGTGGGCTTCAAGAGACGCAGGGGAGAAGACGGAGCCACAGACGCGCCTACGTCCCACATTGAGGGGTACGGTTGAGAGCATTTTGATCAAGGGACATCGGGCATTGTGAGGTGCAGCTCGCTATTGGTGTTTTTTCCGTTGCTGCTTCGGTTGTATTAGATGGTTGCCTCTGTTATGTTGCGACGGGGTTCAATGTTTGGATTGGAGGAAAGTCACGTGCATGATTTGCTTTACTAAAGCGTCGACTGTTTACTTTATTTTATGCGGTCAATGTGTTGTTTTGAATTTTATTGTTAATGGATGTATTAAAAGAGAAGGAAGATGTTAAGCTATTGCCGAAATCAAAATCTAGCGCGAGTTACTGTAACTTGCACCATCTACATACTATGGGTGTCGCTCCGAGACAAATAGACAAGACTTTGCTTATATACGAATCCAAATCAATAATCAAATCCAAATCCCAGCCAAGGCATGCAAAAGGTTGACACCGAGTCTGTATCACTATAAACGCGTCCTACGCATTCGTTGAGAGGTCCGAGACCTGGTAAACATGCAGTGTGCAACCGTGTTCCACCAAGGCGTGTGTAGATATTTCGAAGCAAGGTTTGTATCCTTGAGTGCCAAGTACCCTTCAAGACCGACTATCATCAACCTTCTCCCACTCGCTATCAGTGCTCCCATACCCAGACCCCTCACCCCCAGTGTTGGGTCGCTTCTTAGGATCGCGCGCCGTGGGCAGCAATCCGGACGTTGCACTCCCGGTCGCGACGGCACTAGACTTGTTGTCTGTCTTCTTCGCGACGAGGTCTTCTGTCTCCGTTTCGCTATCGGCGCTTTCTCTTACGGGACTCTTCCGGCGCGTCTTCGCGTTGTCCTCAGACTCTTGTTTTTCTTTCTCGGCCTCCTGCGCCTGCTGGGCAAGCCGCACCTCAGCGGCGAACCAGTTGATGGACCACCATAGTCCAGCGCTGATGATGGATAAGGCGACGAAGTGGAGGCTGTAGGTGGCTAGAAGGAGGCCGAGGAAAACAAGTTGGAGTGCAGCGAAGGTGACGTTTGTCGCGATCAAGAGAGTCGGGGTGGGTCCTGGGGTAAAGATGCTGGACCACAGGTCTCCCATGAAGGAAGCCATGATTCTCAGAGTGAAATGGGAAATCCGAAGGTTGCAGGATGAGGGGGTCGGGAACTGGAATCCGTGGGGGGAAAATGGTTACCGGAATCGACACCGCTTAGGCTTGGGCTCTTCTCCACGTTAACCTTGGAAGGTGGACAATGAATTCCGATGCAATTTATCAAAGGAGCTGGCTTTTGGTTGAAATTTACCCCAAAATACCCCGTGGGGAATTTTGTCTGTACATTAACTACAATATGCTGTACCTCTTCTACCTATCCCACCTGGTCTACCTAAACTGTTCAGTCATATGAAGGGGATCAGGCCTATGTCTTACACCATCACGGGATAGATCGGCTTATAGTCACTTGACTTTCGGAATGCAGGCCCGGCCCGAAGGTGATAGAGTTCAAAGACTGTGCCTTTGAACTTGGCAGGTTCCGTCATCATCATTGGGTGTGATAGGGTGATGTTTACATATGTCTACGGGTAGGTACATACATATCTGATCATGTCTAAATGCTTAAATACCTATATACGTTTAAACTAGCTATGGAAGTTCTTAATATTTATACAAATACAGAGAGAGAAAAGACAGGAGAAGCTTATATCAGTATTGATATAGACACCTAGAGCTGTACAGAGTACGGAGTAGTGACAGACACCATACGGAGTACTATGTCATAGGGCTCAAAGCAAAGTGGATCTGTATACAATACAATGTTACAGGGATGACCTTGTCCATCTTCTGCTTGGCCTATGCCTATTTCCCCACGAATAGAGTATATGGTACCGAAAGGGGCGAGAGTCCAGGTAAAGGGGCTAGCTTCTCAAGAAAGTTGGCGTGACAGCCTTATCTCTCAAAAGCCGAGTATACACCCCAAAGGAGGTTGAAACGTCCAAGAACTATGCCAATAGCCGTCACCAATTGACGATGAGGTATTATCCATGCCCTTTCTCCGTGTTTTCCCCACAATCGCAATAGCGCCGATCTTCCCCAACCCCCCTAGCCGAAGGGTCTGCCACTCCGTCATTTACCCTGACTTAGATCCCAAGCCTCTATCTCATTGGCTGTCCTAACCGGAACCCCCCGACTTCTCTATAGGCTCCGATTCACGGAGGGAATAAATGTCGTATACTACTACAACTAGGTAACTAGGCAAGATAGGTATAAATATCGCCGGGGTGTCTCCGGAGTCAAGTTTGAATATCAAAGCATTTGCTGCTTTAATCAAGGAGCATAATCTTCGAGCTTCTTTGACTCGCCTCTCAATCTTCTTTCAACATGGCTGATATCCCTGCTACAAAAGAACTATCCCACGATCCCGTGGTAGAAGGCTTCTCTCACCATGCCGACGACATTGCCTCTGACCGCGAGCCCTATGGCCCACCCGGTCTGCGCGGTCTCGCAGCCAACCCATTCGTGGTCCTGTGTGCCGCCTGCTCGACGCTGGGTGGTTTGCTTTTCGGTTATGACCAAGGTGTTGTGTCGGTGATTCTGATCATGGAGCAGTTCTTGGTGGAATTCCCACGGATTGAAGAGAGTAATCCTGGCTCAGGCTTTGCGAAAGGATTGTTGACGGCGATGATTGAGCTGGGGGCTTTGATTGGTGCTCTCAACCAAGGCTGGATTGCGGATAAAATCTCGCGACGGTATTCAATTCTCGTCGCTGTTGCTATCTTCACAGTTGGCTCTGTGATGCAGACTGCTGCCTATGGTTACCCCATGTTGACCGTGGCTCGGCTGATTGGTGGTATCGGAATCGGAATGTTGTCTATGGTTGCACCATTGTACATCTCCGAAATCAGTATGTTTTCTACTCGGAGGGTTTTCCTTTCCTTCCTCACACTATTGGTATAAATGCTTACTCCAGTCTTCCCTATCAGGTCCTCCCGAATGCCGTGGTACTCTCCTTGTTATGGAAGAATGGTGCATTGTTCTCGGTATTGTGATTGCCTTTTGGATTACCTACGGCACACAGTTCATGGCTGGTGAATGGGCCTGGCGCCTCCCTTTTCTGCTCCAATTGATCCCGGGTTTTGTGCTGGCTGCTGGTGTATACGCTCTTCCGTTCTCACCCCGTTGGCTGGCTTCAAAGGGTCGCGATGAGGAAGCTCTTGCGAGTCTCTGTAGACTGCGCTCCCTGCCAGCCTCTGACAGACGCGTTCGCCAGGAACTTATGGATATCCAGGCCGAAGTGCGCTTCCACCAAGAAATGAACAGAGAAAACCACCCAGATTTACAAGGTGGTGGCAGAAAGAACTCCATTCTGCTGGAGCTTTCTTCATGGGCCGATTGCTTCAAGAAGGGCTGCTGGCGTCGAACTCACATCGGTATTGGACTGGGGTTCTTCCAACAGGTGAGACTTTTTGTATGTGGAGCTAAATGACACCTGCTAATCATATGGATAGTTCATCGGTATCAATGCTCTTATCTATTACTCTCCTACACTCTTTGCGACGATGGGACTCGACCGGAGCATGCAACTTATCATGTCCGGTGTCCTTAACGTTGTACAGTTAGTGGGTGTCACTACCAGTATCTGGACCATGGACGTTATCGGTCGTCGCAAGTTGCTTATGGCTGGAGCAGCCCTCATGGCTCTATCCCATATTATTATTGCCGCTTTAGTCGGGATTTTCTCTGTTGATTGGCCGTCACATAAAGCGGAAGGTTGGACCAGTGTGGCCTTCCTACTATTCTACATGCTTGCCTTTGGAGCTTCTTGGGGACCTATCCCATGGGCTATGCCTTCCGGTATGTACCTTTCTCCATTTATCATATTAATGGCATCAATCTGACATATCCAGAAATCTTCCCTTCTTCCCTTCGTGCCAAGGGTGTTGCTCTTTCAACCTGCTCCAACTGGCTCAACAACTTTATCATTGTAAGTTTGTCGCTGCCATGGTTAGTTCCTCAAATTTCTAAAGCAAACTAACTATTTCTGTAGGGTCTCATCACCCCGCCTCTTGTCCAAAATACCGGCTACGGTGCTTACGTCTTCTTTGCCGTCTTTTGCGTACTCGCCGGAGTGTGGACTTTCCTTTTTGTGCCAGAAACCAAAGGCCGAACCCTCGAGCAGATGGACCATGTGTTCAAAGACAATTCTAGCGAAGAAGAAAAAGTCAAGAGGCGCGCGATTGAGAATGAGCTGATCCGTGCCCAGTATGAGAATGTGCATCAGGAGTTTGCATGAACCAATCTGCCTTACTATGAATCTATCAATTGAGCACTAGCGCATGCTCTCAGATACCCATTCCTTTTTTTTTCTACCTTAATTAGCATAAACAAGAAAATTCTACGATTTATGACTTACATGAGTGAAAACAACATCCATGCAGGTGGATAAATAAACGATCATCAATCCGGCACTTGCCCAGCGTGGCCGAGATCCGAACCGAAATTTGCGAAAGCTTAAACTTGGTTGTAAGAACTCTAAATGGTGGCATACGCCTATATTGTTACACCCTGGAGAATTTACATATGTCCCTTCCGGAGACAGCACGAACTACAAAGAGCCTCACAGAACGAATCTATAATTTTATCAATCTAGTCAGGCAATGGCGCCTCTTGAAGTCTCTCTCAGGACAGTATACTTCAGAGGCTTCAGAATCTTCCCCGGAATACCATGGATTTTTGCAAGTGCATCTTGCCAACAACAAAAAACGACATGAAAAATGCCCTTACTAAAGCGTGGGTGGTGCTGCGCCCTACACTATAGATTGCTACATGAAACACCGAGGAGATATTTATTGTCAGATATTACCAGATGGCTGAGGGTTAAGATTGTCTATACATCTTGAATATGGTTTTTATACAAAGAGAAGTATAATTACAGTTTTTATACCTCACCACATAAAGCCTTTCTGTGCATCTGGGAACCCTTAATGTTTACCCTTGTTCCAGTAGCTGTAGCACAAAGTACCACCCTTGGTGTTAAGCAAGCTCTCAAGTGTAGCATTAGGAGCAAGCTTTCCAATGTTGATCTCGAAGTCGAGAGTGACATTTACTCCAGAATAATCCATGGCGTTGACAGGGCCGCCAACTTGATGGTACCGAGTCGGGAGATCCTTCTGCTGCCACTCCCAGAAGACACGGTCAACATTACCGTGGTGGAGATAGAAGAGAGGATCTAAGCTTGTCAGCATACAGTGTAATAACCCATGAAGAATAGTCAAGAATAAAAACTTACCACCAGGGCTGAGAGCTTGGTTACCCAGTGTCCCGAGCGCGCCTCCTACACCGAAATGCCCGCTGCCGTGGATGTTAGGCTGGGTGAATGCAGGGATATTTTCAAGTGCCCGTGCAAAAGTAGTATAGTCAGGCTGGGCTAGCACATGGTCCACAAGACTCTGGCGTGAGAAATAGTTCATAATAGATGGGATGAAGTCGCGACGAAGGCAGTCTGGTTGCCCCTTAGGATGTCCGACGGCGAGCATGAAGTTAGGGGGAGTGAAGGGACCATCTTCAACACAGCCACCACCAGTTCGGCCGGTCAAATTTAAGGGGTTCTGGGTCTCGTTTGCCGGGAGATATTTGCCGTTTCCTCCGAATCCTCGGGTAGGGTGGAAGACGTCGGTCTCAAAGATGGCCATGGAGCTGTTGTCTGTTGAGGATGCATCCAAGGACCAGTTCCAGTAGCTGTTATTGATGTTAGGGTCTTATCTTTTAAAATTTTTAATTATAGACGACAGAGATGTATCCTTACGGTTGGCCGCCCCGGTAACCACACTCTTCTCGTAGAGCCTTCTCGTATGTGGCGAGGTAGTATCGATGCCAGAGGACGAAGTGACCCTATACCATAGTGATCAGCATGATCAACAGTCAATCGATCGGGGGAAATGAGCACTTACCACCCAGTGGATATTTGGGGTCTGATCACTGTGGGTAGCCTGGAAATCATCGAAATGCGTAACCACATTCTCAAGACTAGTCACAGCTGGCCGTGCAGCCAGGCAACGAACGGCACCGATATAGTCGCGACGTTCGCGGATGCTCAGCTCTCTCCTAAGAAAAAGCAAAAATGTCAATATTGAACAGCCAAGATAATTGAGCACCCCTGCCATGTGGCTTACCATTCTTTGCGCAATGGAGGGTTTCTGCACGAGGAAGCGACGCTGTCACCAACTAGGAGCAAAAGCCCCAGCGAAATTAATTTTGCGAAATGCATTTTAATTTACCGTCTTAAATCTGCGCGGTCGACTTGAATTTTGGAACCAGGGGTGTGTGTTCTTTTAATATAGGTTTCGGAGCCGATTTCTGGACTATTACCTGTTAGGTAGGTAGTGAGTATCAAGGTGCTAAAGTGGCTTGCTCGGCATATCAAACCATGTGCTACGAGCCGAAACAATGGCATGAGCCTAGCAAAATTTAAAATATCCTTGTAAAATCAGAAGCCTTTGAAATCTCCCTTTGAGAGCGGAGCCTCCACGATGTCGCATTTTACCAATAGAACAAAGATATCATTTTCTCCATCTATTTTTCTATGTTTTTTTTTTTTTCAAATGATCAGAGCAGGATTATGTATTATCTTTGAATCGTAATTCTACTCGATAAACTATGTAAACTTAAGATCTCTGTGTGGAATTAGCCGTCAGCCATAAGGCACATTCGAAGGTTATCCCTGAAAATTGCAAGGATTCGCTCGGATACACCGGGAAATTTACCGGGGACTTTTTCCCTATCAGGATCAAAACCACTCTATTTTGACCGCCAATAATGGACTAATAATCGTTGGCGGAGTATGTACTCCGTATTGCGTACTTTGTACAAAGGACTTAGTATAATTGATCCGAGCCCAATATCGAATCTTGAATAAGGGGCAGAATAACCAATGGGAAATAGGCGATCGTCTGTTAACCTTCCGTATTAGGGCTAGCACCCGCATTAGCTCGTGGGGGCCATCCGCGTCTTGTCTCACCTACTCCGTAGGTAGTTCTAGATTGGAATAGAAGGTACTCTTGAGAGAAACATATTATGTACGAAGGGATATATATTAACTACTATACACAGAGTATCTTTGATCCTGTGCTAAGTCCGACCCGCTTTGAATCGCATTGCTCAGAGGCTCACTTCTAAACAGGCCTGAGTCCCGATATTAACAAATAATCCTGATCCTTGTCAATTTCTGTACCTGAAATCTCGGCATCCGGTAGATGTGGCTATGCTTTATAATAGTCTATACGGAGTAACTAACTCACTACGGACTACAGTATTACGGGATGCTACTCCGTTGTCAAGGGAGCCTTTTGAGCACTCGGCTTTAAAAATATGTGGGTCGACACACATAGGTTATTGACTCGCTAGGGTAATATAAGACAAATGGCCCAGCTTCTCGCGCATGCGCATGTGTAGCCACCGGTAGCAGAACAAACTCGAGTTCAACATACCTCTGTTTGGCCCATCATGGCCTGGATATCGGCAAGCAATGGGTCATTACAGCCTGCCTTTCTTACGGTCATGACCTTGCTACTATTTCTCTCATGTACAAGTGTCCTGCTGAGAATCTACTGCCGAGTATTTCTAGTGCATAAGATCGGACTGGATGACTATCTTATTGTGGTGGGATTGATCGTGACAATTGGCATGGGCATAATGAATGGCTTCCATGTCAGTCTGGGCACAGGGTTGGTTTTTTTTTTCTTTGGTCTATCATGTCTCCCCTTCAATGGTATCGCTCACAAGCATCATGTCACAGTCGTCACCTCGCGGATTTACCCCTAGGGGAAATTCTCATACCGACACTCAAGCACTGGTATGTTTACCAGCTTGTCTATCCCCTCTCGGTGGGTATGGTCAAGTTCAGTATCTTGGCTCAGTACCATCGTATTTTCGCTGTCAAGCAGTTTCGGATAGCCACCATTGGAGTCGGGCTTTTCGTCTTTGCCTATACTATAATTTGCGTTTTTGTCAATGTGAGTGTGCTGCTCTGACATATCCTGCTGATTCCTATTCTGACATTACCATATCAAGGCTTTCGAATGTCACACGAAACCCTGGCGTGCATGGGATCCAAGCTTTCCCACAGGCTGCAACAATCTCCCCATGACATATTTCTCAACAGCGGGGATCAATATCTTTACCGATATAGTAATACTGCTCATGCCATTACCACTACTCATGAAGCTAAACCTGCACACCAGGCGAAAATGTCAGTCACGCCCTCTCGCCATGTGTCTACCCCTACAATAAAATCTTAAAGCTAACGACATATTCTAATAGATGCACTCATCGCCATTTTCCTGACTGGAACATTCGCCTCTGTCGCCTCTATCGTCCGCCTAAACGCACTATACAAATACACAACAACAACAGACGTCTCCTACGACGCGATCCAAATCCTCTTATGGTCGCAGGTCGAAGTCAATGTCGCCATCATCTCCGCATCCGCTCCATCCCTGCGTCCCTTGTTCAACAATATCTTCAAGAGCTCATCATATGCCCACTCTTACGGACAGTCCCCATACCACGGCGCGTCTCAGACCCCAAATGCGCATGGCACGGCGAGATCGCAGACGCTTCGGCCCAGGGATGATAGGGCTTTTGAGATGATGTGGACCAATGGGCGCGGGGAGGGGAGTGGGCCTGGAATGTCGGTTGAGGAATCGGAATCGACGAGGGTGCCGTCAAATACTGATCGGAATAGTAGTCAGGAGTTTATTTTGATGCCTAAGTCGAATATCACCAAGACCGTTGTTATCGAAATGAAGAGCGAGGAAAGGAGGTGACCGACCTATGGTCTTTTGGGGGTTTCCTTTGTATCAATTGGAATATGGGTACATAGAACATACTGGCGTGTGGAGTAAACAGGTTAAATAGGAAAATATTCTTTCGGGATTTATATATCCCTAATATTCATGAATACCCATGTCTTTGCCTTTTGATACAGCATTTACATCCAAAGAAAAACGTCCTCCAGTGTACATCCTTCTAGGGGACCATACTCATGGCGGAGGTCTTCTGACGTTCTACTAGTTCTTTCTTGATGCAATCCGTATGGCAGAGAAAGCAAAGCATGAATTAAATCTATCCCCCGTCGAAGTCACTTTAATATGCGTGGGGATAAATCCTCAAGTCCCATCCATACCTACGGAAGTTATAGGGTGATTAATAGCATTGTTGTCTAAAAATTGCAAGCTATAGAGCACGGTAACAAGCACAGTTCCTAGAAATTTTACTAAATATGTATTTTCCTCTTGTGGCAAATGACTGCTGTCATGGGCGGATGAACCAGGTGATTGTCTCACGGTCCTGAACATGTAGGCCAGAGAGCTCGAGCGGCAACTACACACACAATAAATCGAAGCGAATCCTGTATTTTAAAAACTCCCCTAGTGGCGAATAGTCTGCAAGTAATGAGTGGTTCTCAAGTCTGTCGACTATCGACAGTTTCAAGGAAGTATTGGAAAGATTTCGAATTCTAAAAAGCACTGCAAGTCCCGATAGAGATGGAGTTTAGAGATAGGTGGATTGTTAGTGCTCACAACGAAAAGATCCTATGGCTACCTCCCGATTCTCGACCATTTGAACAAACCGTCTTCTATGTCGATAGGACTGGATCAGGGTATGTCATTCTCATTGAGATCGAAGACTAGTTCTGCCAAGTATACTGTTGGCCAAATATAGTGTTTACTGCCTACATATAACTGGCTTCGCCGCAATCGTCAGGGTCCAACAATCACCAGGCTACAGAGTTCTTGAATCACAAGGGCCTAAACCGGGTCCCTATATGCCCCATTAAGAGCAAATTTGACCTTGATTTTGACCCCCTACACCCGTGTTCATACTGAGGATAACCTTGGCTTCATATAAAATCCCAATCGCCACCACTTTGACTCAATTAGAGTGGCCCACTCAGCGCAACCTTAACTCAAAAAACGTGTCATTCCAAGGTTGACAAATAACCTTAGTGTTAAGCTAAACAGCAATGGTATCTCGTAGGTGTAAAATTTCTGTTTCCCTTCAAACGCCACAAATGGTCCAGACAACACCTGCGCATATAGAATGTAAAGCCAAGATAAGATCACAAAACACCATGGCGCGCCTTGAAAATGGATACCTTTTCGTCGTAAAATAGAATCTCCTGTAGCCGGTATCGAATCCGCGAAGCACCCTGTTCTTCGTCGGGTTCGGTGTCATAGTCGTCCGGGTCACTGGAAAGAAGGTCTGTGTCAGCTGCCCCCGAGACATCGTCGGAATCATCGCTGTCTTCATCGGATCCGTGGTTTTGGTTAGCCCACACTTCATCCTCATCTTCGCTGTGCGGAGGGGAATGATCAGTTGTGGGATTGTCGTCAAAATCTAGTGGGTTATCGTCATGTCTCGCTTCAAGAATTTGGTAGCATTTGATGTGGAGACCAATGTAGGCAATCTTCAGGTCTGGACGTATGCTGACGATGTCTAGAACTTGCAGCGCAAGTTCTTTCAAGTCGCGGTGGAGGGTACGGTGAATTTGTGGTAGATACAAAGCACGAAGCTGAGGCATATTCGGCAATCTCTGAAGGAAAAAATGCTGCGTGGTCATTATTAGCATATACCCCCGAGTTTGAGTCAAAGTATCCAATGCGGGTGGTCATTCTCTTACCCAATCGCGATAATGCATCGCCATTCCGAGCTCCTTCAACTGCGGCATCTTTCCACTCGTGACAAATGATACCATGTCGTGGTTGAACATCCACTTGTGCCATCGCGTGCCTGAATATTCGGCGCCAATTATACGGTCTGTAGCGTCAATCAGCACCTTTCGCAGACTCTGCCTGTGCTTTCGCAGAATGTGCCTGTAAATAGCGTCGATCTGCACGGTAGATTCGTGACCTGGGGCATCATGCAAATAAACACTTTCCAGTGTATTCGGAGCCAGCGCATCCTTGATAAACAGTATAAGATAAGGCGAAACAGTGTCCGTGCGAATATGTTTCAGATTTAGTGCGTATTCAACTGAGCTGACGCTTGCTCGGCGCTCTGCATGCTGTAATCGTTTTGCTGGCATCGCAGGAGGAGCATACTTCCGACGGAGAGCCCTCCAAAGCTTTTCATGATCTTCGCATCGCATGATGGTGAGAGTAATCAGTCCAGTCCAATCAACAGCCGGCAGTAGTGCTGGCACAGAAAGAGGTACGCGTTCCAGCTCGAGTACTTTGAGATAAAGAATCTCACAGTCGGATTTATAGGAAGGTAGTTGTGAGCGGGCACTCCTGTTGGGCAAACTAGAGTTTGGTGGAGACTTTTTATCCTTGGTGGTGCTGGGAGGCTGCGGCTCGCCATTTGGAGTCAATGAAGCTGCGGTGTCGGTAGAGTTTGGTGACTTGTTTATCGAACCCTCAGATGGCACCGACTTCTCTTCAAGGGAGGGGGTTATAGAATTGTCTTGTTTGTTGTCTAGATGCCGCCGTGTCAATATGCCAAGTACACCATCAGATCTAGGCCAACTCGTCGAGCCATCAGAGTCCTTCCCACAAAGCAACCACGCACTCATATGGGCCTTTTCGGCAATACCAATTCGAAGTTCGGACAGACGGTGACGCGACCGTTCAATGAGAAGTGCAAGCTCCTCCACATAAGCAGGTTCGTCTATGTCAAGAACAGCCACGCTCTTGAGTGGAGGCAGTACTGACAAGGAAGGATGTTCCACATGCTTGTATTTCTGGAAGAATCTTGTTGCTGCCGCCGACGAACTGCGTAAAGCATTCTCCGAATTGTCATGCCAGCGCACCCAAATGCGCTCTAAGCGACAAACCTGTCCTGGACGATCTGCTAGCGACGCCAGCGCCAACCAGATTTCACGGACCACTCCAGTCGGCATGTCCCAAACAAAGGCTTCGAGATTCACCATCCGTGCAACCGCCAAGGCAACCAGCGTCCCGAGCATCTTACCCACTTCTTTGGTCACCGAATATTCCTGTACCCAGCTGAGCGGGCCATTTCCAATGGAGAACGTCCGGGTATACTGTGCATAATTATTGCCTCGTCGCGATCGGAAGCGAACTCCGTTGTCCACAGGATTGGAATCTGGCTGATGATGGAGGTTATCACAACCACAATTCACACAGCTATTTTTGCGTTGACTAGACTGAAATAGCGGTACTCGATTGAATACATCCTCACCCATGACCAATGTGGAGAGACCGTAAGACAGAGCATCCACCCCCGAGTAGTCATCTGTTGATGGGTTCAGCGACTCGGGCCAGACGATATCGAAACGGGAGTACATGTGCGGGATGGCTAGGGAATGGAGAGCAGAGCATGTAAGCGCGAGCGACGTCAGGTCAGTCGTATGGGTCACCTATTGTATACCAGAACTGTAAGCTATCTATTCATGATCTGCGGGGAAGACCTGTGTTACCTCTTTGATGATCTCTTTCAAAATGTCTAAAGGCAAGTCCAGCAGCTGCAGAGGGTTGGCCATTTCCAGTTCTGGAGGGGTTTGATTTGGGCCTTCTGTGCGGGGAGTTGTTGGAGTCGCGTCTTGTTCAGAGGATTGATTCAAGTCCTCTCGCTCCAAGCGCAACTTCCCCAAAGCTAGTGTCAGATTTTGTTTGGCAACACCTTCAAGCTCCCTTGAAGCAGTGCTTGGGCTGGAAACAAAGTCCTCTTCATCCGACGACAACGCGAGATCGGCGTTAGGCTTATCAGCCCAATCCAAGCTGGCGCCTGCCATTAGACAAGTGGGGATTCCTGTTAAGGTCACGGGGTAATAAGGTATGGTGGGTTGATGGCGAAGAACATCTCCAGCTAGAAGCTGAAGAGAAACACACCCTAGCAGTTCCTTTGTTCAGATATGTTTGTTTTGAACAAAGACAGTCAAAGATGATAATAAAGGGAATCTGGGGTAGCCGCCAGCCCTGGAGCTCCCGGCCCCGGGGGTGATCATCTATTCCTTATGTAAGCATTTTCTGTTGGGCACACGACAGGGCTGGATGATCAGGACGTGAACAAGTGAAGGAAATAGGATATATTTACTGTAACAGCTATACTAGCTATAGATAGAACATCGAACACTTGTTTCCCAGTCAAAATACCAGTGCTGTTTTAGAATTAACTAGCCGTTCTTTTATGTTGTAGTAGATAATTGCTTCAAGAGTACATACAATAACTGTGTATACATGGACAGTAATTGGCGACTAGAATAAGTAAAGGGAACAATTTTGTTTTTTGTTTTCTAACTGTAAGCAAAAATTATAGAATTGCATCAACCGATTTTTTTCTCTCAAAAACAACAGTACATCAGTCTATAGCTGCCATGGACAAGATGGCTTTAGTCACCGACTCGTCCAATTCTTCCCAGATTAATTGCAGCGCTGATACAGGCTAAGTGGCTGAAAGCCTGAGGGGAGTTGCCCATTTGCTCACCGGAAATAGCCACTTCTTCAGAAAACATGCCCAGGTGATTCGCGTAGGACAGTATGTTATCAAAGTGCGAAAGCGCGAGTTTCCAGATATTTGGAATAGGCACATCGTATTTGGCAGCCTAAATTTCCAATTTCGACCTAGGTTAGCATAGTTCATTATTTCCTTTCTGGGTAGTTCCATAAAACCTACACGAGCCATAGCCTCAACAAGCCAGAAGGTTACCATGATGAAAGCACCCTCGCCTCCCGTCATACCTGTACAGCGCGAGTAGTATTAGCAACTGTGCTAGAGTTTTAATACAAGATATACATACCATCGTTGGCTTTCTGGTGGTCATATCGGAACACCATCTTAGCGCTGGACAAACCCTCCTTCTCGGGGCTTTGCAAAATCCTCTTCAGCGTACTGATAAATCGGGGATCATTGGGCGCAACGAAGAAGACCAAGGGTGCAATCAAGATGGATGCATCCAGGACCTCGCGACTCTCATAACTCTGGCAGAAATGGCCACGCTCTTCGTTGTACCCCTTGGTCATGATTTCGTCGTACATCTCGTCACGGACCCTGATCCATTCAAAGCGATCCGGGCATGGTAAACTAGCACGCTTCTCCGCAAGGCGGATTCCACGATCCAGGGCTACCCACATCATGATCTTCGAATAGATAAAGTTTTGAATCTGGCCACGCGATTCCCAAATGGACATATCCTTCTGGTTTCGAACACCAACGACGTAGTTGATCATACGCCGGATAGAGTTCCATTGGTCATATGTGATGGGGTTTCCGTGCTTGTTGTACAGGTAGATACTGTCCAACAATTCACCATAGATGTCCAGCTGAGTGTGGAAGACGGCAGCATTGCCGATGCGAACAGGCTTGCTGCCTTTGTACCCATCGAGGTGGTCTAGTTCAACCTCGGGGATGTCGTACTCGCCCCGGATAGTGAACATCAACGGCAAGAATGGTTTCTTGCTGTTGGGATCAAGGTCCTGGGAAGCATGTGGGAAGACCCGCTCGAAGATGAAGTTGACATACGATTCCGCTTCTTGACTGTAGCCCATTTTGAGAAAGACATACAGCGTGAAGGCTGTGTCACGCACCCAGGAGTATCGATAATCCCAGTTTCTGGCGCCTCCCACATTTTCAGGAAGCGAGAAGGTGGGCGCTGCGACAATTGCACCCGTCGGTTTGTAGGTCAGCAGCTTCAAAATGAGGAGACTGCGCTCAACTGTCTCCCGGTAATGACCACGGAAGGCACACTTGCGTGTCCAATCGGTCCAATAGTCAGAGGTTTCCTCCTCCATTTTCAAGAGGTAGGCTGCCATGGTGGCCGAGCTAGGGACCGCCTTCTCGGGACTGTGCAACACTAGATGAATGGTCTGACCCTCCGATAGACGGATCCAGGCCACCAATCCACGGCCACGCAGACCCTCTCGTTCTTCCAGTTTCAAAGAGGCTGAAGGAAAGCCAAGCTTGTCTGGCTCTCGTGAGTCGGCAAAGATCTCGAGTTGCAGCCGCTCTGTCTCACTTTCGAAGTGGACAGTCTGCAGCCTGTGCTTGGACATGTCGTCTTCCAGCTTTGCACGGGTGTTGTGCGAATCTCGCGCATAATTAAAAGCTGGGAATAGCAGTACTTGCAATTCCATCGAGCCACGGCTACACTCGAGCTTTCTGATTAGGCCCGAGTGCTGCAGTCCTGACTTGAAGCGATTGGTCCCCGGTTCATTACAAGGACAGTACCCTGACAGTATCCGGGACGACTGCGCACCCTTTTTAGGTGTGACGGGAAAGTAATCCAGCAATGTGGCGACGCCATCCTCGTTGGTCCACCTTGTTTCAAGCAGGTTCGAATACGGAAGATACCGCTGCTTGCTGTGAGCATCTACCACCGTCTTGTGGGGCTTCACAGAGAAGAACCCTCCTTTCTTGTCATCCAGCAGACGACAGAAAACGGTAGGAGAGTCAAAGACTGGCCAGCACATGTAATCCAAGCTACCGGCTTTGCTGATCAGGGCACAGGTGTGCATGTCCCCGATCAAGCCGTAGTCCTCGATGGCATTGTACGTAGGTTCAGCCATGATGATAACGTGAGCGAACTATGCAAATTCAGAATACTGATGAAGTTCTTGATGAAGATCAAATGCTGTTTTGCAGCATCAACCTAAAAAAGATGGAAGAGAAGAAGAAGAGGAAAAAGTTGGAAGCGGATGTAGTTGCAATGCCCCCCATTGTCACTTATCATCCGCATCCTCCGACGTATTTTATCGCCGGAACTTGTAGGAAATACCACGACATGATGATGATAATGGTAGGATCTGAGGTCATGGCTATGCCAGGTGGGTTTAGGGCTTCTTCATCCCGGGTGATAGACTCGATGAGCTCTACTTGAGACAGATCTTTATTTGTTAAAATAGACTCATGTTGAGAATGGTGAAAATTTGACCTTCTCTGTTAACAAGCCATGTTCAATCTGAGGCCACTAAGGTAAATGAAATGGATCAAAGAGGTCAGTTTTTCATATATAGCTTGAAGTCAAGGCCGGAGGTTTCAGTCCACCAATAAGAATAAAAACCAGACAAGACACCTCAGACCTCTCAAACCGTTCAAACACCTCAATATCAGAAGTATTTAAAGTATATTAAAGTATCAAAATATCAAAATGATAGTACATTTTGTTTCCCCTTGACCCCGGATCGACCGGACAAGTGGATACATCTATAAAATGTGTAACCAATGAGGATAATTGTTGTGTCCAGGTGAAGAGGAGGATAAAGGGGAGAGAGAAACGAGAGACCCTGGAAATGAGAAACATCACCGCCCTTCAATTCCAATTTTTGCCATTTCTCTGGATTCATTTTTGATCCTATTCTCTCTTTCTCTCTTTTTCATTTCTTTTTATTTCATTTTGCATTGTTTTGTTTCATTTATTTCACCTCCTAAGCTTCACTGCCTTGAATTTCCCTTTAAACAGGGTAAGGTTCTCCCCTCTTTATTTCTTTGTCAGCATAATTCCCCTGTGAACTCCCGAAGCTTTTTACCCTTGTGCACTGTCGTGTGACAGACTTCCAATTCCATCGACGTTAATGGAGATACATCTCGATTCCACTCTTTTACTTTCCACCTCGTAACTGTCCCAGTTATTAGAATGGGGCTCTCCGCCGGCGCCCACCACCGTCGGCGAAGCTCCATGCTTGCCGGGACAGGGCGAGCCTCCCAACCGGTTTTGACAGAGCGTAGAGATGACACACTCTGGTCGCATGGAGATGGAGGAAATCACAAACGCGAAGAACAAGAACCTTTAACTGCCGAAGAAGACACTGATGCGTCCGATATCTTATCCGCTGCAGAGACTCTGGAGCTGGATCCAATGAGTTCGGATGATGACCATTATGACGAGGAAACCGGACTCACAACACATCAAAAACGTCAGCGACGTCGACGGCGAAAACAGCGCCGCAGGTTGGATGCTCGAATCGCAGATGTCAAGGGACAGGGTTCTATTCGCGAGATTCTGTCAGACAGAAATGTTGTCAAGAAGCTACTAATCAACGGCGGGCTGATCTTGCTGTGGTATCTCTTTTCACTATCCATTTCAATAGTGAGTAGTTCTTCGCAGTGGATTCGCAAGTCAAGAAGGAACTAACAACTGTCATGTTTGTAGTACAACAAATGGATGTTCTCCGAGAACGATATTGTCTTCCCTTTCCCTCTTTTCACGACGAGTTTACACATGGCTGTCCAATTCACTCTCTCCGTTATAATACTCTGGATTTTTCCATCGCTCCGTCCGAAACAACCGACAGTGTCTGCGGCTACATCTCCCATTGATGGCCCCGAAGAACCACAACCCCTTATATCCAAATTATTCTACTTCACTCGCCTCGTTCCGTGTGGCGCAGCAACCTCCCTTGACGTTGGTCTTGGAAATATGTCCTTGAAATTTATATCTCTCACTTTCTTAACCATGTGCAAGTCGTCTGCACTTGCCTTTGTCCTTTTGTTCGCCTTCCTTTTCCGCCTCGAAACACCTTCGATGAAATTAATCATCATCATTGCCACAATGACAGTAGGTGTCGTGATGATGGTCGCTGGAGAGACAGCTTTCAATGCGCTTGGCTTCGCACTCGTCATTGCGTCTGCCTTCTTTTCGGGCTTCCGATGGGGTCTGACACAAATTCTCTTACTTCGCCACCCGGCCACTTCAAATCCATTCTCAACTCTCTTTCTCCTGACTCCTATCATGTTCCTTTCGCTTATCACAATCGCGCTATCTATCGAGGGCCCCCATGAGATTTATCAAGGATATCTCGCGCTCGCCGCCAAACATGGGAGCCTATTTGGCTCGTTCCTTTTGATTTTCCCTGGGATACTCGCATTCTGCATGATTTCCTCTGAATTTGCGCTTCTAAAGCGTTCTTCCGTTGTCACATTGAGTATCTGTGGTATCTTTAAGGAGGTAGTAACAATCAGCGCCGCGGGCATTATCTTCCACGACAAGCTCACAGCGGTCAATGTAACCGGTCTGATCGTCACTATCAGCAGCATTGCAGCATACAACTACATGAAGATTTCAGGAATGCGCAGCGAGCCAGAAGATGATTCATGGAGTCGCGAGTCGAGTCCTACATCTGACACCGACGAAGAGAATAGCAGTGGTGAGCCAGGGGATTATCGTCAAGTTACCCATCAAGACGCCAGCATTATTAGCCCTGCACCGGGTGGTCACCTGGGCGGTGGTCACCCATCATCTTCAACCGGCGGCCAAGGGCGCTCATTCCGAGTGCGCGCCAGTGGCTCAAGGCGCGGTCTCTCGATCTCGACTTCTACCATTCTAGAAGATGATGGCCCTTCTTCTCCTCTTAGATCAGCACCTGCGACTATCACTACAATGGCTGAGGCAGGGTTCCCTCACCTACATGCCCCTGATGGCGAAGCGCTGCCAGGTGTGCAATCGAGCTCGTCTGTTTCGCCCGTTCGGAACCAAAATTTCAACTAGCACTAGCATTTTACACTCATTCTCAAATACTCCTCTCTTATCTTGATCTACCTATATTGCACCTTCATGTGGTTTTTTTTTACGTCGCCTGTACTCTCTTCGATGTTGGATGGTCTGTGACCTACTCGAAGAGACCTAGTGTGGCTCTTGGAATCACATGCCTACTCTCACAGATATGAATTGGTCAAACTCTGGGTTAACCAGAACATTTCTTATTTCTGTTTGCATGAAGGGGGTTGTTTAGATTTTGGCTTTGGCTTAACTGATACCATCAATTGAATTTCCTACTTTCAACAGCTATATTAAAAGGTTTGTATTTTGAGTTGAAATAATTTTATTCTTCATTTAGTCTGAAGAATGATGTAGAAGAGTATTACCTATCGCATTGTCAAACCACCACTCTAAGCTCAATAAAGAAAGAACATATGACTACTCCTTCGCAGCGCCACCCTTCATCATGTCCATAAGACTCTTCTGTCCCTTGGCCTTTCCTGACCCCTTCGCTTTCTTTTTCTCCTCCGACTCGAGCTTACGCTCATATTGCTCCTGATGTTTCTCACGCTCCGCACGACCCTCCTCGGAAAGTCGAGCCTCAAGAGCCAGGAACTCTTCACCTTCGGGGTCCATACCAATCAGCGACTCAAGTAGTTTGATCTCATCCGCCCACACACCTGGATCGGGAACAGCAGCTGCACCTGCATCAGCAGGTCTTTTGGGGCCCTTCTTTGGCTGTTTCTTCTTTCCAGAGTCACTCTCACTGCCATCAGCTACATCCCCACTAGCTACCTTCTGCCCTGGGACACGGTCAATAGGCGTCTCAAGGACCATAGGTAACCCTTCAAATCGCGGCTCGTTCATGACATTGTGGAACGCGCGCAAGCCGAGGAAGCCTGTGCCGATATTGGCGTGTAGGTCGCGCTTGCTTCCGCGCGGTGCCTTCGAGTCATTGAGGTGCAGAGCTCGGAGGAACCGAATCCCGATTAACTCGTCGAATTCGTCGAGGAAGGCTTTGAATCCGGCTGGTGATGCCAGATTGTAGCCGGCTGCGAAGCTGTGGCAGGTGTCGACGCATATGCCGATGCGGGAGTGGTGCTCTTTCGGGATCAGAGCTAGCAAGTCGCGGAACTCGGATAGTGCGCCGCCGATTGTATTGCCGTGGCCGCACATTGTTTCCAGGACGGGAACTACGGTCGTTGTTTCGGTAATGGCTTGGGTTAACATCTCTGCCAGGCGGGAAAGCGCTTCGGGCAGTGGTGTCTGATTGGTACTCCCGGGACTCGGAGGGGTTAGTATAGACTGAGATGATTGGCAGACGCTGAACTCACTGGAAGTTGTAAAGTGTGATTCCAAGTGCCTCGCACCGGCGGAGATCATCCAGAAAGGAGGTGTACGCTTGCTTGGATTTGGCTTTATCGTTTTGGGCCAGATTGACAAGATATGAGCCATGAGGGAGAATGTGTCTGGGGAGTAGATATTAGTGATCAATATGAGTCCAATCATATGGGGGATATTCACTTCGCTGCATCATAACCCTTTTCTGCACAAAGTTTACGAAATTGATCGCGATGGTCGTCCTGGAGAGCTGGGTTGTCCCATTTGCGCTGTGACTTCAAGAACAAGGCGATTGCATTTCCTCTAATTGCAAGGTTAGACCTAATCTCAAACTTGGATGTATTGTAAAGCCTTCAAACTTACCCAATATTCTCACTGTTATGTATGGAATTAAAAACACCTGCTCGATAAACATGAGTTATTGTCGAATTGAGACGATGAGGTGCCGAGAACACTAACCTTTTGCAGCACTGACGTGAGCACCAACGAACATACGCAGACCCTTGGTCCGCGGTGCCAAAGGCATACTCTCAGCTTCTTGGTCTTTCTTGGATTTTCTTGCCTTTTTAGGTTTGACGTCCTCGTTAGACTCCTTCTTGACTAGAGGCTTCTTTTTCTTTTCCTCGGCGGTATCAACCGGAGGTTTCTTATCGGCCTCTTTTTTCACGGCAGGGGTAGATCCTCCGGCCTCTGACTCCGAGGCTTCTGGAGAAGAGAGTTCTTTCAAATTCGTAGTTGATCTCTGTCGTTTGGATCGTCTAGGTGGCGAGAGCTCAGATGTTCCATTGCTGAGGTTCCGTTTATGGTTGGCCTTGGATCCAGATTCTTCGCACATTGGCGTGTCGGATTCTTGGCAACACATAGCACTGAAGGTGTCACAGCGTAGAGTCTCTTGAACTGAGTGAATACCCTGATCGAACCCCGGAGAAGTTGATATTGCCAAGCCTCGAGGATCACGATAAGACCCTACACAATCTGAAGAGTCCAAATGACCGGATACAAGTGAAAGCCGTGGTCACAAAAAAATTGGAAATATAGAATAGCTTAGCTTGAGAACTCTATGCTTCGATGCTGTCAGTAGAGTATAACCAAGGAACCCAGGAACGAAGCACCACGTGATTGTCCCCCGGGCAACGGTCATGTGATGTTTATCGATAACCAAAGAATCTCCTTGCAGCCCCTCCAAAGTTATTACTTGCCCTTTTGAACTTTTGGTCGTCGACAGAGTTTGGGACCTGTGTGATCTCATCTCGTCTTTTACTGTCGCTAACATGGCAGCCTCTGATGAATTGGTCGATTTCGATATCATCGAAGCCCAAAAGGAAAACGTCCAATCACTCCCCGGTGGCCGATCAGCCAGAGAACTCGCCCGCATTTTTTCAGCCGGTAGCAACGGTGACAAGATTCCCTCGCCATCGCCAAATGGCACTAGGACTATCAACGATGCTATGCGCCAAGAATACGAAAGTGAATTGCAGTCGATAGGGGAATCGGACGATCCGCTCGATGTTTATGACCGATATGTCAAATGGACGCTGAACGCGTATCCGTCCGCACAAGCGACCCCAGAATCCGGTCTTCTCCCCTTATTGGAACGGGCAACGAAGTCATTCCTTTCATCATCACACTACAGAAATGACCCCCGATATCTACGATTATGGCTCCATTATATTCGGCTCTTCTCCGATGCTCCACGCGAAACATTTGCATTCCTTGCGCGTCACCAGATCGGTGAAAGTCTGGCTCTTTTCTATGAGGAATTTTCCGGGTGGTTAGAGAGTGCTGGGCGGTGGTCACAGGCTGATGAGGTGTACAGGCTCGGTATGGACCGTGAGGCTCGACCGGTCGAGAGATTGGCACGGAAGTACAGCGAATTCCAATTCCGTTATGACCAGCGCCCACAAGATACCGGCCCCTCCTCGCCTGCTTTACCGACTGTCCGTCCTGCGCTGGCCGCCAAGATGAACCCATTCGCGTCATCAGATGCCTCCACTGACCCACAAGCTTCACGGCCCTCGGCTCAGACAGGCGGTGCCGCGAAAACAAAGTCCGGAAAGCCCAAGATGGCTATCTTCTCAGACGCTGACTCTGCTGCTCCGGGCCCCGCAACAGGTGGATCGACAAAGGGATGGGACAGTATTGGGTCGATTCGGGACCGCAAGAAAGAGAACGAAGTGGAGGCAAAGCCATGGGCAGGAGAAACATTGAAGGCTGGGAAGAAAGCAGCGCCAACACAAAAGATGGCCATTTTCAGGGACAAGGTGAGTTCCCATTGCAGTTTGCCCTTTTCCTATTCAGACCTCCACATATTTACGATCACAGGACTAATTGCTGGCATGAACCTATGGTGTTTTATTATGTATTCAGTCCAATCCAGATCTTCCTTCCAAAGAACCAATACCACCCAAAGAATTACCCGAACATCACGTAAGGGAAGCGATTAACCCGCGGACCGGCCGACGGGAACGCGTATTTGTTGACCTGGAATCCGTATACCCTAACCGCACCAACCCCGCACATGAGATGAGTTTTGAAGAGCTCAGGGCCACCAAGCGTGGTTGGATGGGCAAGAATTGGCGGCAACATAAAGAACCCTTACAGCAAATCTCTGGGAATGCAAGCAGTACCGAGTCGCTGTCAGGGAAATGTCATTCACCAGAATTGCCGGAGCATTTGGGCCAAAATCTCACCACAGCTAACCATTCTCAACCTCAATATCAAGACGAAGGATATGGAAGCAAATCTAGCAAAGCGGGTCGCACCAAGATCAAAGGGGAAACAACACAAACACAAACAGGTGAGTAGTAAAGGTTTTTCATTTGTTGGACAGGTTAAACTCACACCTCTGTAGTCAAAATGAAGTTTGACTCCCCATCCAATAATAGAAAGGTCCGGCGAAAGAGTACTCGGGAACCAACAATGACCATGCACACTCGTGCAGCGACGGATGAGATATATGGGATTTTCAATCAGCCATTGAAGGCAGAAACTGAAGAAGACCCAGATAGCTTCTGCGGTAGCGACTATGAAGATGACGACTGCGCCAGTACCGGAGATAGTACAGGCACAGGACACATCTCAGCGGCCTCGAGCGAATTTGGAGACGAGGAGACCCAAACATTCCACAAATCTTACGATGATACCGACTATGCCAACACCACACGAGCTGAGAGCGTCGATGGCGATGGGAGCGATTGGACAGAGTTCAATCCTGATCGTGATATCCCGGATATTGAGAATTCTGAAATGACATCACATTCGATCGTGAGTGATGGAATGGAAGGTAATTCAACACAGGGAACACCAGAGAGGAAAGGATTTATGCCAGAAATGCCCGAAGACTACGCTCCTCCATGGGGGACCTACCGTGACCCTGCAATCATGGCCCAAAACCGCCTTCCCTTTATGACACCTATCGTGGAGCGAACGGAATCCATTCCTTCTTTGACAGCCGCTCGAAACAGCATTTATAATGCGAAAACGCCTTCGAAACCTCGATCACCGGCCGGTAACTTTTTGCTTTCCAGTCCACTAGGGACGAATACGCCATACCATGGAGATCACACTGTTGCGTCTACAGCTGATGTACCATTCAGTCCCATGGCCTTCAAGGCCCTCGCGCCCAAGCTACGGAGACGGGAAGTTATAATCAAGGATGCGCAGTGCAATCCAACGGACAAGGGCATTCGGAATACGATTCTCAACTCCCTAGAAATGCCACTTGCGACATACACGGGTTATCACGGCCATGTTGAAGATAGCAACTATGCGTCGATGATCCAGAAATTCGTCAAAAGTAACACCAGACGATCAAAGAGTGGCGGAGATGAGGCATTTGACACACCTATCCTCGAATTTCCAGGAGCACAACGAAGCTATATCATCAGGCGTGAGCTAGGAGCTGGTGCATATGCCCCTGTTTATCTCGCCGAGAGTGTGGACAGTCTTGAATCCTACGACTCCGACTCCGACTCTGGTAGTGCAAGCCCTAACGGCAAAACTTCCCAACTGAGAAAGTCAAACGCCTATGAGACCCCTCGATTCCCCTTCGAAGCACTCAAGGTCGAAAATGGACCATCAAGCGCATGGGAGTTTTACATGATTCGCACAGCATACAACCGCCTACGACAATCTACGGATTATTCTCGCGCCACCGATAGCATTGTTCGTGCACACGAATTGCATGTCCATCAACGTGAAAGTTTCCTGGTGGAGGACTATCGAGGCCAAGGCACCATACTCGACCTTGTCAACACCGTCCGCAATGAAGCCATCAACCCCAACCATACTTCTGAAGGCGGTCTCGAGGAGGTCCTAGCAATGTTCTTCTCCGTCGAGCTATTCCGCACCGTCGAAGCACTCCACGCCAACGGCGTCCTCCACGGTGATATCAAAGCCGACAACTGCCTTGTCCGCCTAGACGACCACAATCCCAACGAACCACCCTTCAAGGCCCTTTCCTTGCTCGACCTTTGTGCCGATGAAGCCGCCTTCGATCCCCGCGAAAGCATTCACTACTCGCCAAGCGGCTCCCATGGCTGGCAAAAAAAGGGCCTAGCTCTGATCGACTTCGGACGCAGCATCGACATGCAAGCCTTCTCGCCAACTGTGCAATTCATGGCCGACTGGGAAACTGGTACGCATGAGTGCAACGAAATCCGCGAGCTGCGCCCCTGGACACACCATATCGATCTGTACGGTATTGCCGGCGTGATCCACGTCCTTTTATTCGGTAAATACGTCGAATCCACCGCCATCACCGGCAGCGACGAGAACGCATCATCCCGCACCTATCGCATCCGTGAATCTCTGAAACGATACTGGGATCGTGAACTCTGGGCTGGTGTCTTCGATCTCTTGTTGAACCCCGGTGCCGAGCGCTGGCAGCGCATCGAGCGCGAGAACGGGGTCGATGCGGGTCTGTCGTCTGCGCCTATCATGCCCGTCTTGCATTCCATGCGGCATGTTCGTCGCGGCATGGAGGAGTGGCTCCTTGCCAATGCTGAGAAGAAGGGTCTTGCTCTTCAAATTCGGAAAATCGAGGTCCTCCTTGCCGATCGGAAGAAGAAATTGGAGAAGTGATTTTTTTTTGTTTAGTCCGCGTATTGTTCTGTTGAATTGTTTTATTGCAGATTTTATACCTTATACCCTTATTTTCTACTCCATGTTATCTGTTGCTTGTTATTGGTTGTTGATATGCTTATTTGATCTGTCGATAACATCTGGCATTGATTCTTAATTACATTAAGGCCAGCTACATATTCATTGACTATCCAAGTATCTTGGGCTCCTATTGCTTTCACAAGTAATGTATCATTTGCTAAAATGTGGCTTCCAGTATAATAAACCAACCAAAGGTAAAGGGATGAAACTACGGAGCAGAGCTTACCTATGTAGCTACATAGTAGGTAGTATGAATGGGACCTAAGGCTGATCAAGCCTAGTATAGAAGAGCATACACAATTCGTAGCATGTGTTCCAAGGGAGGCCGAGGAATATCGCGGGTCTATCCGCCACCAATGATGCCTCAAAGTGCACATTGGGAGTGATAAAGTCCAGTTCTTTGTGCAAGAATAGGGGATATGCTCAAGAACTCAGGTACAAAATGTACCAGGTAATCGGTAACCTACAGCCGGAAAAAAAGAGATGAAATGGAAAAGATGATAATTCGATTGGTGGATCACTTCGATCAAACAAAGGCATTGCTCTAAAAGATCAACCATCGCATGAGAAAGATCAATCAGAAGATAAAACATAGATAAAACGGCCAAACTCTCACAAGCTCCAGAGAAAGATCACAAAGATCCAGAAGAACAGGCTCTGAAAAAAAAAAAAAGACAGACATCCATACGCCATGAGACGCAGAAGAGCAAGAAAGGGACCAGAGAGTAAAAAAACACGCGATTATCCGGATGCAAACCCAATGAGGCTCGTCACAAGGGGAATCATGGAGCGCGAGCTGAATCAAATCGAGAATTGAATGCATGAGGTAAATCGTGGATCACCAATCGAGAAGAGGAATTATCCGGAGAAATCAGCTTCAGGATTGAGATCATAAAATGCGAATTAAGAAGAAATGGGGATCGCTGGCAAAAGAAAACCAAACACCTCGCTTGCGTATCAGGGATGTCGTTGGTCAACTGCAATATTCGTGCGCGTTCGTTTCGTTTCAGTTCGTCTATGTATTTGCATATGTATCGTTGCACATTCGCTTTGGGGGGGGTGCGTTGCCACCTATGTTGACTGACGAGGGTCAACATGAAGGTAGAGAGTCGTTTCCATGTGTGACGGGTAATTCGAAAGGTGACCATTATCAAGTCTGGCCGCATCTCCAACATGACTGGAAAGATATGTTGTATCATGCAGGAAATGCAGGGGATGAGCGGCTAAACAAGGTCCGAGAAAGAAAAAGAAATAAAAGATAAGACGTAAGGAGCGTGGGTCGCAAAAAATTGCGAATAGTTGCTGATTGGTGACAGCAGATATGGGATTTCAGTTGTTTTCAAGTTTTTTTTTTGTGCTTTGGGCTTATTTTGTCCGAGGTGAAAGCCTCGTTGGAAGATAAGGAAATGAAGATGTGAGTGAATGAATGATGAAACTGCATCGAGAAAATCGATGCTGGTTTCATGAGTAAAGGGTGCGAAACATAATCACACGCACAAGGTGACTGTTGTTACAAGACAAACCAGGTCCATGTGCATAAGCAGGTAACCAACAGCCAGATGTCCATATACTGTGTGTGGGTTTCGACAACCAAATGAAAAACAGAAAGACCCATCACTTTTTTTGTTTTTTTGTTCGTTGAGTTCAGCGTTGCAGTCTTGAGGGTGGTTGGGCGTGAGGAAAAAGCCTCGAACGTATCGTTACAGTCGTGGATGGTGGTGTTGCTGTCGTAAAAAGGCTGGAAATGCAAGGGCCGTACCGGGGCCCTGTCGGTATCTCGTTCAAGTCATTAGGCAAAGGGGATAAAATCTCGCAAAGAAATCGACGCCACGATGAAACGGATACTTGGAAATTCGACAGCAAAAGGATGCAACCTAGTTGCGTGTGAAAGGCATATTCAAGATTTGCCGGCGGATGCGCTCAGCATCAGAAAGGCCATCCTCTGAGGCATTATATGGCAAAGGAGCCAGGGCTTTATCCTGAATTTGGGTAGGAGAAACCTGCATAGGAGAAGTGCTGTCGTCAAGTCCGGTACGTGAAGGGCCACCGCTCACGAACGGATCAGACAGCGCAGGTGCTTGTCTAGTGACTCGCTTCGGGGCTTCGCGACGTCTGAATCCTCCTTCAATCCGGAAGGGTGACCCAAGACGTTTGATATTCTCGCCAAGGTCCAACAATGGGTTCATAGGCGGCTTCAGAACAGGTGTAGTCTCCTCGGGTTCAATTGGGCCTGAGTTGAGGGACGAGGGCGGAGAGAAAAGCTGGTCCATATCTCTCGGGTTAACAGCGCTAGTGGTAGCTCCACGGTTGCGAATGCGGACCCGACCATGGCCCATGTCTTGGAACTTGTTACCACGAACATAGTCCTCCAGGCGGCGTTCAACTTCTTGATCGGAAGGGTTCGTTTGTTCCCTGGATACGCTCGCGAATACATCGTCAGTATCGGGCAAAGACTGGTCCAAGTATGTGTTGCGACGGGCACGATAACCCGGAACATGAACAGTCTCACGTCGAGCATTGAGATCATGCATCTGACGGCTTGAACCACCGGGGCCCCAAGTACTGTACACAAATGGAGACCCCAGACGAGGGATGTTAGGGGCAGATTCGACACGGAGATGTTGACTATGATTCTTGGCCACTGGTGGTTCAACATTAGCAGACACAGGGTTGTTAAACCAGTGCGTAGCCAATGGCAGGTCTTGTGTAACCTGAGAAAGTGGAGTCGGCTCGGAGGTGACAAGAGAAATGCCGAGATCACGAGTAGTGTATGCCGAGTTATCAGCGAAGTCTTTAACGCGAGTGTCCGTAGGAGGGGCGAACATCTCCGTGACAGGCTCAGGTGTGCGAGATTGCATGATGCGCTGATAGTGGGGAGAGATTGAGAATTTGCGTCGACATAACATCTTGAGGCGTCGCCGAGTCTTGGAGTCAGACTTGGGCCAGGCTGGTTGCAACCCTTCGTCCATAGGCTTCGGTGTAGAAATTCCAAGAGGATCAACAGACTTCATAGAGACAGATTCAACAATGCGACTGCTCTTTTGCCCCCATGTCTTCTTGGCGCGTCGCGCAACACGCGAAGTGACTCCCAAAGGGGGAATACTGCCAGGGGTCATCTTGAATGGAGTCATGGTAGGGTCCTGGAGGTAGATTTGATAGGTATTCCATAAGTGGGTATCCATTTCGCGAGTCCAGGACTTCTTGGTCACTTTGATATTCGCTGACTGCTTCTGAGGTCGCGAAGGTGACTCAATCTCAGGTTCTTTGGACATCTCCAAAGGGAAGTACGAGTCAAATAGATCGCTTTCGACACTGGTGAAACTTCCTACAGATGGTCGCGATGCGAACGTTTCAATGGATTCAATTGAGGAATTTGACAAACTCGAGCAGGCCGAGTCTGGGCGTTTGATGTTGTTTGGGCCAGGTGTCTGGTCCCACGAGGGCCACGGGTATTCAGTGTCGCAGGAGTCGAAAGGTGTGCCGCGAATCTGCGCAGGTGGCGTTTTAAAATCTCTTCGCGTGCGAGGAGGCGCAAGATATCCCTTATCGTTGGCGAAATCACGGCATGAAGGCGGCTCGAGGTCAGTAGTCGATTGGGGTACTTCAATTGAAGGCAGGGGAACATCAGAGCCGTGGAATTGGAACATATCCATGTCCATGCGAGCGCAGACATTAGTACCGGCGCGAGCCCGAACTCTGGGCAGGCGGCAACTGGAGATTGAGTGTCGAGGTGGTGGAGGCACATTCATAGTTGTACTAGGGCGCTCGGGAGTCTTGGGTTCATTGTCGCCGAGGGAGAAGGTAAAGTTCTTCGGAAGAGTGCGCGAAAGTTGACGTTGAGCCATGCTGGCGGTCTTGCGGTCTTGCAAGCCGCAGGATTGGGGTCAATGCGACTTCTGGAAGGAACTCGAGGACGTGTCGGGGGAGTCGAGGGTAGATGAGTACGGCGCGGCTTCGAGTCGAAGCGCGCAACGTCGCGTCAATGTCGTGAATCGTGGAGGGGAGAGAAAAAGAAAAAAAATGCAATGAGAGCAAGAGACGTAGGGATAACGTGAAAATAGAAGGAAAAAAACCGAGGTCTCGGTGTGCGTGATGTGCTTCCTAAGGAATGCGGCAACTTGAAATCGGGGATCACCAGATCACATCTGCGGCTCCATCCCGTCCGAGTAGTAGGGAATGAAGAATCTCGTCATTACCCGGAAAAAAAACACACAAAAGAAAAGAAAGTCTCCTCAAACGGAGAAGGGTGCAAGAAAATATCCCGCAATAATGGTGGAAAGGGTTGGTAGAGAGAGAGAAGGTAAGAAGAAGAGGAAGAAGACGGGGGAGGATTGGGCGTAGGGTGAGGCGTGCGGGAGTGGGGGGTACTTGGTACCTGTGCTCCCCGTGGTGGACTGCCCACTGGACTTGGTACCCTATACTTGTGTACTTCGATGGCCCACTGTGAAAATCTTATGCGTTGTTCGCGACTAAAAGTTTTTGCTATAATACTTGTCAAATCTTCAATTGTTTTCTAGTTCCTCTTCTTTACAGAGGCATAATTTGTTTAGATTTTCTCGAGTCTTTCCTATAGTGTTTGGCTTGTGGACACATCTGGGCCTTACTTGATGCATGCACTGTGGACAAATAATTTGACCTCAGAGATTTGGAGGGAACCACCTTGGGAGGTAAGGACACCTCAGTGCAAATAACCAGTTCTTTTTTTTGGCTCTAGGAGTTTGAAGGTACAGCGTAGGCTGTAAGCTGTAAGCTGTGCTCCATACAGAGTACGGAGTATAAAGTAGTACCCCGTATACGTTGTAGGCCTCATGAATGAGGGGGCTGGTGAGGATCAGGTACCATGTACGCTCTGTATGGTAGATCAGTTCTCCATCTTCAAGACATTGTCTTCAGCCGTTCACTCCATAGCTGCAAGGGCTCGTACAGAACAGAAGAACGGCCAAACTGCGTACAGTTGATGATTGTCTGCACTGACATTCTTCAGGTCATTTTTCCTTTCTTTTTTTTAAATTGGTTCCAATCATGCTCGGAGTGGCTCCTCGAAAAGCAAAAGCCCTTCTTTTTTTGGCTCTTTCATAGTGAATCGGTTTGTTGCATTCAAAGAAACCCAAGAAAAACCATCTTGGTACGGGTACCTGAGTACCGTAGATCACCGGTCACATTTTCTCATTGTGCGGTCTGGATCTCTGGAGCCCTGGAGCCCAAGCTATCCAACGAGAAAGGGCCAAAGACCCATATAACCCCATTGGGGTTGGAGGCGTTGCGGTTGGAGAAGCTTCACGTTCCTCTTTCCCCACTGACGCGCGACGCGTCCAACACACGTGTTGAAAGTTACCGTATAATTACTGTATAATTACCAGTCACGTGGTGGCTCGCATTTGAAATCGAGGGTAGCTATGGTATGTACTTTACGGAGTACTCCGTACATATGTGTGGCTTATGCACCGTTGAAAAACTGCATTGAAATCGGTGGTTGTCCCTAAATTCTCCGATTCAGATATCCATTATCAACGCATTTAAGAGACCTCATCTCGCTTACAATGGATAGCCACAGTATACCCGCAGAACTGTGGGCCAGATGCCAATCTCCACTTTCGAGGAGCCAAGTCACTTATCTACTCGGAGTACTCCGTACCTCGAAACTTGGACTTGACTTTTTTTTTAAAAAATGAATCGATAATTCAAATCGGGCACTCAAACCATGTTTGTCCCATAACTTATACATAACATCATTTTCATGGTGATTAAAACATACAACACCTAGCGATATCCAATATATATAGCACGCAAAGGGGGAAAAGTCTGCTGGATCCATCCACTACTCTCCTAAGAAACCTAGCTCAACCTCTGACTCGCGCGACCGGAATAGAATCTGAACCCTTGGATCGGTGATAGATTCGAGACCGTTTTCGATATTCGGAGGTCGACCGCCGCTCTGCAGTTTCCAATCGTACTTCAGAAGCAAATGAAGGAGCAAAATTTTGGTTTCGTTGGCGGCGAAGAACCGGCCAGGGCAGGCATGGATACCATGGCCGAAGACGTACTGATCGGCTGTTGTCGTGACAAATTGATGCTTGTGCTCGTTGCCGGGCTGTTGGCGTTTGTTGTAAAACCGGTGACCATCATAAGTGGCAGCATTAGGGTAGACACTATCATCTTCCAGTATTTTCGCAGAAACGGATGAGCTGGCGCCTTTAGGAATCACAGTTCCATCCGAGAGCACAACCTTCGCAAGGGCGAGACGATTCATGGAGGCTGTTGTAGAGTGTCAGCAAATTATTCTTTCAAAATATATTTTTAACGAATGAACATCGAAAGAACGTGGATAGCTTACTCAATGCGAGTGGGTGAGTACGCTGTGATTCCTTCATCACACTGTCCATTAACTTCAACTTGAGCAGGCTAGTCTTCTTCAGAATTCCGTCTTCAATGGCAACCGCACGAATCTCATCACGCAGCAGCTGGATGTACTCCGGGTACGCCGCGAGGTCATACATGACGTTGGTTAACAAGTTTGATGTGGTATGTATAGCTGCGAGCGCCAATCCAACCTGAGCACAAGACTGGTCAAAGGTCAAGTTATTCCGAGCCTCGGCGGTCTCACGATACCAGTCCAGGGCATCAGGTCCGCGAGGTGGGTCATCCTCAGGAAGCTTACCCGCGCGGATCAACGCCCGCCTGTCTATCTCGCGGCTGATAATGGTACGAGCCATTTTCAAGTGCATGCGTAGCTTTCGGGTCGAGGGTAAGAACCAGTGTACAACCGGATGTAGAATGGCTGGCCATTCTCGTAGACTCCGCATAGCCGTAAATGCATCTATGACATAGTTCACGGAAACATCGATCCACTCGTCGTCGTGGGATATGGTCTCTCCAACAAATATCAGAGAGGAGACGCGGGCTACCATGAACGGGATCTTCTGGGCGAGGTGATAGGACTTCCATTCTGCCCACAGAGGAAGCATCAGTGGGATAATCCAATGCGAACGGGTTGCTTTAACATACCATCAGTAGGGGGTAATGATTCCTTCAATGTGGCACCTGACTCCTTCGAGAGCCGAAGTGAAATGGACCCTGTTTGAAAGGGAAAGACAAGTCAGTTCTGTCTCTTGGAGAGGGGGGATATATCAAGACATGCATACCGAGCGCCTGAGTCAAACTGGTCCGCACGACCTCGATGGTAACACCTAAAGCAGTGCCATTATGAAATGGCTCAAACCCAGGAATACGATCATTGAAAAAGGTCTATTGGCAAGTTAGCCATGTTGACGTGTCATTTCTGGTTTCAGAACCTACATTTTTGATGGAGTCCTTAAAACTCAGATCTGGGTTATTTTTGATTTCGTCAACAAACTTCGGGTGCAATACAATCATCGGGCTTGTGGCTCCGATGATCTGAAAGACATTGATTCCCTGCGAACGCTTATTAGAATATTTGAGGATAGAGAATGATATATTCTGGTCCTGTTAAGAGTCACCTTTGCAAAGCCTTCGGCAATTAGTTGACGAGCTGACTGAGTGAAGCGTAACCGGGCCTTTTTGTTGGTCAGGTCCCACCAGGACTTTCCAACCAAAGGAATGCGTCTATGAGGAATCTCGTTTGCTATATCTGCCCAAATACTTGTTATGAACACTACCACTAGGGCGATGCACACACTTTGTATGACATAGGGGCTGTTGAGCAATTCGGTGATGACTGCCATAGTTAACGTCAAGACTTGAAAGTGGGGATGACAGTAGTAGCAACACCCTGGTTTTCTAAGGCCTGATATTCTCCGAGGAGGTCTCCCATTTATAGAAGTTTCGGAGCTATTAGCGAGTCATGGAGACTCCATTTTTCCTTCCCCACGGGCCTCGCACTAGATGTTCAGACCAGGGGGGCCCACGTAAGTACGTATCAAATTCCATGTATCAAGTTGAACCAAACTGAACCGAAGCCAAGCAACATTAGAAAGCCACAGGTTCAATAAAGTCTAAACTGCCCAACTCCTTTGTCTGGGCATCAAAGCTCCAAGAAATAACCTCTACCTACATCGATATATATCTCGTCTCACTGGTGCAAGAGTAAGCGAAATGCGAGAACGAGAGCCAAATTAAGCGATCTTTACCCGAACAGGCAATTCTTGAATGGATTTCTATTCCGTCTGGGATCCACTTGCATATGCAGATGGATTCCAAGTTATAAGCGTGCCAATGATAATAAAAGACTTGCAGATCCTGCAAGTTGAACGGTGGAATCATCAGAGGGAAAACTTCTCTGTACATCGGACTCCGTGGTACAATAATAAGCACGTCTCTTTAACCCGGGCACCAGAAGAAATCTTTTTGGGACCGGATCAAAAACTACCAAAGTACTATGTACTCCGTACTCCCACTAGCAAGCTGATGCTCTACTCCGTACACAAAATAAATCTAACAAATTAAGCTATCAACGTAAATATGGTAAATATGAAGCCCCTAACTGGTCGCCACTTATAGCTTAACTGAATTAGGCTAGTCGGGCCCATGGGTTGCATTCGGCCAAGACCCCGCATTCGTCTCAGTGCTTTCCAAGGTTACCTACCTATCTTCCCCGCTTGAAGTCATCTTCTTCTCAACTTCACCTCGAGAATAACCTGAACATGGGTGACTGTGGTACCTTTGCTCCATATATACTCCCCACCCCTATCGGTGACAGCTTACCGCAGCCTTTGGACTCGCCTGATGAGATATCCGTTCTAATAACAGGCTTTGGTGTAAGTGATCTGCACTTCGGATCCTGGTAATATCCGACCCAAAAACTAACAGTGCAACCAGCCTTTTAAGACCAACCATGTGAATGCGTCATATCTGATCGCTTCCTCTCTTCCATCATCTTTCCTTTTCCCATCGTCTAAAGACAACGAGGCGGACCCGCGTCGAGTCTCACTCTATGTGCACCCCACCCCGATCCCAGTGGCGTATGCCACTGTTCGAGAGACTCTTCCCTTGATTCTAGAGGATTTTGCTTCCTCTCATGGTGGTCGCAGACCTGACCTCGTTATTCATATCGGCATCGCAGCTCCGCGGCAGTATTACGCCATCGAAACTTTAGCTCACCGAGATGACTATAACATGACCGATATCAATGGCCGCCCCGGCTATGTGGACGGCGAGAAGCGATGGAAAGGGTTGGGTCTGCCGCCAATTCTGACGCCAGGTCGTGCTACAGATGATCCCTCCTCTGCTTCGCCTTACCAGCCCGACGACCAGTTCCTGGAGATGTGGCGCTCTTTTGCTCCCGAGTCAGATCTTCGGATCTCCAAGGACGCGGGTCACTACCTGTGCGACTTCATTTTCTATACCAGCATGTCTTTAGCCCACTTACAGGGTCAAGACCGCAATGTCCTGTTTCTTCATGTCCCTGGGGCGTCTGAGGATGCAAATATTGAGCAAGGCCGAATTGTCACACTCGCCCTAATTAAGGCAATGGTCGCGTGTTGGCTTGATAAGAAGCCTTCGGCATAGTCAGATTGTAGCATCTCAGTCAGCTGATATGTATCCCTTCAGGGGATCTACCCTAGGTACATGTCGGGGGCCTTTTTTATTCTGGTATTCGGCTTCAACAGTTGCTTTTTCTGAATTTATATGCATTTTCAGTTTCTTCCCTCTCGTTTATTGCATATCTATGTGCGCACGGTGTTTTCATGTCGCATTTCCTAGATACCATGTGTCTCATTCATACTTCTGAGTTCTTCTATTATTGGACCTAAAGTAGCTACTATATATAGAATAATGGATAAGGCACAGCATATCAACAGAGCACTATTCTAATAAAATAAAAGCACCACATCTTCCTGACCTGAGCACCTGAGAATGAGTCCTTGTAACATCATATGAAAGGCGGCGCCCCTTGGCAAAACAGGCTTATCATCTCCTTGGGGCCTGTATAACCCTAATATCTTCCCAAACAGCAAACATGCTTCAGTCGCACAACATGGCGTCTGCAGTAATCTTAGGCCTCATCCTCCTAATTCCAATCATCTTGATTCCCCGCTTCACAGGATGGCCCAAATCAGTCCAATCCCCAACCAAACTTCTCCGCCTATGGCGCCAGCGCCCCAAACAATCCAGCGAGATCATCTCTTTACACATGTACCCCATAAAATCATGTCGAGGCCTAGAAGTCCAGTCAACAGTCCTGAAACAGCACGGACTTGACCTCGACCGCCGCTGGATGCTCATCGATGCATCCTCAAATGACTTTTTAACCATCCGTCAAATCCCGGATATGACCCGTATCCGTACCGCCCTAAGTGCCGACGGCAACGAGTTGGTCGTGAGTATCCCAAAACCAGAAACCAATGAACCCAGCCAAGGCAAATACAAATATCAAGACAAAGTCCAAGGCCAAGACCAAGACCAAGACCAAGACCATCAATTCCACACAATCCGCATCCCTTCTCATCCATCCCCGCAATGGCTAGCGGCAAATACAAATATGGGCCCCGTTCAGATCTGGGACACGCATACAGACGGGTACAGGTACAACGATGAAATCAACGCCCCCTTCTCCGCCTTCCTGCGTCGCGAAGTTGCCCTGGTTTACAAGGGCCCGACCCCACGCGTGCTGAAGGGTAATGGCGCCCCGCGCCGTCTAGGCCGCGTCCAGACAACCGGCTTTCCGGATGTGCACCCGGTTCTGATTGCGTCTGAGGCTTCGCTGGCAGAGCTCAATGTTCGTTTGGGAAGAGTGGGCGTCGACCCGATCACTGTCGAGCGGTTCCGTCCGAATATAGTTGTTCGCGGCGGGGCGCCCTGGAGTGAAGACTCGTGGAAGTTGATTCGCATTACCGGTCGGAGAGCTGGCGGCGCTTTGGGTGGTTCAGCCAGCAGTGGTGAGGCTGTTATTCAGCCTGCGCTTGATCTGGATATTGTGGCTCGTTGTGCGCGCTGCCAAGTGCCGAATGTTGATCCAGAGACGGCGCTCAAGCATAAGAAGCAGCCGTGGGATACACTTGTTTCGTACCGTAGAGTTGATGAGGGAATTAAGTATAAACCTTGTTTTGGGATGTTGAGTGCGCCGCGTAATGAGGGCGCTATTGAGGTTGGGATGAAGTTGGAGGTTTTGGAGGAGACGACTGAGCATCGATATATTACTGGTTTTTAGGACTTTTCTAATTCGTTGTGATCTAAGGAGGCTTTATATAGCTACTGAATAGACCATTGTAAGCTTAAAAGTTGGAAGGCAAGCATACAACATTTTCCCATTTTTCATTCTCCGTGATATATTTTGGAGTGTAATCTATCCATAAGCACATCTTTTCCAAGCTTGGTAGGGGATTTTCTTTCATAAGATTGACTACAGTCTTCCAAGCTGATGTATAATTAATATATATCCGCAACGATACATCCTGATATAATACTGAGGAGAGGGGATACTGTATAAATAAAACGTAGTGGTGATTTAATGGTGGATTACACAGAACCGTTATAAACATGATAATGATATTGACATTGACATTGGAAACTAGCGACAGATCATACTCGCAATCTCTATACAATTGGAAAAACCCAGCCTCACTTCAACTGCTTGCTCGCAGAAACACACCAGTTATTCCACTCCGAAAAGAAAGACGGCTGTACATGGCACTTAGTGCTCATGAGCTGATCCTTGCGAGTAGCAGCGTAAACATCCACAACACCCGCAATAGCATCCTTGTCATGTGCAACAAGCACTTTAGTAACAAGCAAACTAGCCTGGCTGCAAGCATTCGCATGGCCCATGGGTCCACTGTGACTAGCTTCCTTATGAACAGACCGGAGCAGCTCCCAGAGCGCCTCCACCTGTGCATCGTCCTCAATCTTCGGAAGCGAATTGCCCTTGCACACTTTCGTGTACTCGCGCAGCACTCCGTTGGCCTTGGTGGCAATCTGCTTCACGCTGGTCCGGCGAGATAGTCTGAGCAATGGCAGAAGAATATCTAGTGCGAGCAGGCGGGTGTGGCTCTTCTTCACGAAGATCTCTAGCAGGTCGAGGACGCGGTTCTTGAAGTTCACCATGTTCTCGCGCGCGTCTTTCTTGTCTTTGCGGTGGGAAGTTTCTTGGCGACGTGCGCGGAATACTTGCACCAGTTTATCGTCTAGCTCGTCCATCTCGTCGTCGTTCATGTCAGAGTCGGACTCGTCTTCGTCTGCGCCGTGTGTGCCAAGAGCTGCGGCTAGTTTGGCTTCGAAGGCAGCGACTTCCTTTGCATCCTCTTCATTATCTTCTTCTTCCTCTTCCTCATCGTCGTCTGAGTCGGAGTCGGAGCCGCCGGCTTCGACGACCTCGACATCGCTATCGAGCTCATCCTCGTCGACATCCATCATCTCGGCATCGTCACTTTCACCCTCTTCCTCTCCTTCATCGTCTTGCTCTTCGAACATCTCTTGCTGTCCAGCGAGACTCTCCTTGGCTTCCAGAATCTGGATCTAGTTAGAAAATGCATGTCTGACAGAATTTGAGGCTACATACCGAGGTCAAAGATTCCAATCCATTCTCGGTGATCTGGTCAGCAAATGCGCCAAACACCTGCTCACTCATACGACGGAACAGCTGCGATTGCTTAGACGCAAAACTGAGAAGGATCTCAACCAACGCATCCGAGGCATCGCCGGCGTCTTCCGCCTTGGTTTCATTGTCGCCCAGGAATTTGGTATAACAGAACTCCAGCTCATCAAGCATGGATACGGCATCCGCATCTCCGTTGTAAACCTGCATGATAGTCATAGAGTAAAGCAGCTTGAATGCGGCCATGCCCTTCTCCTTCTTCTCCTATGTGGTAGTCAGTATAAGTGGTCAAGAGGCCGATGAGAGGGGAAAACCATACCCTGCTAGACAATTTCTTCAGAGATTTGAAAGCAGCCTTCACAGATTCCGACAGTTTTTCGTCGATGGCAATGATGAACTTGCCGAATTCGCCAGACTTGGCTGCATCGCGAATCTGCTTTACCACAGCATACGGGAGCGTAGAGGCGAACTTTTGGTTAGAGATAAGGCTGTTCAAACAGGAGTTGATTCGATTGCGCAGAAGTTCTTGTGTCGCTGATGAGAGAGCAGGCTCAGGAGCAGCGGAGCTCTTGCCTGCATCCATGAAGTACGCGAAGCGCACGAAAATAGACAGAATTTGCTCAAGGCTTGCTTGGAGGTCTTCGGCATCGTCTTCAGCGGCAGAAGCCTTGGAGCGCACAATAGTCAAAAGGAGACCAGCGACAAATTGACGGTTGGATGCGGCGGTTTTCTCCTCAGTTGTGCCGGGATTTTGAATAAGTTGCTCGAAGAATGGGACAATCTCTTCCAATGCCTCGTGGTTAGCTTCAGCAACAATTTTCTCAACCGTCTTGGTCTTTGTGGCCTGGTCGAAGTTCAGCGTGCCGCTGGTTCCCATCAAGCCACGGACGGCCGCAGCCGCGAATTCAGGCTCCTTGGACACACGGGACTGGATTGCCTTGGCTGTTTTGATGGCCATGCGGTGTAAGTACCGGTCCTCCACGGCGAGTTGGTTCGTCAAGCATCGCATAAGATTCTTGGTGAAAACCTGAGAGGCCTGCTTCGACCCGCCATCGTTAAGAACTCTGTTGAAAAGAAGGAAGCCCCAGTATTTGCGCTCGTCCGAGGACGCAGCAGCAAATAATCCATCTATAGTGGTTTTTTTCGTCAGTTCCATGTGTCTCATGTATTATCCCCCCGCTAGATAGGTACTCACTGTCCACAACCTCAGTCCAGAAATCAGCGAAGGTCATACGAGACTTCTTTGACTTGTCCTTCACTTCAAGGCTGGTCCGATTCATGACCGCCTCCCAGGCGAAGTGAAGCTTGTTGTTCCAGACGCCAGAGGACTTGGCAGTGTTCACCTTGGTCTCGCCCTCACTGGCCACGGCACCCGATTCCTTCATGATCTTCGACAAGCTGCTGCGCTCCTTCGTATCCAGGGGATCGTCATGCTTCCAGACCTTGCTAGGGAAGGTAGCCTCAGGGAACGTATCCTTCGCCGCCAACCAGATAGCAACGCCCTCAGGCGACCGGGCAAGGTCCCGCAAGCACAGCTGTTCCAGCGCAGACTGGACGTACTTGGGTTCCATCTTGCGCGCGGCCAGATCATAGACACACTGGTAGATAATCCACCCGCACTCTTCGCGGATCCATGGCTTCTTCTGTGCGAGCTCGAAAACAAGATCAACGACCTGGGTCCATTGCTCGAAGGGCACGGTGGGCTGGAACAGAACGGAGGATTTGATGATTGCTTCGGCGCCGAAAAGACGGCCAAAGAGGTGGTCGCGTTGTTCCTATATGAAGCGAAAAGATATCATAATTAGCACATGTGATGTTTTAAGTCATGTGTGGCCACCAACCTGTCCAGACTCGCTGCCGTAGGAACTTGACTGAGACTCCCAGAGGTTCAGAGCATCGGAGAAGCCGAAGCGCGATGTCTCTCTCGGCGACGAGAAGACCTGACTCAGGATCTCTGTCAAAGCAATCGAGAATCCGATTCGAGCAGCTTTGCGGCTACTGCAGAGACCGCGGAACAGTCTCGACAGCACCTTCTGGATCTGTTCATCGGCAGGGTTCTGATCTGGAGTAAATTGCGACACTAGGGCTTGAGCAGCTTTGAGTCGGATGTCATCTTTTTCGCTAGCGAGATCCTCGTAGAGTTCCACTAGTTTCACGTCGACATTGTGAGGTTCGCGGCGGCGCTTCTTTGAACCGGCGAAGGGGGGGGCCCATTGCAGAGACTGGGTGTTTTTAGATGGTGGTTAGGTGTGAGGTGCAGTTAATGATCAAATTATCCGCACTTGGACCTTAACAATTGAGATCTGCAAACCAGAGACACGTTCAACCCTCCTTGCGGCCGTTGAAGTTGCTCAGAAAAATTCAGGCTTTAGCCTATTTGGGACTAGCGTGGACCGATAAGCCGATAAGGATCTTGATGCTCTAAGGGATCGGGGTTGAACGGGCAAACGACCTCATTAAGCGTGTATATTTTCTATGTTGTAGAGTCTTTAGGAGGATATCTGGAGCCCGTGATATTGGCCATACTAGGAAAGAAACCAAGTGTAGTGGTGCAATCTCAGAGAGTTATAGGGAAAGATACTAAGGACATACATATTGTAGCAACTCCCATTCGCAGAGCAAAACTTCAAGACCTCTAACCAAACCAACCTACATCTAGTCACAGCATTCTAGAGGAGGATTCAAAACCAAGACAAGTGTTACTCACCCAGCCTACGATACTAGCTAAGGAAAAAAAAATCCTAGCCCCCAAAGCCACAAGACCTAGACTCCAAGTATACGGAGTTCTCCGTAGCTCAAATATAGCCAGCCCCTGGAAGCCGCAGCAAAGATACCTCAAAACCCACGCAGCAGATCGGGAATAGCAACATGCAACCATAGTTTCAATAGACAAAAGAACATGGTGTATTCGAAGCTGTCAGAGCAGCCGGGGTCGAAAAGAAGTCCGGACTAATTCAGGGGTAATGACGAATCCCAAAAACGAGATAACCAAGGTTCCAGCCGCACCGTCAACCTCAAACCACCAGTCCAGACGCAGGACTATCCTGTTGTCAAAGGCAACCGGGAAATCCGCATCCATTTATACAATCCCATGTCGCCGAAGAAAATCCGCTAATTGCGCTGGATCCGAGCTTCAGGATCCGGGCTCCGCTTGTGTTATTTTCGCGGATGCACCGACCCGCCCCGGGCTGATCTGTATACGAGTATACCAGACAAACCGGCGTTCTTGGTAGGTTGGTCGATAGGGAAAGCAGGAACCATGCATCGAACTATCAATATGGCTTGGGCGAGGTCATTTGCCATCTGGCGGAGTCAATATTATATGGAGTTGGGAGAAAAATTACCTGTGTCAGAACTGATATGTTGGAAGGGATGGGTGATCTTCTGCCGTGGATCTGCATGGTTTAAGTAGTTTTTTAGTTTTAGGTAGTCGTCGTGCTGGTAACATGTGGGAATGGATTTCGTGGGAAGTGCGCAGGTGGTTTTGATGTAGGCGGATGGGTCTCAGAGTGATAATATATGGAGTCCGGCGTATTGGTGGACCTGGGAGCCCTGGCAACCGTTGTGATAGATGAGAGTCGGGTGTCAGATTTTGCGTTTTCAGGGGCTTCGTGGTT